TCCATTACAGTTGGAGGAAAAGGAGACCCAGAGAACACAGCTTGGTGGTTGAGCGCTGGGATTTGAACCGGAGCGGTCTGACTGCAGACAAACAGAAAATGGACTGCACATAATTGGAATGCCCTTTGCCCAGAGGAATCAGATTGACAACAAAGTTTTAGGACTGTGCCCTCTTGGGAATGTTTTGTTTTGTTTGCAGCAGAGTGTAATTGTTACTCTGGGATTTGGCTCAGTCACACTGCCATCTCCGGATAGAGGAGTGATTAACGGGGGGGGGGGGGGGACTGGGATTCAGCCTCCCAGATTTCTCCTGCATGGGGCAGCTGGCTGGTGCACGTGCCACGTGCAGACGACATCTGAAAAGGTGGGGTTTGGTACGAGAGTGAAACTCAGAGGATTCTAAATGAGAAAATGATTTCCACACTTGTGAGAAGAGAAAATACAGTGGGACAGGCAGGGTGTTAGCAGAAAGAAGCAAAATAAGATCCTGATTGAGAAAATGCAAATGAATACCTGCAGGGAAAAGGATGGCAAATGCAGACCCAACATTTGGGAGTCCTCGCAGTGTAAAAGCAGCTCTGACGTGAAGCCAGAGACACAGGGGTTGGTGCAGGTCCCAGTGCACGGAGGTCCTGAGCAAATGCTCCGAGACTTGGGATGGGGTGGGCAGGGGCAGCTGTCCTGAATGCCACGTAGCCGTGCAAAGTCCTGCGAACTGCATGAGTTCACATCCGGAAGGGGTGCTGTCTGGAACCCACCAAAGCAGAAGACTGAGACAGTGACTTTGGAAATGGACTCCGTATGGAAGTCTAGAGAATAAAGTCTGAGTTTATAGGAAGTGGTCATTTGGAGCTCAGAGAAACCACAGAAGCTGCAAAAGTGGTGGTGGGCGTCTGCCTGGGAAAGAACTGAACAGGTGACCCTGGCAGGCAGCCCACCCCGAGCAAAATGGCAGTGTCCACACCATACTCCTTCCCTGCATCCTGTCCTTGTCTTCTCTGCGGCACGATCATTCTGTCCCCAAATCCTGTGCTGTGCTATCAGAACTTGCCCTCAAAAAGTTTTTATATGAATCCTGACAGCGAGAAAGATATAACCTCCCTGATGTAGTATTTCTGCCAAAAATGTATAACCTGAATTAAATCATGAAGACAGGTTTAAAAAAATAAATGAGGTACATCCCATAAACTATGAGCCTGTATTTGTTAAAATAAGTAAATAAATAAATAAAATAAATCAGTGCCACGAGAGATAATGAAAGGCTGAGGGACTAACGAGACAAGAAAAATAAATACAGTGCATGAGCCTGGATTGGAAAAACAAAAATTACTATAATAGACAATAGTGGAGCTATTGGCAAAATTTGAATATAAACTGTATATTGGATAATAATAACGTATCAATGTTAAATAATCTGAATTTTTGGTAATGGCACTGTGGTTGTATAAGAATATCCTTTTCCTTAAGAGATTTAGGGGTAAAGGGTCATGGCACCTGCAATTTAGTCTTAAAAACAAAAAGAATGAGCCCTGACCAGGTGGCTCAGTTATTTGGAGCATCATCTCATACACCAAAAGATTGCAGGTTCGATTCTTGGTCAGGGCACACACCTAGGTTGCAAGTTTGATCCCAATCAGGGCACACACGGGAGGCAACTGATTGGTGTTTCTCTCTCACGTTAATGTCTGTCTCTGTCTCTGTCTCTCTCTCCCTCTCTTTCTCAAAAATCAATAAAAACATATCTTAGGTTGAGGATTAAAAACAGCCCTGGCCGGTTTGGCTCAGTGGTTAGTGTGTCGGCCTGCGGTCCAGAGAGACCCGGGTTCGGTTCCCGCTAAGGGCATGTACCTCGGTTGCAGTTTGTCCCCAGCCCTGGTCGGTCGTGTGGGTGGCAGCCACTCGATGTGTTCCTTTCACGTCGATGTTTCTCTCTCTCTCTCTCTCTCTCTCTCTGTTCCTCTCTCTCCCTCCCACTCTACCTGAGCAAAAAAATGGAAAAATGTCCTCGGGTGAGGATAAAAAAAAAAAATAGATGAAAACAAAACAAAAAGAATGAGTGTGTGTGTGTGTGTGTGTGCACGCGCCTGTGTGTGTATACTCCATGCCTTAAAAAATACAATGAACCGAAAACAATTTAATGCTACTTAAATGATTCAGAGCTTAAGAAGTTGGGGTATCACCATCCGTATTTCTGAAACGGTCCCTTGGATTGTCCAGGAGTGTGAACACGAAAGCCAGAGAGGGGGCCAACGCGTTTTCAGAAATATGTTTGCTTTTTAAATTCGCTCACAAGCTACGATTCTTATCATTTGCATCTTCCTCCCAGGACTCAGAGGCAGTTTCCCTAACTAGGGCGGAAGGTTACGACACGGCTCTCAGTGCTGCCAGTACTCCTCGGGGGGTGAAATCCGCTGGCCCGGGACTCTCACTGGCCACTTCACTCACCTGCCTTTCCTTCTGCTGGGAGCTCCCTCAGGCCACCGGCTCAGCAGAGCCCCGGCTCAGTCCTCAGCTTTCCAATCAGCAATGCAATCAAGTGCCTAATAAAGCGCCAAAGAGGAGCAGTTCAGGTGCACGGGCACGTGTATGTCCAGGAGGCAGGAACTGCCGGCGTGGAGCCTTTGTCACGGGGCCAGAACAGAGCAGGATGAAATGAGGCAAGGCCCCTCCCCCCACATGCATGTGACATCAGTTATGCCAATGGGGACCAGAAGAGAAAGATGTCCCCGCAAAGGGAATCCGAACCTTAACAGCTCCTGGGGAGGCAGCTGCACACACACCCTCTCTGGCCGTCCATGTCCACGGGCCTCAGGCAGGGGTCCACACCTTGTGTTTTCCCCACCAGTCAGCTAAATCTAAGTGTTAAGTGCACAGGGTGCATTTCAAGGACATTCGGTGGCTTTGTGGTAGTGCCTGGAGGACTCTGGGTCTTTAAAACAAAAAATGAGTTACAAAGAAATACAAATGCGGCACGTTCATCAGTGACGTCCGTAATATCGTCCCAATAGAGAAGCAGCGGCGGCTCCTGAAGAGGACATGCTCGCTGTAGCTACAGAATTGCCCACTTAGCAGAGGCTGGAGCGAGCAAAGCACAAAGCAATGAAAACGGCGCCATCTCGGAAACATCACGCTTCAGAGCAGACAGAATGCGTGTGCTCCTCTGTTTCCAGCTAAGCCGGGCTGTTTGCCACTCAGTCCAGAGAGAGCTGCTGACCAGCCTGATGGGGCAGGTCTAGGGAGACTGCTGCATGCTCGGGCGGGGGCGGGGGGGTTAGATGAAATCACAGGAAGCCTGCGACGATCTGACAGGTGGCCCCCAAGTGCACTTTCCTTGGATATTATTTCAAAATAGATCCCATCAGACCTTCATACCTGCCCACTTTGCTTTATCCTAAGGCATCATCCAGATAAGTTATGACCCCGTCATTCTATAGACGTCTGACCAACCCCTTCCCATTTTTACCCAGTTAGTCCAAGATTTACAACTTGTGTTAGGGAATCTAACAAGCAGTTACTGGCAGAATTCTGAGTAGTTGATTGTCCTGGGACACAGGATCACACGTCCTCTGCACTTATGTTCAGGGCTGTGCCCCCAGAACAGCAGCCCGTGGTTCTAGAGATCCAAAACGAATTCACACTCCAAGGTCGGTGCCTCACGGCTGGCTCATTCATGGGTTGTATTAAGAAAATTTCTAAGCACATGTGCAAATGTGGTTAGTTACATGGAATCTCTTTGTATGTGTCACTCAACATTCAACAACCCGACCACTGTCAACCTTTTGTCTACTAATCTCCTGTCTACTCCTTGCCTCCTTCCTTTTTTGCCAGAGTATGTTAAAGCAAATCTCAAACATCGTGTCCTTTTATCCCTAAATACTTCAAAATGCACCTCAAAGAAACAAGAACATTTCTCTCATTATTAACAAAATTTATAATTATATAATACTCTCTAATATCCTGTAAGTCTATAAAAGTCTTCCCTAAATGTATTATTTGAACCAGAATCTAAACAAGGGCTACTCTGTTATTTGTTGGTTATGTTTCTGAAGTAGCTTTTGTGTGTCTTTTTACAAGAACAGTCTCCCATCTCCTCCCCCGTCCTCTCTCCACTTCCTCCCACGGCGTTCGCAGGGTCACGAAACAAAGTCAGCTGCTCTGTAGAATGTCCCACCTTCCGCATTTGGCTGATTGCTACCTTGTGGTGCTGTTGTACTTAAATCCTCCATATCCCTTATAAACTGGAAGTTAAGCCTAAAGTCATGATTGCATTCAAGCTTTAATTAGGTGGGGTGGGGGTGGGGTAACTCCTAGGTGGTACTGTGTATTTAAAATTGTATCACATCAGAAAGTATGAATGTCTGATTGTCTAATTTTGTTGATGCTAATCTATAGTTGATTTATTTTCAAGATGAAATAAAACGTTTTCAGACATCCAAATTCAAACCTATAAAATAAGGTATATTCAAAGACACATTGTTTCCTTTCTTGTTTCTTTATCTGGTCCTTGTCTCCCCTTCAGGACAATCAGTTTTGAGTTTCCCCCCATGGCTTCTTTTTGCAAATATAAAAAAGCACACACATATCTTTGTTACAGAAAATGCAGTATACAATATGCTGCATACTACATCCTGTGTACTATATATGTACGCTCATCAACTTGCTTTTTTCACCACACATTATACCTGGATATCACCTCATATCAGCGTGTGGAGATCTTTCTCATTTTGTTTTTAGCTGCTGAAGTTCCATTTTGTGAATGTGCCATATTTTGTTCAACTAATCTTATAGTGATGGATAAGCTGGTTATTGTCAATCTTCTAATACAAAAAATAATGTTAAAATGAATAATGTTATGCATAAGTCATTTTGTGATTTTGCAAGTATATATTTGGTTAAAACTCCTAGAAGTGGGATGGTTGCTCAAAAAATAGCATATATGTAAATTTGCTAGTCAATTAAATTATGAATCTGATATTAATTTATATCGTTTTTCTCATCAGAAAGAAGCCAACAGAACATATAACTGTGAAAATTTAGGTCTCAGAGAAATTCCTGACACTCTACCGAACACAACAGAATTTTTGGAATTTGGTTTCAATTTCTTGCCTACAATTCAAAACACAACTTTCAGCAGACTCATAGAGCTTATCTTTTTGGATTTAACCAGGTATGTATCTGAGTTCCTTGTGTGCAGCTGATATTTTACTTAAGGAATAACACAACTTGCATTCCAATTGTGTCCGGGACCTTCTGGGGGGCACAGGGACAATCTGCTTATCCTATATGTTCACCCTCTCCCCTAAATTAGTTTTATGTAGGTGAAATATAATTTAAAAAATAACAATCAATAGAGAAGAAAAGGAATTAATTGTTCAACTAGATTGGGTCAGTCATGCTGTTAAGAAGGTCCAAGGAATATTGGTAGCAAAACTGTACTAAGTCAGGTGCCATACTGTAGTATGTTACTGGGTGATAACATTTAAAACACATTACAAGAGAAACACAAAATCAGGAAAAGAGTTCTATTATTTGGTTTTAGAGGCAGAATCCGGATTCCCAATGCCGAACCAGTGTTTATGAACCAGTGTTTATGAGTTTATGAACCAGTGTTTATGAACCAGTGCACAGAAGTATCACAAGGAGATAAAGGAAGCAAACAAAAGGGCAATACAGTGTGTGTGTGTGTGTGTGTGTGTGAGGGGGGGGAGGGAGGGAGGGAGGGAGGGGCTCTGCATGTGGATGGTGTCTGTACCTTTTGCACAAAGGTTTCTTTGGTTGTTCAACTTAAGCTTCTGCCGAGTGGGAGGGTATTTCCAGCCGGACACCCTTTCGTGTGTAAACCACCACATGAGGGAAGCACAGTGAATATGGTGGTTCTGCTCAGGTTCGATGAGGAAATGGAGGCTCAAGGAGACACTGTGAGATTGCTCAAGGTTGCAGAGTAAGGACACAGGGACTCTGCCCTCCTGACCCCCAGTCCAGATCCCCCCCCCCGCCCCCCAGCCACTTCCAGTGCACATGCTCAGAAACACTTGAGAGAAAAACCTTGCCCTGAAAGAGACACAGCTCATTCTGGCACCTACCTATTATGCCCCAAGGAAATTCACTTTCCCTCTCACTTACCGCATCTTACTTTTAGATGAAGTGAGTTTGACTGCATTTTTTTTTTTTTTTTTTTATTCTACTCAAGGACATTTTTCCGTTTTTTTGTTCAGGTAGAGTAGGAGGGAGAGAGAGAGAGAGAGAGAGAGAGAGAGAGAGAAGAGAGAGAGAGAGAAACATCGATGTGAAAGGGACACATCGAGTGGCTGCCACCCACACGACCGACCAGGGCTGGGGACAAACTGCAACCGAGGTACATGCCCTTAGCGGGAACAGAACCCGGGACTCTCTGGAACACAGGCCGACGCTCTAACCGCTGAGCCAAACTGGCCAGGGCTTGACTGCATTTTTAAAAAGTGCATGGGCCAGGACAGGTTTTCCAGCTGGAGAATTCTGTTTGTCTTTCTTATGTTTTATTTTGAATAATAGTGTACACTGTTTTCACTATACACAAATGATGACTTTGTTAATATAGGTCACTGTGACCGGGGTTTTTCTTATTTCCAATTAATCATTGTTAAATACTATTATCATTTTAAGGTGCCAGATTAACTGGATACATGAAGACACTTTTCAAAGCCACCATCAACTGAACACAATTGTGTTGACTGGAAATCCCCTGATATTCATGGCAGAAACCTCACTAAATGGGCCCAGGTCACTGCAGCACCTTTTTTTAATCCAAATAGGAATATCCAGTCTCGAGTTCATCCCAGTGCACAACCTGAACCACTTGGAAAGTCTGTACCTTGGAAGTAACCACATTTCCTCCATCAAGTTCCCAGAACACTTCCCGACACAGAATCTGAAGGTTCTGGATTTTCAGAACAACGCCATACACTACCTCTCTGGGAAGGACATGAGCACTCTGGAGGCCACCAACCTGCGCCTCAACTTTGACGGCAATGACATTAGAGGCATCGAACCTGGGGCTTTCCAGTCAAAAGTCTTCCAGAGTTTGAGATTTGGAGGGGCTCCTGACTTGTCGGTGATATTGAAAGGTCTACAGAACTCTACCACCCAGTCTCTCTGGCTGGGGACATACGAGGACACTGAGAGCCAAGACCTTACTCCAGCCATGCTCGAGGGACTTTGTGAAGTGTCTGTCGAGAGCATCAACTTGCAGAAGCACCATTTCTCTGACCTGTCCCCGCCCACACTTCGCTGCTTCACGGGCCTCCAGGAGTTGGATCTGACGGCAGCTCACCTGTCAGGGTTACCCCCTGGGATTCAGGGAATGACCTCTCTCAAGAAATTAGTTCTCAATGTAAATCACTTTGACCAACTGTGTCAAATCAGTGCGGCCAGCTTCCCGTCCCTTACAGACCTCTCCATCAAAGGCAACCTGAGGGAACTGGACCTCGGTGCTGGGTGTTTGGAAAAACTAGAAAATCTTCAGAGACTTGACTTAAGCCACAGTGTTGTGAAGGCCCCTGAGTGCTGCAATCTGCCGCTCAAAGGCCTGCACCACCTGCAGCACCTAAACCTGAGCTACGCCCAGGCCATCGGTCTCCAGGACCAGGCCTTCGAAGAGTGTCCTAGGCTGCAAGTGCTGGACTTGGCATTTACTCACTTGAGCGTTAGCGCTGACCAAAGTCCTTTCCAAAACCTCCGTCTCCTGCAGGCTCTGAATCTCTCTCACTGCCTCCTCGATACCAGCAATCAGCACCTTCTAGAAGGCCTGGCGGATCTCCGGCAATTGAATTTACAGGGAAATCGCTTTCAAGACGGGAGCATCTCAAAGACCAACCTACTTCAGACAGTAGGCAGCTTGGAGGTTCTGATGTTATCCTCCTGTGAGCTCCTCTCAATAGACCAGCAAGCATTCCGCAGCCTTGGGAAAATGAGCCACGTAGACTTAAGCCACAACAACCTGACGGACAATAGCATCAGTGCTCTTAGCCATCACAAGGGGATCTACCTCAACCTGGCCAACAACAGCATCTGCATCGTCCCACCCCATCTCCTCCCCATCCTGTCCCAGCAGAGCACCATTAATCTAAGCCACAACCCTCTGGACTGCACTTGCTCAAATGTTGCTTTCATAACGTGGTGCAAGGAAAACCTGCACAAGCTCGAGGACACGGAGGAGACCGTGTGTGCAAACCCCCCGTCTCTCAGGGGCGCTAAGCTCTCGGAGGTCGAACTGTCCTGCGGGATTACAGCCGTGGGCATCTTTTCTCTCGTGGTGTTTTTATTCTTGTTCACCATTCTGCTCGTCTTTTCAGTTAAGTACCTTCTAAGGTGGAAATACCAGCACATTTAGTGATGAAGATTTCCAGAGATGGCAAGTAAATGTGTTTTGCAAAATTGCCATAAGTAGAGGCACTATATTGTCTGTTCGTGACCAGACATTACACCTTGGTTGCTGGCACCGGGCAGAGATTTACTGTGCTTTTCTGAGCCGCAGAACTAATGGACCTTCCTGGAAAGTAAACGAGGGACAGATGCAGCTGTGAGAGACCAGAGCCATCTCCTCACGTGGAAGGTGGTGGAAGCTGATGGAGGGCCCGTGGCAGGGCAAAGCCAGGACTGTCACCCACAAGGAGGCCACTGCCCTTACTCTCATGACATCCTTCGAAGCACCTCCCACCCTGACCCTCACTGCCACCACCTGGGTGTGCTGAGGACCCCAGCTCCCAACTCTCTTTCCCACAGTCAGGCACTGTGCTTGCGTCTGAGTTCTCAGTCATGAGCATTTGGGGGAACTTGCTGTGGATAAAGTCTTAACGCTCATTTTAAATGAAAAAGGGAAAATGATGAATTTATAAGAGGCTGAAAAGTGAATCTTGCCATCAAATCGACTCCATTCATCTCCCTCATCCTCAGGTGTCTGTGGTCTCTACAATGTAGGGTGCAAATCACCACAAAAAATAAAGAATAAAAAGACTCCCCTGCCCCATCTCCCCTCCCCAAGCTCTAGGATTTCTGCTCACACGCGAGCCTGAGGACCAGGGAGGCTCGTCCTGCCGATCTGGAGTGCTCACTGTCGGCTCAGAGCCTGGCTTTCAGGTGGGCCACTGTCCAAATGCGCTTCTCATGGGGATGCCTGGTCCTGCGAATCCTCTTTTCCACGGGACCATGAGATCAGTGGTGGCTGGGCTCCCAGCCCAGCTCCAATGCCTATTCACCGGGACAGCGATTGAGACAGCACTTTTACAATGACGGCTGGTGGGACAGCATCTCTGCGCGCTAGCCATCTGTCGAGAACACAGTCAGCTGGCTCGGCGAGCGGTTTCTGTGGAGCCGGGGTAGCACCAGCGACAGAGATAAGGCAGGACCATCGAATGCAGAGAGAGAAAGAGGACAGGGAGCTGGCAGGTGATGACTTAGGCCTTCCCGGCGCCCAAAGGGTCGCGCTCCTGCAGGACTCCTCTTCTGAAGTCTACATCGTAGACGCGGGTGCTGCATGTACAAGGCCTCGGTTGAGTTCCAGAACCTGTTCTAGGCTAGCGATGGTAACTTACAGTTATAAATTCCTGATTAAATATCAAAGGAAAATTTGATAAATATTCAGTTAGAATTTATTGGCCCTTAGGTTGAGGGCATAATAGTGGGACATGATAACAGAGTGGAAACTTGGGGACCAACTCCTTTTTACTTCTCTATGCCCAGAAAAGACAGGAAAGACAAGGAAATAGTGAAAAGACATCATAAACCTTCCCTGGAAATGCTGTTACTCTTAGGGGATATTTTCTACTAAACAGGAGGCCAAGTTTTCCCACAAGTTCTTGGTTAGAGACACAAGGTCAGGGCTAGTGTCAGGTGAGTGAGGCTTTTGCCTTAGGTGCAGAATTTAAGGGAACCATGCTTTGTACAATAGTCAAGATCTGTAAAAAGCCCAAATGCCCATCACTAGATGAGTGTACAAAGAAGCTGTGGTACATTCACACAATGGAACATTCTGTGGCCGTAAAAGAGAAGGAAATCTTACCTTTTTCGGCAGCATGGATGGAACTGGGGATTATGCTGAGTGAAATAAGCCAGTCAGAGGAAGACAATTACCATGTTCCCATTTATATGTGGAATCTAATGAATAAAAGAAACTGACAAACAAAACAGAAACAGAGGCATGGAGACAGGGAGCAGACTGACAGCCTCAGAGGAGGAGGGGAGGACTAGATGAAAAACAGGAAGGGGTGGGGGCTGGGTACCCACAGGCCAAAGGGCAAAAATGGGGAAATCTGTAATAGTGTCAACAATACAAATACAAAAATTTAAGGGAGAACCAAGAAACTCAGTAATCAAGACAAAAATTTAATGCAATATTTTGAAAACTTTACGTTATTGCAAAAAAATTGATGATAAGACATTACAATTTTAAACAAGCCCTGGCCAGGTGGCTCAGTTGGTCAGAGTGTTGTCCAGGTATAGGTTTCGAGTTTGGTCCCTGGTCCGGGCATGTCCAAGAATCAACCAATGAATGCATAAATAAGTGGAACAACGAATTGATGTTTCTCTCTCCCTTCCTCTCTCTCTCTAAAAATCAATAAATAAAATTTAAAAACAATTTTTAAATACAGGGTTTGTAACAGTGCCATGCTGAACCATTTTAGAGCCTGAGGAAAAGGAAAAATTAGTAATACCAGTCTCGTCTTTGTTTAAAATGTTGATATTTTGTTCACTGTGAATGCTTTGCATTCGTTTTTTTGTTTGTTTGTTTGTTTTTTATGTTGTGTTAAAATATGTTTTATCTTCATTACTGGGTTTTTGGGTGCCCCCTTAGATTATGTGCCCAAGGTGGGTGCCTGGCTCACCTCACCTGTTCCCACCCCAAGGCCTGGTGAGAAGTGGGCATTCCCAGCTAACTCCCAGGCTAGTTTCCTGAAGGCCTCATCACTGGCATAGTATCTCAGTTTTATTCCAAAGTGTGTATCTCCTTCCCCTTTACATTCTGGAAGCAGAGAGAAGTGCGCAAGACCTTCCATCTGCTCCTCCATCCTCAGCTCGCTCTCAATCAACTCCTGAGCTCAGATGCGTCTTCCCCTCCAAGCCCCTCAAAGCCCAGAGAGGTGGCAGGGATGGATGGGTACTAAATCCATCTGAGTCCAAGCTGGCCGGGCCTGGCCAGAGCGGGCAAGCACGGCACTACTCTGCTGATGAAAGGAAGCATCGCAGTCAACGGCTTTAGGGATCTTGAATATCAGCTTTTAGGAAAACAGGTGTCTGAGAAGGGAGTTTTCCTTGACTTCCCAGGAAAGCACTTGAGAGGCAGTTTTTTAAGGACGTGTGTTAAAGGAGAAAGTGCCTGAAAATCCGAGAATGTTGAGGCACACCGCTGAGCCACCCTTACTTCTTCCGGGCCTAGGATGGTGGGGCATCCTTCTGCGATGGCCCATCGGAGCCACTACTGGGTGGGTATTCATCTTGAATTTGGCAGCTACTAAAGTCTTTGGTCATTGAGTTTCGGGCTCAGAAGGGACTGAAGTCAGAAGTGGGCGTGGCTGCCTTGCCGGACTCTCTAAGCGTCTTCCTGACTGCTGCTCCAGGGAAGGCCTCTCATCCCCGGGGCCTGGGACAGCACTGGTTTAGAAAGGCCAGGCAGCCACCCTCTGAAGGAGGAGCGAGCGCCTCCTGCTGACTGCACCCCCCAGCTGCCCGGTCTTGCTCAGGAACCATTCACCGTTGGGAATCCAGGCAGGAGGTGGTAGGACACATGGTTCTTTTGTTGCGTTCATTATGTTCATTGGTTTGCACCAAATAAGATGATCAGCTCTGGAAACTATGGGAAATATTGCTGATGGTGAGCACGAAGATGCAGACAGCACGACCACAGGCAGCCCCTCCCTCCCTTTCTTTCTTCCTTTTCCTTTTCCTTTACGTTTCTTCCCTCCTTTCCTTTCCTCTTTCTCTCCCTCTGCACGTCCCTCCTTTACTACTTCCCTCCCTGTCTGCATCCTCCCTTCCACCACAGGGTACGGAAGGCACACGCTAGGACTCCAGGCCCGTGTATTGTAGCAGATGAGGTTCTTGCCCGCCTCCAGGTGATACGCAGCAGCAGGAAACAGAGTGATGACCTCCACTCCATAGCCACATGCTCCTCCATGGTACTGAATGTGCAACTCGGGAAAACCACCCACTCTGAGGAATCTGTCTAGTGTGAACTGCATCCCCTAGGGACTGGAGGGTCCCAAGCCCTAGCAAAACGCACTCAGCCCTCTGCGTGCGTTGACCAGGCAGGCGCCCCTTCCACACAGCAGGACTTGAAGCTCCGTAACTGCGCTGATCTAAGGCCCTGCCACAGCACCTGTTTTAAGCAACAGTAAATTCCCTTACAAAGTCAGAAAGGGAGCTTTTTGATAGCTGCTGTCAATTTTATTGCTTTATCCTGGTTACTAGGATAGAATCTGTAGACACGGTGTGTTTATTGGTTTTATGTGTCGCATGTTGTCGCTGCTCTGACAAGCTAGTCCTATAAAAACGTGTTATTATCGCATGTTGTAGCTCAGTGAGCTGACCCTGCATTTCAAAGTGTACTGAAGCAAATAGCATTGAAGTCCATAAAAACTCACTGGCCTCCATCACAGAGGACTCTGCGTGAGCTGCAACTCCCACAATCTGGGCACAAATTACACCTTTCCCCCTGCCGGCAGCCACCCTGCTACCTGGACACAGCAAGACCCGAACGCGCACTGCCTACCCAACGTCCAGGAGACGGGCCCTTCATTCCTTCTCATTCAATTCTCCAGTAAGTGCTGTTTCCAATGTTCAAGTTTACAAAAGTATGTGATAAATGGCTTTTTAATTTTTATATACGACCCAGGCGGGGTAGCTGACACTGTCTTCTACCTGCTCTGAATGCTGAAGAGGAAATTAACTCGAATTACAGCGAGAGAGGATGCGATTAGTTCTAAGCAAGTCAGGACTGGGAGCTGGGCGCGAGCTGGAATCAAGTGCTGGGAGCATCAGAGCTGGAATGTCTACTTGGGGGGTATTCGCCTGGAGGCTGCAGAGGAATGGGCCAGCTCGGAGGGGCTCCCAGACAATGGTTCACCCCCAGGACCACCAGGGGAGTCTTTATAAAACAGATTCCATGTCCACCCTCGATAATGGGATTCTGTTAGACTGGGGTTGGCCTGGGATTCTTAGCCAAGTGATTTCATAGAAAATCCTTCCCTAGTCTATTTAATCAAAAAAAATAGTGGAAGCATGTGCTAGGCTTCCTGAGTCGAGTGAGGTGAAGAAGTGCTCCACATTCTGTAAGAGGAACTGTCCTCACTAAATGGGAAAGAGGACTCAGGAGCCCTGGGACCCCAAGGCACCCCGGGAAGGCAGCTTGTTGGTGTCTGGTGCGGGCCCGCCTGTCACAGGCTCGCTTCTAACCACCCTGCTCTGCCACCCGCCCCTCCCCCTCCCACGCTACCCCAGCTAGACACAATTTGAAATAATATAGTACATATTGTCTTGAAAAAAGGAAAAGAACTCATTTACAGATTATTTTTAAAAGCCATCATTGCCCATTTAAGACCGAATAGTGGACTTCCCTGAATACCCTCCTTTGACTCCCCGTCTTTAGATGACATTCTTTACGCATTGACCGCACAAGGCATAGTAGATCCTGCGAAGGTGGGCAGCAGAGACAGGGCCCCTGGAGCATCCATCCATCTCCTCCCCTCCTGCTGTTCGTGGGCTTTCTCAACAGCTTCTCTTCCTCTCGTCCTTGGGAACAACCCAAATATCCAACAATAATCGATGATTAAATAAATTAGGGGTTAATCCAAACAAATGGGAGACATTCTATGTCCTTGGATGTGATAACATTATAAACATGTTGATTCTACTAGAAAACAGAGAAATACAAGTTGAAATGAAATCAAGTTTGTATCTATTCTCTTGGCAAGAAGAGAAAGCTGGACGAGCGCGCGGGGGTGAGCCAGGAATTACAGGAGCTGCTCATGGGCGTGGACCGGAGCCGCCGCTAGGACCGCGTGGCAATAGCTAGTCAAGTTAAATACATGACCCACAAGTTCTGTTCCGGGTACATACCCAAGAGAGTTTCGCGTTCTCACAACGTCCAGTGCAGCGTTAGTTACAGAGAAGGAAATTCCAGTTTGAGTGTTCATCTTGAGTGTTCATCGCCAGGACAAAGGACAGGTGGAAGGTGGAAGACACCCTCCTGGGGTACGCACGGCAGCGGGGGCAACAGATCGGGGCAGCTATCCCAGTGTAACTGAATCTTAAACACATAGTGTTGGGGGTCAGTGAGAGGATGTGACGGCCAGTGGACCCCAAGTTGGACCCTGACAATTAGAGGGTCCTTACCCTTGTCCTCGGAATATGCGCTCTGCCCAGTGTTCCCACAGTGGGAGCCACTTCCAAGAAAGCAGCCTTGAGAGAGTATCACTGAGAACATCTGGACAGTACCTGTGACTGAACCCCTTAGGGCCTCTATCCCCACGCTTCAGATTCTGGCAGGTGGGTCAGAAGATCTGTCTCGTGGCCAAAATAAGCCTTGTTGGTGTTCTCTTGCTTATCAAAACTGCTACCTACCCATCTGGAGTGGTCTGCCTCCTTCTCCAGCCTCTCCCCACACTCCGAGTGCAGGGGGTCATGTGCAAACCAACCTATAGGGCTTGACGAACAAACCAACCCCAAATGACATGTTAACATGAATATTTCTATGAATTAAAAACACGTACATACAAAACAGTAAAACCTACATTTTGTAAGAACACCATCAAGATAAACCTCTGACATGGTTTCCTCTGGAGTGGAATACGGAGATGGAAGAGAGTGTAGTGATCAATTCCGCAAACCTTAGTAGAAGCCCAGGTTGAGGTGCCAAGAACTGAGGTCGACCTCAGTCGTTCGTACCTGAGGTTCTCTGCTGAGCGCACACGCGCGAGAAAAACCAACGCAGCAGGCACGACCCTAAGATGAAATGCCATACCGCCATTAAGAGTGCAGACCTATACTTGTAGACATTGGAATACATTTGTGATTTAATACTAAGTGAAAGATCAGGTTACCAAGTATGCTATTATTTCATTGTCTTTGAAAAATAAAAAGTCTATATAGGTTGAAGAATGACAGAGGGCTACGGGATTGCAGTGATTCGAACATTTTTCTTCTTGCGTCTCTGTATTTCTAATTTGCCTGTGATAACCATGCACCGTGCCATTACGAGGAAATAAGAGATTATTTTACAGAGACTATTTTTGTTTTTACAGAGAGAGGTAAAAGAATAATAAAGAGGTCATTGGTTGTGAGAATTTACAGGTACTAAAAGAAGGTAACCTTCTTCTAAGGCTTTGTGTTTTCAAGTGTAAATGGAAGCCCAGCTCTATGGGTTGCTCTTTCCTTTTCCTTGAGGACAGAGGGAGCCGCACTTGTTCTAAGGTTGCTCCAGGGAGCTGGGCCTCGAATTACAGGATGGCTCTGTGCTGCCGGACGTGGATGGGCGTCCACAGGTACTGTCCTTCGTCCCAACAAGAGTAAACGTCTCCAGCCCAGGAAGTCACTTCAGCACAGCAGTAACACGGAGCGTGTACTCCAAAGGGACAGAGCTTCCAGGCAAAGGACTCAGACAGCTCTGGCCGGCAGTCGTGGGCACGCCAGCCGGACACATGAAGAACTGGTAGCCGCAACATGGATGCAAACATCTTTCCTCTTCACCTCCCAGCTGCGGACAGTCACCTCCAGGCAGCGCTTAATGAGACCCGTGAAATGCCTTCAGCTTTACAACAAATCAACGTTTTAAAAGCTGTGTGGGGCAATAAAGAGTAGCCATACGCAACCGATCTTTCTTTTCCCGCATCTGAACAGACTTGACTAGCATGTCACAGTGTACAGGAACTTCAGTCTTGGGCGCAAATCCCCTTCGAAGTGCTTGCCTGCATCCAAGTACCGGAACCGCAGCCCGCCGCCGGCCGGATGGTAGAAGACATTCCAGGCCTTGGGGTGCGTGGGGCCGGGATTCAGGGAGGTGCTGCTGCAGGTGTTTCTGGCAGGGCTGGTGCCGATGACTCCAGTCTAGAGTCTGAGGTGTCTGAACTGCCACAGAATGGGAACCTGGGCCAGACTGACTGACATTCAAAATTTAAACAGTAAGGAAACTTAGATTCAACAAGGCTGTAATTATGATACAGGAAATGTGTATGAGATTAACTGGGGTCGGGATAGAAGAGAAGAGGAAAAACACAAAATGACTGCTTTGAGGAATGAACTAACAAAGGGGTGGGGAAATGGGACATCTGTAATAGTGTCAACAATAACTATTGTTGGGAGGGAAGTTAAATTTGAGAATTGCCCTACCACTGTTCTTTAATGCCTATACGGAAGGAAGCAAATTTCTGTCATTAAAACGACGACACTTTATGTTACATCTGTGTTGTGAACTGAAAATGCTGGATGGGAAATTGCTACTGATTAATTTAGAACCAATAAAAGAGCCTATTACCTAGAGCAAATAGCTTCCTTGGCTCAGGGTTTCCCACCCATCATCAAAGTTGTAATTTTGCACCATATGAATTTTTTTCAGCATATAAAGAAAGAGACCATGAGGGGACTTACTCATTCCTAGAGGGGCCTGGGTCTGAATTCCACTGCACATCTGGCAATGCTTAGAAAGGTCAGAGCTTTGGAACCAGAAAAATCTAGATTCTAATCCAAGCTCTTTACAAGGTGTATGTTAAGCAATGACATGGCCTTCCTGGGCTCGCTTTCTCATCTGTAAAATGGGGGTGCCACCACCATCTGGTTCCAGGATTGTGTTGGGGCTCAAATGAGATGATTGATGAAAAGCATCACGCCCAGTACTAAGCATATCTATCTATCTATCTATATATAATTCTATTATCTATCTATCTATCTATCTATCTATCTATCTATCTATCTATCTATCATCTATCATAGGTAGACAGTAAGTGTTGGGTCACTTCCTTCTTTCCTTCCTGATAGTTTCAATGGTTTTTAAGTATGAGGAAACAGGAAAGAAGAAAAAGAAAGATGAGAGGACATCACAGTAATCGATGGAGCAAGGTTTTGGGAGCCTTGAGGGAGGCGGTGTCACGGAGGAGGACACCCCTCTCTGAGACCGCAGGGAGGTGGTGAGTGTGGTGTGGAAGCTGAGAGTTCTGCAGGAAGAAGGCTGACAGGAAACAGGGAGGTAAAGGAGACTTAATCTCGAAGAATGGAACATGTTTGTGTAAGTTAAAGACTTAGCAAGCCTTTCCACTCAACAAAGAGGGATCTACACAAACCCATACTTCCCATCATAAAGTTGAATTCAGTAACATTCAGAGAGTATGTATGTGTGTATATGTAAAAAAACCACACAACTTATTAGCCATGATCTTTTCATGCTAAACTTTTATTTCAATGTTATGCAACTGCATAAGTATAAATATTTGTTCAATATACAACAATTATGACATCCATAGGGAATTTCTTAGAGAAAATAAGACTGCAAACACTTTATTGCACAGATCCTAACAAACTTTAAGCTGGTAAAGCTACCGCTGGGAGTACTACCGAGGGGCACATCTTACAACCACAAGAGACTGACCAAAGAGAACACAGGAAGTTTCTACCAGCCGACTGGAGAGGCTTACGACGACGAACAGGTATCACATGAATGCAACCTTAAGTACTCTTTACTCATCCAAAATGCAAAAACATATTTGGCAAAATGATAATACACTATACAAAATATACATAAATATATCCTTTGTAAACAAGCACCTAGTTGTGCTTTAAAGGAAACTGGACAACTAAAAAGCAAAGGCTGTAAACCATGAACTGCCTCCCCACAGACCTGTCTCCATGTCTGAGTGCGGAAGCATTGCGGTACGACGTCCGACAGACAGACATGAATTACAAATGCTGAGACCACCTTTGAAACCCATTTTAATTCTTGTAAAACACTTGTTTCTTCTACCACCTCACAACATAGTGATGGGCAATGGCTAAAGCGACATGGGAAAAATGGGGGCAAGGAGACTTTTCCTACTGTTTTTCCTTTTGTCATAGCCAACTCAGTTTGCAGTGAAGGACAACCCGCAGTTGGTTACATTACACCTTTGTTTTTGGAGCGGAGTTTACAGCCTCGCTAAATGATTTACAATCCACAGGGACATGGGACGATGCTTAGAGGGAGAATTTTACAGTCTAAAGATACAATGACATCCCCGAGGGGCTGTGGGTGCTGGGTTAGTATTCATTGGTAATTATTTTTTCTCTTACAAAACAAAAATTCCTGCTATGGATCCCAAACATCTTATAAATACTTATCTGTGTGTATTTTCTCTTAGTATTAGTGCCTTAGTATTTATGTCAGCAAGTGCCGTCTTGCCATACAAAACAAACCACCAGGAAAACTGCAACAGAAAAACAAACAAAAAACCCCTTCAGCACTAAAATGATTGGATAAATTCTACATATTCTGTGGTGTACAAAATTTAAATAAGGCTTAGCAAAAGTAAAAAGGACAGTCACATTCAAGCACCAAATAGCTCCAACGGGTCTTTTTGTTATAAAAATGCTGCTCTTTATTAATACAGTCTTTTTTTTTTTTTTTTTGCATACAAATAAGAGGTCATGTTATGGAATGGATGGAGCTACCCGATGCGTCAGAAATGAATGTGAAACCCAGGAACTTGCTAAAAACAGCAAGCGTCATCTACAACATAAGGCCCCAGATATGTATTACAGGGTATCTGATGTCCTGATTATTCCTTAATATATATGCTGTGATGCCAAAATCTAACTCCCCTCCTTTTCCTCAAAAAAAAAAAAAAAAAAAAAAGCCAATTTAAAACCTCTTCCAGTGCCTGACGCTTGTTACTCAAGCTAAGTACTAGCAGGTGTGTGTGCAGCGAGTCCTGTTCCTTTTGTGTTCAGAGCAGAGCTGGTGCTGGACTATCGCAGGTGTGCTTCTCAGACTAGCGGCTCACAGCAGAAAGGCCTGAGTTTAAGAGCATGAAACGAAGAAAAAGCAGGAGCACAGACAGAAAGACCACGTGTGTTTAGAGGCCCCGCTCGACCGAGGGTGGAGAGCCGACGACACAGCCCCCGACGAGGACAGCCGGCCTTGCGGGCGGGGGACGCAGGAGCGAAAGGTTCATTAGGATGACCGTGAGATGGACACGGCGAGCCCACGTGTGCGGGCCATTCCTAGCGGAGGAGGATTCCAGGTGCAGCAATTAGAGTACTTCTGGCGTTAGATCTGGAAACACAGGTAGCCAGATACAGTACTACCCAAATCTCTGGTTAAAAAGACACATAAAAACTCACCAGCTACTGTATCCAAGGATTTCTTGCATCTTTCTCTCTACTCTGGGTGTTTTAACTTAGAAAAAATGTAGTCTTAAAATAGTCAAACCACAGACCAAAACATGTGTGTGGGTGTGTATATACACGAATATGGGTGTCTCCATACTTTCACATACATCGGTTTTAACCATTTTGCTTCATTACTACATTATAATACGTGGTAAAGCAAAAATCTTACTTTTTTTTTTTTTTAAAGCTGTAGTAAATGATGCAATGAGCAGCAAGGTGTAGACTCTACATCCCAAACCAAACACATTGCCAGATATTTACAGAGAAATACCCTCAACAACCCTCAACTGTAAAGGTGTTTATTTTTCTCGTACAAACACTATCTGGTAACAGTTTTACCGGTTAGAACTGGGAAGGCATTTGGAAGAGGTCCCTCTTTCTTTCCTCTTTCTCTCTCTCCCCCTCCTGCAGCGCGGCCCCAGGCCCTGCCTGGCAATTCCCGCAGTGCTGGTTTCGAAGGTAGTCAGGACGCAGTGACACATTCAGGCGGGGTCCCCCTGTGCCGCTGGGGCTGCCCCATTAGGAGGCCTTCTTGTGAGGGCTGCTCCGAAAACCCTCCTTCCCCCGCCTCTGCCGGACCACGAAGTCCTTCTCAGAAGAAAGGGCGACGGGGCGGTCAGAGCTGGGAGCAGGGGACGGCTTGGCGCCCTCTCTGCCCACGTTCTGTTTCCTAGTCTGAGGAGGCTGGGCCGGGGCAGGCTCTTTCCCTTTGGTTTCTCCTGTGCTGGCCGTTACCGAGGGGGCCCTGTCCCGGGGACCGGCTCCCCCTGCCCCGTTTGGGTTGGGGTGGTGTAACTCCATGGTGACGGTGGGGCTCCGGAAGGATGGAAAGGAGTCACTCTTTGTCATCTGAGCTCCACCGTCGCCCCCAGATGGGGGTTTCCTCTGGTCCCGGTGGCTGGGAGCTGCGGGCTCAGCGGTGGCTCCACCGGCCTGGGCAGGAGAGGGGTCGCCGCTGGCTGTGGGGGCCTCTCGAACTCCTGGTCTGGCTTCAGGAAAGCTGGCAGAGCCGCCCAGAGACGTCTCCAGGAGGGCAGTGGACCGAAACGAACTCTGCCCGATGGCTGAGGGGGACCATTTCATGCCGCCGGGCTTGCCTGCCTCCGTTGGTGGCTTCTGGGGACCAAGCCCTTTCCCCTTGGCCTCTGACAAGCCCTTCCCCAGGGCTGCTGCCGGCCTCTCTGTGCCCCTCGGCCTGGCCTCACCATGTGCCAGAGACCAGCTGTCCTCCGGCTTCCCGCCGTCCGCCGGAACATAAAGTGCTTCCGTGTATTTCTTCCCTTCAGACTTCCTATCTGTGGCCGTGGCCAAGGGGCTAGGGCTCTTGTCTGTCTGTCTGCATGGCAGGGGGCCATCTTTCACAGTGGATGGTTTGGGGTGCTTTGGAGACAGGTCTAGCTTTTCACTGACAGTGGGAAGTTTCTGGTCCACAGACTCACTCAGCCCTGGGTGTCCCTGCCGTGGCAGGTGCACAGGCTTCTCCCGCATCTCTGGGACGTGCCCACCATCGGGGGGCTTCAGCTTGGTGTCCAGAGGACCCCCTTTGGGAAGCAGGGAGCCTGAGGGCCCACCGCCTCCCTGGCAGATCACATTGCTGGCTGTGTTCTGGGGGCCTGGGAGGGCAGGGGGTGCATCCAACACGTCCTTACTGCTGCCCTTTCCCTCTCGGCTGGGGCCACCGGGGGCCTGTGTGCCAGGCTCTCTGACCACTGCAGCCCCGACGCTCAGCTTCTGCGAGGAGAGGGGCCTGTCTGTGTGCTTGGACTTCGGAGGGTCAAGGCCAGGCCTGGGCTTGTGGCCACTGCTTTCGCTGTGCCCAGCAGTGGGCTTGGGTGGGTCCTGGAGGCCCAGGCTGGGCTCTGCCGCACAGGGTTTGCTGCCCAGCTCTCTGCCTGAAGAGAGGCTGGGGGTGCCCCAGTGCTGCCGAGCTGCCAGGCTGGGCAGTTCTTTGGTAACCGGTGGGGGCTGAGAGCCACCGCTGGGACGCTGTTGCAGCTGTTCTTTCCTTTCTGGTTCCTTGGAGGCTTCTTTCTGCAGAGCAGGGAAACTGGAGAGCTTTTCACTCCTCCCACTCTCGGGGGGCGGCAGGGCGCGCCGGGCCGGAGGGGCGTCCGCCTTGGGTTCCAGGCCACTCCTCCCCTTGCCCAGCTCCCTCTCACAAGGGGTCCCCACTGAGTGTGAAGAGGAGTCCTCTCTGGCCGGCGGCCTGGCCTCATCTCGGCCATCTCTGTGGTTTGTCTTCCCACAAGGCCCCCACGCTTTCTCCACGGCCTGGGTCTGTGCATGGAGGTCCGGGCGGGCCCTCCCCACAGAGGAGAGGTTCCTGTTGTCACCGGGTTTAGCAGCTTCTGGAGGACACAGCTCCATGGAGGGGTCTCTGCGGACATTCGCCCTGGCAGCAGACGGCTCAGTTCTGGCTGCGGAAGGGCCCTTTTCCAGCGATTCCCTCCCACTCAGCTTGTCCCGGGAGGGGGCGACTTCCGGTGGGAGCGGGCCGTGGGGCCTGGCCGGGTGGGCGCCCTGGGCATTCTGCCCCAGCAAGGGCAGGCATCTCGCGTCGGGGCTCGGGCCTTGGTGTTTGCTGGGGTTGCCCTCTCTCCGCTGGGGGTCGTTCTCCACGTATGTGGCCAGGCTCCTGGTAGCATGGGCAACTTTCCTGTCCTGCTTCAGCTCTGGGTCGGGCAGGGGAGCGGATGGTGCACCCTGGAGACCCCGGCTGGGTGGCAGGAACCGAGGCTCGAGCACGCAGGATTTGTTCACCTTGAAGCCAGCAGGGGAAGGCTCCTTCTGAGTAGCGGGGTCACCCTTCTTCCCCCTGTTGCTGGGGAGAGCGGGCGGCACAGAGGGCCCGCTGCCTGGGCTGGGGCTCTGTGTGGATGCTGGGGAAGGCAGCTCGGTCTTGGGGGCCTGGGGTCCAGACAGGAGCGCAATGTCCAGAGTGCCCTCAATTGGCTTCAGACATGACACAGACCTACCTTCCAGCTTATACTCAGAGGGGCTCTTCCGGACAGGTGACTCAGAAGCAACCAAGCCCGGCTTCTCTGCTCCGCCGTCCACCCGGCCAGCTAAGGCCTTGAGCGGGACGAAGGACACGCCGCTCATCGGAGCCACGTGGGCGCTGCTGATGAACGCTCGGCTCTCAGAGGTGGGCGCCGTCTCCTGCTGCCCACTCACGGGCCGGACTGCGTTTCCTGGCAGGCATTCATGGGCACTAGGGGTCATCTTGGGCTTGAGCACAGGACAGACGTTGTCATCTTTGTCTTCGACTGACATTTTCTTTCGGAGGTAATCGATGTTGGCCAGCTTGCCATCTAACTTTTCACACCGGAGACACTCCTTGGCCGGGGGAGCCTTCTCCACACTGTCCCCCTTCCCGGAGACGGGCCTGTCTGCGGAGTGACAGAGACCATCTTGAAGGATGCTGGGAGCAGAGGCGTGTTTGAAGTCACAGGGGCCCTGGCCGAGCTCCCCGGGCGCCTGGCCACAGGCAGCCGCCACCCCGTCGGCGGCCGCGCCCTCGCTGGCCCGCTTGTGAAGGGCGCCCTTCAGCAGGCTGCCCAGGGCCTGCGCCTCCGGTGCGGCTGCTTTGCTTTCAAAATGGGTTGACCTTTCTAAAACCTTTGGATATATTTTCTTCTCTCTCTCTTCCAGCCTCAAGGCAGAGTGGTTTTCCAAGTCACTAGCAAGTCCGTGGGGTTTCTGGTGGGAGTCTTGTTTCTCCGGGAGGCCGTCGGGTTTCTTCACCACCACCTTGGTCTTCAGCTTCTCCCGGTCCAGGTCGTCCACAGACTCCTGCCTTCCCAGCTTCCGGGAGACCGGGCGCTTCAGGCAGCCTTGCTCCACCGGCCTGGCCCGGCTGAGGGCCGGGGCGTCACAGGTGTTCTCCTCCAGGCTCTGCAGGGTCACCTCCCGCTGCGGCTGTTCCCGCTGCACCTCCTCCTGGGTCACCTCCAGGCTGTGCTTGCGGGAGCACAGGTGCTTCTTGTCGCTGCTGTAGGAGGGAGAGAGCTTCTCCTCCGACTGCACGCGCTTGAGCAGGGGCGACCGCGGGGGCTCCGCGCTCTTGGGCCTCACGATGTGTCTGACGATGGTGGGAGGGGAGTGCATTTTGCTGGGAAAGGCTTGAGTAATCTTAGAATTGCCAAGTGAGTGTCCCAGCAGAGGCGACGGAGACCGCTGAGGAGACGTGGGCTGCGGAGTCGGAGAGGGTGTCCGGGCCAGGGGGGACAGTGGGATGCTGCCCGCTGACTTGCGCCTCCCGGACCGGTACCGCTGCCCACTGAGTTTGGGGGCCAGACCGTGGAGAGTGCTGGGTCGGATGTGTCCTGACCCCGCTGGGGAGTTGGGAGCACTAGAACTTGGGGAGCTGCTCTGCGAGGAGTTAGTTCCTGGGGACAGAAAACAACACTGTGAGCAGCGGCCACCTGCCCTCTGTTCTCCACCCTCCAGCCCAAACTGCTTCAGGTAAGGTCAGGTCCAGGTCAGGATGATCGCAACAGCCAGTGTGCATGAATGAATGCTTTCTGGATCACCCTCCCGACACTGAGCGTTAACCCAGCACTTCCTGTCTAATTTAATGGTCTGAATAGCCCCATCTTATGACCTCCAGTAATCCTCGTGTCTCAGGATCTGAGATGGTGACTGACTTCCTCTCCCCTCCCCCTTGCTCTCCTGGCCAGGAGGCTCACTCACCAGATGGGAAGTCAGGGGTGGACCGATAGCTGGGCGTGGGAGATCGGGGAGACAGACTGTGGGTGGGGGACCCCGGGAGGCTCTCCCCCGAGGACAGTGATCGGTTCAAGCAGGAGAAACTTCGGCTGGTGTGAAGTAAAGGAGAAGGCTGCTTGGCTAGTTTTTTGAAAAGGGATCTCCTCCTAGAGTGGAAACAAGAGGAAATGGGTCAGATTCTCTGTTGGGAGCCGCTCTTGCCCCCCCCCAATTCCTGAGTTCCGTGCACCCCTCTGTGCCGGAGACAGCCATGTGACAGCAGATCCTTGAAAGGAGCAGGACCCCACTGCTCCATTGTGACTCTTCTTATGACTTAGAGAGGAACATAGATACAAGGGGAGCTCTCTGAATTTCAGACATAGAAGAAGAGCTGGGAAATTTTTTTAAAAGTATATTAAAGTATATATTCATTTATTTGTCAGGTTTATGAGGAGGGTGTGCTTTGCCTGAAGACTTCTGAGTATGTACCCCCAGATACTGACACCACATATTGACACAATTTCATTAAGAGACAATACCAAGTAAATCTCCGGAAGAAAAATCATCCCGGATACAGATTCCTCAGTGGCGACGCTGGGCAGAGGCTCTGTCTAAGAGGGGCTGTTTGCTGGGCTCATTCCACTCTGGGGCCCTGAATACCCTAATGCAGGCTGTACACTTCGTAGAGGAGCCGAGAAAGGTGAACTGAAGCCTGTCATACCCGCGGGCAGCAGGGGTCACGCCGCAGCAGGAGCAAAGTGTGCTCAGGGCTCAGCAGGCACATCCTGGAGCAGAAGGCCCAGCACCCGGGCTCAGACCTGCAGGTGGCCCAGTTCCCTTCCATCCCGCACACCCGCCCACCCCACGGGCAAAGGCAGGACGTTTAAACACCCTCCAAGCAGTGTGCTCTGTACAACTCACAGCGCACACTAAATATAAAGCACACATGAAAAAAGAAGAATCTCAGAATGTGTGTGTAATTTTCATAAAAGCAATACATGCACTTGGGTGAAAAAGCCAAACGGTTTTATAAACTTGTAATGAAAAATGACAACTCCCCTCCCCTGCCTTTTTTGGCTCACTCTCCAGAGACCAGGAGTGTTTCTTCCCGCTCTGCCTGCACGTTGCTAGGTAATGTGCTTACATTACTTCTTAGTTTTTCAGTTTCAGAAATTGTCCATGTACTACCAGAGAAGATGAGAATTAAACTCTTATATACCCCCCTTCCACCTTCTGATCAAATATACTCCCCTTTTTTATTCCTCCTAATAAAGCTCAACAAAACTTTTGGGTTAAAAAAGAGACTGGTGTTTTCTCCATGTTATGAATAGTGCTCACAGTGGGGCCATGTAAAGCATAATTCTATTTCCTTTATTGTCTAACTCTGTCTTCCCTGGAGTTGAGAAGCATTCCTTTTACATTCCCCCCAACATTTCTATCCTCAGAAATCCTCTTCATGTGAGCAGACGCATCCGCGTCGCGTGGGTGAGAGGCGCCCAGCATCAGGCAGGGGCCCCCAGACCGCTCCTGGCAGGAAACGTCCCCACCAGGAACCAGGACCGTGCTCTGCATCGTGCCAGGGTCCTGCACACGGCGCAGAGATGCTCGCCGTGTCCCCACACCCCAAGGTGGCCGAGCTGGATCTTCAGTCCGGAAAACAAAGCCCTTTTATTTCTAGGCTTATTGGGATGCTTCTAAGATATAGTTATTTCAGAATATCTGGCATTTAAAAAACACCGACTGTTTTGAGATAAGGTAAAGAATATTATGAAATGGAGCCTTGATGTCAAGAACTGCTTGAAGGTCCACTTCCTCAAATCCGACTCACATGAAATGAAGTCTGGAGGCTTAAGAGACACCACAGGGCTTTTCACAGTTCCCACATGTGAGATAAAGTATCTGAATTCTTCTACAGTGTAACTACGTAAGCCTTTCACTGTGAAAAATAAGGCTGTTGTGCATATGAACTTTCTGGTCTAAATATATGGGAACCACAGCATCGTAGCACTCGTGCATAATCATCTGCATGGAGCAGGGCGCGACGCCCCTCCAACATGGCTGGCTGTCCACTCAGCCGCCAAGAACACGCTGGAGCTGACCTTTCCAGGTTTTCCTTCTTCTTGGATTTCTTGCTCCGCCTCACCATCCGGCTCTTATAGCTGTTTCTCCTGGCTGGTCCCGTTTTGATGGATGTGTTTTCAAACGGGGTGGTAGTGATTGACACCTTATTCCCACTCTATAAAAAATAAAACATGAGGTGGTGGTAAAGGGAAATGCTGTAATAAAACAAGATTAGAACAGAGATAGGAGAGTCAAAGACAAAGATACATAGGACACACACAAAAAAGGACCTCCATTTCAAAAAAAACCCAAAAAACAAAACCATTTAAGCAGTGAGGTCCTGGAGAATACAAACTGGGTGGAAGTAAAATGTGAGGTTTCTTTAAGAGAGTAGGCTCTGCTCTGAGTTCAAATCCACGCTCTGGGACCTGAGCAGGCTGCTTCTCCTGCTTCGGCACCCACTCCTGTGCTAACAGGGGAATCACGCCTGTCTCCTGGGGGCTCCTCCGAGGGCCCAGTGTGATATGTGGAAAGGTGCTATAAATAACAGTTAGCTTCATCCATATGTATGAAGTGTAAATAATGTGCCCAGGGGCTGTCTCTTTGGTTGATTTATTTTTCTTTTTGCTCATTTTTGTGTTTTTCCTTTGACCTAGAAATCAAAGAGTAATAGAATTGAAAGAGACTTTTATTTTTCCATTATTTTTAGAGGTTCCTTTTCTATCACCATAAAACCTGTCAGCTTGCCGAACTGGAAAGTTTATGCCAGTAAGCATGAAGCGGCCTCTTTTCAACAAGGTCACGTCTGGAAAGGTCATTCCAGCAGGTTCCTGTGCCCCTCGCTCAGTCCTGGGCCTGGGGCTTACTGGGCAGGCCGTGGGGACAGAGTTGAGAATGGAGTCGCAAGCCAGGCTGAAGGGTGCCCAGGGCAGGGGGGCAGGACCGATGCCCTTCACTACGGCATCAATGACCTCTTCTTGAATTTATTAATAACCAAGGGAGAAACATGTCCTTTCAAAGTCACAGAGAGCCCTGATCACCTTGAAAAGATGAGAAGTATAAGGAGAAGGGCCCTTTAAAAAGCCCATGCCTGGAAGACACAGCAATTCAGCTCTCGGTGGTACTAAGACAAGAGGAATTTAGTGTGATGGGGCAGGAGACTGAAAAAAACGAAGACTGTTTCAATGTTAACAGCTACTCCGTCCTCCAGTCTGGGAAGTAATAGATGCCATTATAAGAAGAAAACAGTCAGGTATAAATAAAAAAGTAACCATCCTTGAGAAGTCAACCACTCAGCCAACATTGATATTTCAGTACCTGTCCTGCAGGTATTTTCTCAGGCATGTATAAATATAAATATAAATATAAATATAAATATAAATATAAATATAAATATAAATACAAATACAAATACAAATACAAATACATATATATATACACACACACTCCATAAATATTTTAACCTTAATCTAATATTTAGTTTCATGTTGTTTTTCATTTCATATTATAAAACTTTGAAAAACTTGCCCTTCATCATTGAATATTTTTTTAATGGGCTATATTATAATATACCATCAGATGGGTGGATCAAAATTTAGCTATTTCCCTACTGCTATTGTTTTCTACTTTGCAATCCTTACGAGAGCGGACATAAACACCCTCGTCTACGTGTCACTGCCCTAACCTCTGACATTTCCCTTAGATTGGGGGAACTGAGATTGGGTCATTGGACTCATCACTGAATTAAAGGGTCCATCAGCACTTTTCAGACTGCTGCTCCACGCTGCTCCACTCTCCCAGAAACCTGTGTCGATTTGTACTCTGGCCAGCAGCACACGGCTACCTATCTTACCACAGGATGGTCAGAACTGAATATCAGCACAGAACAAATCACTCATTTTACAGGGAAAAGTTACATCAGGTTTTAATCTTCCAGTCTCGCTGATTTCAGTCATTTGTGTTTCTTTAGGAAATGATTTGTTAGTATCTGAAAGTCTTAATATTTTGTTACTGACTTTAGAGTTCTTTATATATTTAAGAATATATAATCCCGTACCTAATGTCATAATTATAAAAATATTTTACAGAAATGGATTTGAACTTGAATGAGATAAAAATATATTTTTTTTCATTACAAAAGAAGTATACGTTCTATTAACAAATGCCGGAACTTTAAAAATCAACTTTTATCTGATAACAGAGACTGACATTCTATTTATATTTAAACGGAGAATTCCTGTAAGTATGGAAGGATGCCAGTGCAGGCTGCTTGAACGGGGTCTTCCTCCTCACAAGCCGAGTGAAAGCACACTACAATCTGGCGTGTCCTGTGCCTCAGGCGAGGGAAGGGGCATGAACACGGCAGGTGGAGCTGATCCCTTCCACCTTCCTCCACATTCGTGCACGGGGTAGACACAGGGCCACGACGACCACCGGGTGTGCTGTCCTCCGGGCTACCTGAGTCTGACTCCAATCTATCCTTGTCTAACATAATCAACACTCACTTTTACGTCCCTATCTACAAGAGGCTCACAATGCCGCCTGCTATTTTAAAAGCACGTTATAAATATTAAAGTACTTTTCACATATATTCATTCATTTTCACAACCAGGTCATGAGGGTTATTTTTTTACAACCCTGAGAGGTGGGGAGGATTGTTATCCTTCCTCACACTGTAGATAAGGAAAAAAGATCCAGAGACACAGATTCTTCCTTCCCGGGGGCCACCGCGCCCAGTGGGAGAGCCCACACCTGGCTGTCCCGCCCTTCAGCCCCATCGCCCATCTTTATGGGCAGGACAGGCCCCGAACCTCTCCACCTCTCCTGTTCCCAACAGAGTGATGCTTTATATTTGAAGGGACGTGTTGGGGAAGGAACCAGGTACTGACAGGAGGAAAATCATAGCAACAGACTGTCAAGAAGAAATTAAGGAGATACTTAAAAACCATAACCATTGTACAAAATAAATACAATGTAAATGCTGAACATCTGTCAGAAAATAGTTACAACCAGGGGTGCTAAACCAGAGCACATCACAGACTCTACAAATATCCCCTCTCCCTATAAAACCCAAACCCAGTTGCTCTTCCTTGTTTCTAACTATGGGTGTTCCAGAGGACAGTTCACGCGACTTACGGACATACAACAAGAGATAATGTCCTAAGGGAAACACAGACTCAAAGATGCAGAGCATCAGTAAGTGGTTAGAAACATTAATGATTGCGAAAACAATAAATGACTTGAAGATAACTTGAGAGAATATATGAAAAGCAGGAAGCCTGCCACCTGGTGGATCCATTGGCTACAGCAAGTGCTGCCTGAACTTGGCACAATGAGGCTAACCGGGTCCGTTTATCCTCAAAACATTCTTTTGGAGAAGGAGCAACCCTTATCAGAGAAATTCTGTGATACTTGTTTAAAACTAACAACAAAAAACGGGGACAGCAGACTGTTACATGTTCAGTTAGTTCTCTTCTACTTTAAACTGTTTGTGTGATTAGTGCATGGTGGGAGGGAAATTATTTTCAGCTGGCGGAACGGAACACACTAGCAGCAGCTGGTCTATGCAATCTCTTCGCTCAGTCTGCTCTGCATGAGTTGTCTTGGGTGATCCACATTATTAGCAGGTCTGGCGTACCTCTTGAGCTAGGCTGTTCTCACATTTTTCTCTGCAAATGCACACGGGGAATGGTGCTCTACCTGCACAGATGTGTGCTTGCCTTGATCACACCCTGCACAATCAGCCCCAGCCACCTTGCACACTTCATCCCTTTTCTGAACCGAGGCTCCAGCCACACTGGCTTCCTCATGCCCCACGGGCACCCTGAGCTCCCCTGCCCTTGTCTTCACGCACTCTTTTTGTACTGCCCCTTCCCACACACTGAATGCCAGCCTCAGAGCCCAGCACAGACGACCCCAACTCCTCACGCCTGTCCAGCCTGGTGGAAGGCATCGCTCCTTCAGGACTTGGGCCATATGACAGTCTGTTCCTTATGTTTAACACGTTGATAGTAGCCTGGAATCGCCACTGCTTCCCCGGTGAACATCAGGTAAGCTACAGGTGATCGGAGAACCTAATGGAGGGCACTCTGGTGTAGTACTTGAAAGCGAGGCTCTATGTCCACACTGCAGGGTGCAAAGCCTCTTCTGCTCCTTCCTGGCACCTAAGCTTGGGCTGCTTGGCTAACTGCTCTCTGCTTTGATCTCTGCACCTGTAAAATGGGGGCATTTACATTCATTGTACCTAACTCCCAGGGTGTGAGGATTCCCTGAGCTTATTCACAGAAAGCATTCTCTATTTCCTATTACTCTTATGTGTCATATTTTGTGGGACCATTATAGTACCTAGTGCAAGGCTCTGCACATTTTTGGGAACTCAGCAATTATGTGAGAGTGGTGACAATGAGGCTATTTAATGGCTTCCACTTTGGGATCCAGAGGTTCCCCAGAGTTCATGGAAATGAACACTTTGAAGAAGGGGCTGGTGAAGCTGAAGGGCATCCCTTCTGCACTGGGGATTTACACTAATGCTATCCTAAGAAAGTATCCTGGCTGAGTCGATGTGGCCTCCACCAGCCACTGTGGTGAGGCCACGAGACAAATGTGGATAGGCTTACTATGTACACAGTCCAAATGACACAAGTAGTGTACATGTATTTCTAAATACATACACGCAACCCTGTGTGCTGGCTCTTCCTCCTTTTCCTAAGGGGCCGTGAGATTTGTGAAGTAGTTTGTAAGTATAAAGCACTGGGTAAGCAGCGTCCAAGAACACCAAGAGACAGCGACGACCCCGTTGCCCCTCCAGCGGTGGCACCTAGGAGCCCTGTGTTGACAATGGTCACTTTACACTCTGTAGACAATTGCTGGGTAAATTCGGAAGAAAGCTGCATGATTACACAGTTCACTGGGAAGATAATTAAATCCCTTGTATCCGCTTTGTTTCGTTACACTGGTTACTCCTTTGAGTGTTTCCTTATGAACCACAGGCAGGATCTCTGTTTAGATCTGTGACAGAGCATGCGGGGCCCCGAAGGGTGTCCTGGGCTCTCCCTACAACATGTCTACACAAGCGACTGCGACCAGATGCAGGAATGAAAGCACTCTGTAACCAGACGATATCAATGGGATCGTGTGATGCTGCCAAGAGACCCCGCCAGAGACCTGTAGGAGAAATGTACATTCCAGTTTTACAGAAGCAGGAAGAGGGGTTTTAGGACCCAGAATCATATTAGAATAGTTTATAAAATAAATGATGAAAAGGATCAATTATGTCTCAGCAAACTGAATGCATATTTTCTACAGATACATATTTCAGTTTATTATTGGCTCCTTGATGTTAAGAGCAGACAGGTGAACGATATAAAGATATGCTGAGGAGGGAGCTGGGCAGTAGGTGATACAGTGCTATGACAGCATGAAGAGAGCCACACGTCACCGACGAAATCCCTCTGACCTGCCTCTTTTTTTGTTTTTTAGTCTTCACTCAAGGATATGTTTATTGATGAGAGAGAGAGAGAGAGAGAGAGAGAAACATCGATCAGTTGCCTTCTGTATGTACCCTGACTGGGAATCGAACCTGAAATCATCTGGTGTAGGGGATGACATTCCAACCAACTGAGCCACCTGGCCAGGGCCCTTTGACTTTCCTTTAATTGCTAATGCAAGATACGGAAAAGACCGAGTAGGACTGATAACAACTAAGAGAGGCTCTCCCATAAAAACACAGACTTGTTACTAAAACAAAGGGTCAAAGTGAGCTCCTGGAAAAGCTCAAAGAACATTGTAGAGAGACAGCACTCTGCCTGCCTACTCTGTGGTCCCCAATCAACAGGGAAGGCTCATATATTGAACACAGTAGACAGAAGGACAAACTTCCCTGCCCCCACAAAATGTTTCCCTGAGCTCTTACAAAGCATTGATCTGCAAGCCAGCAGTGGGGCACCCCTTGGACACAGGGTCACACACTGTGAGAGAGCAGCTAGTCAGACACACGCATCTCTGACTCTCCTTGACTTTTGTCATGGGAAGTTCTGAGGTCATCTCAGGGGACTTCCGCAGCTACGGGGTCTCAACCTCAGCAATCCGTCTCTGCCTCCCATTTCTCGTATACTTCCTCAGAGGGAGCTGATCCATCCGGCTGGACAAAGACCATTCAGAGACAAAAGGTGACTGAGACTGTATCCAGTAAGGACCAGACGCGGCATGTTTCTGCTCAGTGGCCATACTGCCAACATGTAAACTAGCTCCACGCACATGAGGCTTTTAGGACCAAATGGAAAGGCATGTACACCACACGGGAGTCGAAACACAACGAAGTCGGTGAGTGGCACTTAGCTCCTCCCATGATAACTTTGGCAGCAAGCGAAGGAGAACCCCATGGCTCACCGCAGCTGCACAAGCCTTGACTGAGGACCCGGATCTGGCAGTGCCGGGGCCCGCGGGGAGCTTTAACCGCACTTCTGCATCTGCTGCAGGACCGCTGTGGGGTCTGCTGTGCATGACCCACGGCCGGTTCCAGCGTGGCCGGCGCTCTGCGGTGCCCTCCTGCTAGCCAGCCCTGTCTCTCTGGGGATCCAGAGCCTGTGCTGGTGAGAACGCTGGCTACTTGGAGGAGAGCCCGAGAGTGTGGACGCCAGCAGATCCGGCCCCAGGGGGAGGGCCTGAGCCCAACACTGAGATCTCATTAATGCTGTGAATTAATCAATGGCAATAACTTCTCTACGATCTGCTCCTTCACACTGGGGCCCTGGGCATACACAGTCACTGCTCTCAGAACCTGGGCCGGACTTGGACTCTCCAGGAGAATCTCTTGTGCGGGTCGGGGGAATGACAGAGAAGGAAGGAAAGAAGTCACTGAACTGAACTTACGTTCGAAAGCCTCTGCACACCCTCTTCCCTGCAGTACCTCCCAAATTCCTCGTTTTCTTTAAGTTCCGGTTAAGTGTCAGTTCTCTTCCACTCATACTTTTCTCCAAAAGTATAAAATCCTCCCTCTGCTACAGCCCTGAATAGTCAAGTTAGTTGTATTTTATCTGCTTCCACATCTTCCAACTTCTTGAGGGTAAAGACTATACCCTAGTTCCCAGGTCATCATTTCTACTATGGCGTCTGCCTCAGGGCCGGCGCTCTAGGAATGGTCTTGATGCATGCTGGCTAAATGACGTGTGCCTGCTTCGTCTCTCCACACATACATGTGTGCCTGCTTCGTCTCCCCACACATACATGTGTGCCTGCTTCGTCTCCCCACACATACATGTGTGCCTGCTTCGTCTCTCCACACATACACGTGTGCCTGCTCCGTCTCCCCACACATACACGTGTGCCTGCTCCGTCTCCCCACACATGCATGTGTGCCTGCTTCGTCTCCCCACACATACATGTGTGCCTGCTTCGTCTCCCCACACATACATGTGTGCCTGCTTCGTCTCCCCACACATACATGTGTGCCTGCTTCGTCTCCCCACACATACATGTGTGCCTGCTTTGTCTCCCCAAGGCCCAGGTTGGCTGAGGCTTTGACTCACACTTCTGTGTCTGGCAGCCCCTTCCTGTGCTCAGGAAGCAAGAGGTCACCTGAAAATCTGTTGATCTGTAAAACAATCCTACCACTAGGAACACTGCACTTCTAACTGCTGGAAAACTAGTCTTTGTTCCTGGAGAAAAGGTCATATCAAACTCAAATTCATCTTTGTTTTCATCGGATCCATACATGGATCTATAACTTTCTATTCTAGTGTCAGCAGGTGGCAAAACAGATCCTCGACGAAACTAAGAAGATCCGGGTGAGATTCCCCCTCCATTCCTTTCGTGTTCCCTGAGATCTTCTGCCTCCCACAGATTTATCCAGCTTATGTTTTAAATAGAAGCTGACCTCATCCTGGCCGGTTTGGCTCAGCGGTTGGAGCGTCGGCCTGCAGACCAGAGAGTCCTGGGTTCGGTTCCCACTAGGGGCACATACCAAAACAAAAAGACACTGACCTCTACTCAAAGTCAAGTGTATGGGGGGAAAGGCCTAGCGATGGCCAGAACCCCTTCTTCCATTACCACCTATTTATATAACTTACAGTATACCTGTTTATGTTCACAAGTCTATCTTTTCGAGGAAGTCCAACTCTCAGACTGAACTTTCAGAGCAGACCCCAGAGAGTCACACCACTGTGTCTTCTACTGTCTAGAATAAGCCCTCCTGAAGGTGCCCGAGGAAAGTCACCTGTAGTGGACTTCCAGATCTTCCTATGCGAAGTACAGAAAACAAAGAAAACATTTATTGTTTGTAATTTAGGAAAAGAAGCACAATTAAATTAGGAAGTGATTATGCAGATATTCATGATATAAAACCAGAGAATTCATACCTTTGTCTCGAACAGTAAACCTGAGACTATAGATATGTCCTCAGGAATGGGGCTGTGTATGTAGGGCGTGCCAGAGGTGGGCTCTATAACTTGGGTTCAGAATCCTAGAATTCGGGTACAGTGGCTACCGGCTGGTCTGTGTGGTTGCGACATAAAAGAGACACACCTTCAGCAACAGCTCGATGACTTCCGTGTGGACAAGTCCATGCACGGGTTCTCCGTTGATGTGTGTGATCAGGTCCCCGGCCTTCAGTCCCGCCTGGCATGCTGGACTTCCTTCTTCCACATTCTGCAGCCCAAGAGGAGAGGGCAGATTTGTAACAAACAAGTGACAACCCCAGGCCTACGGTTTGGGTGGCAGACTGTTCTGAGTTAATTAGCAGAGGAGCCAAAGCTCCTCTGAGGGGATCAAAACGGCATGGTTACTATTTCTATTGTCATCATCCCAAAACAGGGTAATTTCTATGGTTCCTTAAAATTTTTTTAGGTGATTTGAGAAGGTAGTTTTTATAAAAAGAAGGCCAGGAGCCCGGTTACTGTGGCTCCGTGGACTGGGCACAGTCCCACAGACCGAAAGGTCCTGGTTCAATCAGTGGTCAGGGCACATGCCCGGGTTCCAGGCTCGATCCCCAGGAGGGGGAGTGCAGGCGGCGGCCGATCGATGGATCTCTCTCACATCGATATTTCTCTCTCTAAAAAAATCAATTAAAAAATTGTTTAAAAAAGAAGGCCAAGGAAAAAATAAAAATAAAAAGAAGGATGGAAATAGGGACTGTCTTTGTCTCTTTCCACCAGCTTGGTACACAGTGGACAATCCAATATCAAAACTGGACAGAACTATGAGAAGGGTCAGTTTTTGCCAAGTTCAAAGGTATCACATAGAGAAAGGGAAAGAACACCAAAGGAAGATGGAACAGGTCCCCAGTGCCAGCTTAACAGGAAGTATATTTGCTGTGAACTGTCTCAGCCAACTCTCTGCTCCTCAGTTTGGCTGGGAATGAAAAGTCACCAGGATGAGAGACCGGGGGTCTTACCCAAACAATGTGGTGCACGGTGTAGATGTCGCTGTCTCCCACGTACACCCGGATGGCTCGGATGGTGAACCCATAGTTCTTCCCTGAGCTGTGGATGACAACGGGCTGGTGCGGACTGGCAGAAGCCGCTGAAGAATCCCGGCTGGGAGAGGAATCCCGTGAGGAGGAAGGGTCCGAGGACAAGGAGTGGGGAGACATGGGACTCCCCAGTGGAGAAACAGCAAACATGTCTGCAACAAAGAAGCCAGTCACCAAAACTGCTCCTGCCACACAAGCATGCACGCAGCCAGCCCGCACCACGGCAGCCCTGCCGGGACTGGAGCAAGGCCGAGAGACAAACGCATCCATTTCTAACAGAAAAATAAAGAAGAAAGAATATAAAAATAGTTCTATTGGCAAGCAGAATGGATGTCAAAACAGAAGCCGGTCAAGGAAACTTTAAAAGTGTCTCGATTTTAACTAGCTTTCGTTTAATAAACTAAAGTTATAATTTCTTGGTTCTCTATGCTAATTCAAACACAAAATTTAGCTACTATCTGGCTATATTATTTAATGCATTTTATTTAATTCAGGAAATAGCTCACAGGGGCACACACTGCAAGTCCACCCTGCAGAGGAGACTGTATGGACCACAGTAAAAGATTCTCCGGCTGCAAAGCCGGACCTAAACTACTTTCACATGGTCCTTTGCAAACACCCATGGACGATATGGATTAAAACAAGTGGATCAAGAAAGCGCTGAAATGGCAACTGCTTTATAAAATAATCACTCCTTATTACTATGACTACAAGGGATTCTCTTCCTATATTTCCTGCACTTTTAACAAGGTTTCTGAGAGGACAATGCAGATGAAACAGAGAAATTTTGAGAGAAACTCAGTTCATATGCCAAAACACTGATTCTGCTCTGTTTTCCTTGTTTAATAAGCAAACTTCTTGATTTATAGTTCATACCGATGTTCCAGCTATGTGAGTCTGAACAGATTTTCACTGGTCTTGTGAAATCATGTGCATGTGTTTGAGAAAAAGAACCATCTACAAAAGATGCCGAGGTCTACGGGTGAGCTCGGCTGGAGCCAGCTACAGAACGCCAGAGCTGAAGACGGGCCAGTGTGGTGGGCAGCCAGCCGCGGGGCCGCGGGGAGCTGAAGGCACCCGGCCCTCATTCCTTCCCATCCTGACGTCTGTCCACAGCACAGTGAGCTGAATGCATCCCTCTCCATGCCCTTCACTCCCTGATTCCTGGGCCTCTCGGTGCTCTTTGCTGGCTACCACCTGGCTCATCAAGAGGCCAGGTGGAAAGACATACACGGGTGGGCGGGGCCTTCGAAACATGCCCGCTGAAGAGGTCAGGGTGGCTATGCAGATCCAGACTGCTGACGAACCGGGCCCTGGAGCCTTCACCTCATGTTGGTTCCCCTTATCTCCCCAAGTTCAAGGACCGCCCTATTTCACCAAGACATGGGCTTTCTCACTGGCTGTCGGAAGTGGGCTGGACCACAGCCCCGAACCTTCCCAACTGGACTGCAGGTGCATGCGGCCACTGCCTTCGGGTATGAACAGTCCCTGAAGCCAGGGAGACAGGGTTAGCTTTATGGTGCTGACTGGGATGCTCCTCAGAAAACAGACTATGAGAGAGTGGGCGCTACCCCCAAATGAACATCTGTTCATGTCCTTTCTGCACAAATTTGAAATTTCAAAAATGAGAACCATCCCTTGTACACGTGGCCTGGGTTCCTCCAAACACAAGCCATTTGCAATAGAATTCAATTACCCCTTCCACTCTTTCGCTGCACTTGAGTGATATAAGCCACAGCCACCACTGGGGTGCCCATTGCATCTCTGCCAGTGGGGTTACTACAGACTTCGTGAGTACTGGAGGCAAACCAGGTTGTGGAAAAATACTGCAATTTGACGAGACCATAATTAAGCCGTTTTCTAATATAGGGCCGAAAATGATTTGACTACCAGCAGGAGGAAGCATAGCTCAACAGACAGGGCTGGGAAAACACACCATGCCCGTGGCTGCCTGTGATCTCTGCATCCCAGAAATAAAAACTTACGTTTTCTGTGTCAAGTTCCTCACTAATTAGATGAGAAAAACTATACTTAGCTTTCTAACACAGATGCTGTAAACTCCTCTGTAAAGTATATAAATGATACACAGTGTAGGGAAGAAAAATTATTCATGAGGGAAATTTATCACTTAACCTGGAAGGACGAGAAAAGAAGTAAAAGAAATAAGGCTTTGTGGGAAGAAAAGCTGCCTCCTCCCCTCATGCAGAAAGAAACAAGAAACAAGGCACACGCGCGCTCTGGGAGCTCGGGGGTCCCGCAGGGGGCGCTCCAGAGAGCGGGGCTGGGACCTCTCCTTCTTGCTTCAAGCAATCTCGTACCCAGTCAGGATTCCAACCTGGGGAAGGGGGAGCCACATGCAAAGTCACACAATATCATGCGAGTAGATGTCGCTCTACCTCCTGGGATCATGAGGGACAGGGCACTGGCAGAAAGGGACTTTGTGACTTTCCCCGAGATTTTCCTTTTTTCTGTGCTTTCTAAGCGTTGCCGAGCCACGTGAGAAGTGGGTTCACTGGATGGCTTTGAGGAATTATCTGCACTGTCCACACCCTCGCTGCGTCCATTTATCTGATCCAAGTGCTCTGAAAAACTGCCAACTGCACAAAGAAGAAGGGATAAACACATTCAGGAAAATCTGGGACAGGAGAGGTGGAGGAAGGGGAAAAGAGAGAGAAGGAAGGACGGACACTAGGAAACATACTCCCACGATGCTCTTGATCTGGACGGTGTCAGCAAACGTCAGAAACGCACACTGGTTTGAGGAAGGTGACGAGGAGGAGGAAGGATGAAGAGGTGTCCATTCAGGTTTCACTCTACTTGTATACTACACCTGCTAATTTTCTTTTTTTTTTAATTTTTTTTATCCTCACCCGAGGACATTTTTACTTTTATCTTCAAATAGAGCGGGAGGGAGAGAGGGAGAAAGTGAGAGAGAAACATTAATGTGAGGGAGACACATCGAGTGGCTGCCACCCTCATGACCCCAACCAGGGCCGGAGGCAAACTGCAACCGAGGTACATGGCCTTCGCAGGAACCGAAACCGGGACTCTCTGGTCCGTGGGCCAACGCTCTACCCGCTGAGCCAAACCGGCCAGGGCACACCTGCTAATTTTCAATCAATGACTCTTTCTGACTAGAATCATTACCTTCTAGAATCTGTATTTCACAACCCTTACAGAGACAGCCCTCGCCCCACTCCACCATGCAATAAAGCAAACATCACCTTAAGAACTCGTCTACTGTACCCCATCCTCTGTAACCATGGTCATCACCGGGAATGCTATTGATAACGACTTTTGATTCATGGACACCATTTAATCCCTTCACAGAGACTTAAGTCTGTGTCACCTGGCACACACCCTCACTAGGCTTAGGTAAGTAACACACAGAAAAGTACCCAACGTGTCTCCTTGGACTTCTCACACCTTTCACTCTAAGCTGCTTGTACCCTTCACGGGACGAGACAAAGGCCAGTACCGCTCATTCCTCGGTGGCTCTCTCCATCTTCCTGGCTTTCAGTCTAACAGTGTGCTACATGCTCATCTGCCCTGAAGTCCCTGGACCCCTGGGAAGAGGATCCCTTCCCCTCTAAGCCACTCATGATTCTTTTTAATGTTATTAACCTTAAATGTACACTGGAGGAGTTATTTTTAGTTTAAAAACTGAGAACTTCCTTCGGCAGAGGATCATCGGAGAATATGAGCCCAGGGAGGAGGCAGAGATGGAGAACCGGGGAGCTCGGCCTGGCGACTGCACAGTCCAGAGGGACGTTCCTGAGCACAGCAGCACGTCGAGGACCCGAGAGAGGCAGGATGGCCACCCCTTTGGGCTTCTGACTCTGCCTTCCTCAGGCCATCTGTGTTTTATTTTGTTCTTTTTAAAATCACTGATAATATATCTTTGTCCTTTCAGAAAAATAAATGCTTATTTCATTCTTACTTCTAAATGCTATATTATAAGCCTGTGCTTTAATAAATCATCTGTACTATCATCACCTTAAGATATATAATCCATACAGAGAATTTAATACCATTATAAATGATCTTTTGAATGGCCAGCCAGCTCATTTTAAAGTGCTGACCATATGACATTCTTTGCCTTGGAAAGAGTTAGGTTTAATTAGACTTAACATTTCTGTCACATGGCTATTGATGCACGACTCGAATGCACAAAGTTTGGCCCCAGTTCACAGGCGGGGGCGCAGCCTCTAGGGGTCCAAACGAAGGGACGCCTGTGGTTTGGGAGAGTGGGCTTGGGCACAGCTCGGCTCATGGCCATCCACTGTGCTGTGGGTACAGAAGCTTCACGGACTTCCGTGTGGCACCCGTCTGACCCACAGAGGAAGGCAATCTCAAGGCAAATACCAACACCCTCTCCTCATGCCAAACTCACCCTCACCGAATAGTATATCTATTCCATTCATTCTAAATAACAAAACCCCTTGCTGCAGGGCTTAATAAAAACTGCTTCCCCAATCAAAAACCTCATCTCAAAGCCTCATGCTCACTTCTGGGGACGCTCCACGCTCTCTTCCCCTTTCTATTCGGTTTGGGTACGACCACTGACGAGCAGCCAACACAAAGCCGACTCTCTCGGAAGTGACAGTGTATTGGGTGCCATTGAGCACGATGCTTAAGGCTTCACGACTTTCTCTCCCTCACTCGAATACAGTGTAGTCATGGAAAGAGAAACGGCTGAAAGCTGTGCTTCCCTCAATGCCGGCGTGAATACCCCGTGTTCTCCTCCACCCTCCCTCCCTCCCTCCACCACCGCATCTCAGCTCCGTACATGGCACGTGCTTCTTTCCTGCCAACGGTGGATAATGTCACCCTAACGTTCTAGAAATGTCAAGGGTTCTTTCTTTTTGACGGTGGAGCAACATAAAAATCAACAAGTTTAATTTTCATGCAGTCACGGCGTTCGGATTCCCTAATTACCCTTGGCTGCGAGCAAACCGGTTCCTCTCTGCATTCTGCGCAGCCCCCGAGGTCTTTGATTATTTTCAGTGAGTGTATGGGGGAGCCAGAGAGAAAGGAGGTTTGGATCTATTAATCAAAATGCACGGTAGGACCTAGGCAGATTTATTTTTTAATTATGAAAGTCATCTATCAAATGCTTAGACACCATTCCCCTCCCTTCACCTCCTACCTTTCTGATAGTGAGTAGGCTGAAGAGACTAAGAGGCCATCAACAATTCACCATGTTAAGAATGAGTTTTAAATGGAGGTCAATATATTCTATTCAGAGTAAGGAAATAAACTAAGAAACAGATAGAGACCTCAGTAACTGGAAACAGAAAATATTGAGATGGCTACATTTGATTTGATTTGATTGCCAAGTTGAACTAAAAATGGTCAGGGACCCTAGATTAATCACTGTGTTGTTTCTACACGAGTAACACGCGGCTCTTCTCTCGCCTGTACAGAGTTAGGAGAGTGGAGCTGTCCCAATGGAAACAGAAATGAGTTGAAGAGAGAAAAGGAAAAAACCCAACATTACTTCCCCCATGATAAACTATAAGTACATGTGAAGCTCCTCTAAAGAATCAAACTTAAAAAAAAATTTTTTTTTCTTTATTGATTTTAGAGAGAGAGAAAGCGAGAGAGAGATATAGAAACATTGATGAGAGAGAACATCAACTGGCCGCCTCCTGCATGCCCGCCACTGGGGATCTGGCTCACAACCTGGGCATGTGCCCTGACTGGGAATCGAACTGGCGACCTCTTGGTGCATGGGTCGACGCTCAACCACTGAGCCACACCAACTAGGCTTTTTAAACTTTTTTATTGAATTAATTGGAATAACACTGGTTAATAAAATTGTATAGGTTTCAGGTGTACAATTCTATAACACATCATCTGTATATTATATTGTGTGCTCACCACCCCAAGTCAAACTTTTTAATGAAGCAAAAATAAACCCAGCCTTTGAAATTTGTTTTCTTAAAATAATTTGTTATAAAAAAAACTACACTGTGATTATTCGGCTAACTTAAAAAAGTGTTGATGAAAAATCTTGGAATCATTCATGGTTAACAATATAACATATTGAATATGGCTTAATGGAAACATTTATTATAGCAACCCTAAGCCATATCCATGCTTTATTTTTTAAAAAGCATAAGTGCACATTGCTCTGTGGAAGGATTTGCTGTACATAAAACTTATAAAACCAAATCGTATTTCAAATGCACCTTAAGGGCTTGCTCGGAGGGAAGTGAAAGTGATCATCTAATGAGGACACCTCCATTTTTAAGGGCCAGTAAGTATCTACGATACATTATGCGTTTTAAAACAGCCCATGAAGACACTGTTCCTGTGGTCAGGAAGGCTCCTTCCCACGAAAGGCACATTATAAGGTGTTTCCACAGAAAAGGCCCAAGCCCCCTGACTGCCTCCCAAACAGTCCAAGTTGCCTCAGGAGTTTCTTTCTCCAGTTACAAGACCGGGAAAGTAACTTCTGTCTGCAGAGCCATTTGCTGTGCACATAAAATACTAACTTGAATGGTGTTGGTGTTTCTGACTCCCTGCCCCTTCCAGTCCCAGAGGGGTAAAGCCTGGTGAGTCTCCCGGCTGCAGGGACCCTGCCGCACTCGCTCAGTCCAGTGTGCAGAGCTAACTACTGGGCTTGGCCCCTTCTCAGAAACCAGCTCCATCTCAACCACCTATTTCAACACAAGGGTGACCTGGCTTTTGCTGTACCTTACAGGTGATGCAAGACGTTTTTAGGGTAATGTTGACCATTTGACTATTTGATATTGTCCCTTGCTCCTAACTTGGAGTTAGATGCCACCCCCTACGCAGTGCCTTTGCATCAACAGAGAACTGCTCCCTTCTGTGCTGTCACCACAGGACCCACTGAAACAGCTGTGGGAGCCGAGGCGGGCTCTCGGGTCGAGCTGAAGGGAGGATGGTTTGCCCCTTGGCCATGCCCTCGGAGGGTCTGAGCCATTTGACCTCTGTTCTTAGGAGCTCACCCCAAGCCCAAGAAGCTGGAGTCTAGGAGCATAAACACCCCCCACACACCAGTCTAGGCAGCCTCAGGACTCAACGCTGTAGTCACTTCTGGGATAAGGGGGGACGGCAGGCAGCCCCAGGGCTTACCTGACAGGGTGGAGCTGCTGATGGTGCTGGCCGGGGTGGTGACCTCAGGCTCCTCCTGAGCACACTCAGCAGGAGGAAGGGCTGGCTTTTCTGGCTCCTCACGGGGGTCTCCGGGGCAGGGAGTGGCTTCATCTTGTTCTGCCTCTGTTGAAATAGCCAGTTTGGGAAGCAGGCCGGAAGTGAGTTTATGTCTGTTGCTTTCAGTATCTGAAGAGTTGGATGTGGATAACTGTTGCCTTAATTAAAAACAAAAACAAAGTCATGTATATGTACACACCAAGAAACCGTTCAAGGTGAATTTGTAAGAAACCAGGGAAAATGGCACTTAGATGAGCCCAACCAAGACACGCCCAGTGCAGGTCCTTCCTGCGGTCTGGAGACCGGCAGCACCTGGGAACTCGCTAGAGGGTCACGGTCTCAGCCCCGCCCAGACCTACGCGCATCCTGTGCTTCCACAGGCCCCCCAGGTGACTGCTGCGTGCTCAGGTTTAAGAAGCACGGCTCTAGTAGCTGTTGCTTATTTTTCTTAACAGGCATTTCACATACATTTCAGAATATTCTGAACTCCAGCTTAATGTTTCCGTGGATGGCAAAGTTGTGCTTTTGGTTTTGTCTCCAGGGTCTTCCTTCTCTTCTCCTGAATTCTGAGTCATTCGATCTATACTGCTGAAAACCTGGAAGGCAAATCATCGGTGCTTGTTAATCTCTTCTTGAAAGAGTTTGTCAGAAAAAAATACCCAAATCTCAGGAGAAAAACCTGAGAGGATGACTCAAGTATGAAACGGGACTGTGCATCCATCCAGAAGGTACTTTCCAATGCCATTTGCTCGAGTCCTGAGATGGTCAATGTATAATTTTCTTTTTCTTTTGGAGTGGGGAGCTATGAATTCATCGCTCTCTCACCACATCTCATAATGAACTTAGTATCTGCAAACGAAATCCATAGATACATTGGGGTTTTTAGGTCTGGGGATCAATGCACACCTTAGATTGCTTTTTAACCATGAAGTCAATCAGAAAAAGAAAATCAGAGAAAAAGATTTCATGGCCACCAGTTGGGGGTGGGAAAGAGAGAAATGAATTGGAATTGAGTGCAAAGAGAAGAATAAATTACCTGTTTCAGGGGTGTGTGTGTGTGTGTGTGTGTGTGTGTAGGGGGGCAGGACGCAGTCTATATTTGGTTGTGAATCAGAGGTATTTGTTTGGCTTATAAATGACATGCACAGACAGACAGCTTCATATGTTAGTACTGGGATTTCTAGAAGGGATCAGAGCTGCCCTGGCCAGTTTGGCTCGGCAGTTAGTGCATCAGCCTGTGGACGAGAGAGTCCTGGGTTCAATTCCGGCCAAGGGCACGTACCTCGGCTGCAGTTCGTCCCCGGCCCTGGCTGGAGTCGTTCGGGTGGCAACCAGTCGATGTGTCTCTCTCACATCCATGGTTCTCTCTCCTCCCCCCCACCCACTCTGTCTGAAGATAAATGTAAAAATATTCCTGGGTGAGGATTAAAAAAATAAATAAAATGGAAGGGATCAGAGCTTAGGCAAACCAGAGGCCCCTGTTGTCTCACAGGGAAGATGGAAGGTAAACTAGGCAGCTGAGAGCCCGGCCAGGAGGTACTTCCTACTGCCCAGCTGAGCCGTCTGCTGCTCTCACGGGAATGGCGCTCAGAGGCCTGTATCCCCTGGGTTTGGAGGGCAGTGTCTGAAGGAAACAAGACAGTAGGAAGGAAATAGAGCTCAGGAGCGGCTTCGGTGGGCCAGAGAGCCAGCGCAGGGGAGCGGCAGCACTCCTAACATCAATGCTGGGTCCTGGCTCCGGGGCACAGCGGCCGCCACGGCCTCCAGGGAAATGGCCACCTCTCTGTTCTTCCTATAGACAGGGGGGGCTTGCTGGCCAGTCCGCAGATGCATTCTTAGTAGCCACTTAGAAAAAGGTACACAACACTAAAATTGCTAAATGCTACAGAAAAGCTAAATAGCATTCGTGTGAAACGCCACGGCAAACACACGGCTGCCAGAGATAGGAGAGGGAGGGAGGTGCCTTCTAGGCCCTCTCCCGTTTTCCCAGGGCCCTGCGGCCCTGTCTCGGAAATGAGAGGTTTCTTTGTTTTGATGGCTTGTTTTAATCTTACCACTACCAGTAAAAAAGCAGCATGTTTCTCAAACATCGATTTTATTATCTTCTACCATTTCCAGAATCCCAGCTTCACTTCCTACTGTCTCTTTAACATAACTTACATTTTCTATTATTGGGTACCGGACTCAGTCCACAATCAACCATCCCCAAGAGTCTTAACTCGTGTCAAGGACTAAGCCTTCTCTTTGAGTTGTAATCCAGGTAACACTGGGAGACAGCTTCGCACACGTGCAGCCCAATGATCGCCAGCAGGACATGAAGCAACGAAGGGGCCCCCCCCAGCCTGGCAGCGAGCCACCCCAGGGCACGCAAGGCGAAGGCAGCATGCACGTGGCTATCATGCACGTTAAAGATATGACTACAGATTGGCAAGTCTGTGCCTCCAAGAAAAAAATGATATGGATCTGTGGAGTTTGAAACAGAGAAATAGACTCCTGGCAGGTAGGGCCTCTGGATTATCCAGATGGTGGGATCATCTTTGCTAAACAAAAAGGAATTTTAAGTATAGGAGACCCCAAGCTCCTAAATACTGTAGGTGGTTTGTACAGTGGTGTCCAGTGGGTAGGGGCACCGCTATCTGAACAGTGGCAGGGGCCCTGAGACCCTGCACGTTCATGCTGTGCCTCCCTTACCTTGGAGAACCGATGTGAGCATGAGGAGAACTGCCTTATTTCCACGTTGAAGTCTTCGTCGTTCGTGTCATCTTCTTCCTCAGTCTCCATGTGGTGATACTTCTCTGACCGAGCTACAGAGAAACGTTTGCAATTACTCAGAATGCCGGCTTTTAATGTCAGCATTTCACTTATTCGTTTCTGTACCAAGGCAACACTACGCTTAAGAGCGCCTCGGTTCCAGACTGGGAGGCTCTCAGACCAGGGAAGGTGACTCCCCGCAGGGTTTTATGTCGGATAACGCACGTACTGTCAAAGTAACTGGTGTCGTCCTCGGATTCCAGCTGGGGGATAAACTCCGCCTTCTGTCTCAGCAAACTGTTCCAGTCCAAAGAGCGGAAGAACTGATGCTGTTTGACCTCGTAGGCACCGCCTGGGGCGGGAGGGGAGAAGGATGGACAGGAGAGTGTTAAACTCTCCTCCAAGTAAAGGTAAACAATTGTTTTTAAGAACCGAAAAAAAATAAACGTGGAGAGAAGTAAAAAGTCATGGAAATCTTACTTTTTCATTCTACAACCAAACACCCCCAAATTTCCCCCATAATTTATCAGCTGATTTTGCTGAAAGCAGTTGCTATGTCACGGTTCTTCATTGTTAATTTTTCCAGGGCTTCTTCCACTTTTCAAAGGTTAATGATGTGGCCACTTAAAATCACATTATGCTGAAGCTGAGACGTGGACGCACCTTGGCCCCAAGCACACTGCTCATTACAAACCCAGAGAAATTCTAACAAGGTGCAGAATGTGTTCACAGCAATATTTCCCCTGGAGGTTGGGTTAATAAAGATAAATTTTTCCTAAATAGTGTATAATAGTTAGCATTCAATTTTATTGGATTGCTCGTTAACATAGGTAGATATTAGATTCTGTGTATTACAGATTCTTAACTAAGAAACTGGAAACCCGTTTGATAGATTTATAACAGATTTATAACACATGGAATAGAAATCAATCACAATTCCTAACTTTTAGGCTTCTTTTTGCCAACTCAGCACGATAGTATAATTTCAGTGTAATAATGTTTTAAATTCAGTTTATAATTTTAAAGAGTGATTTTGAAGGGCAGGACCCATCAATATTATACTATGTGTCGTGTGAAGAAAAGAAGGTACACATGCCATAAAATTACAGTGTGAGAAGCAGGCCACCGCTCTTCTCTCTCTCTCTCTCTCTCTCTCTCTCTCTCTCTCTCTCTCTCTTCTCTCTCTTTCTCTCTCTCTCTCTCTCTGTAAGGGAGATAAGGCAGAATCAACCCTGAAAACCCACTAGGAAGAGATTTCTCCCGGGTCTAATACCAGGGTCTAGTCAGCCTCCCTGCCAGGAGATGCCCCTTAGGTGTGATGCAAATGCCTCTTGACTGCACCTGCCACCCATGCTTCTCCTGTCCTCAGTGGGCCACAAAGGGAATCAAAGGAGAAATGCAAGCCGAGTGAGAAACAGGCGTGGATCCTGGAGTGGGGAGCTGTCTGTGTGGTCCAAACGTGGCTCTGTCCCCAGCAGTCCCCTCGAGCACACAGTGCAGGTCAGAGCTCTAAGCCCAGCCGGGGAAAACCAGTGTTCCGGAAACAACGGAGCGGAGAGAAAAGAGCCAAGGGGGGGAAAACACCCCAATTACGGGGAAGTAGGTTCTTCTTCACAAAGCATTTGATTAGAATCTTTATCCAGGATCCCACGCAGGCCTCCCCGTGTTCACAGCAAGTGCTGAGGCCGATGCTGATGACGACAGCCACAGCTGCAATCCGAGGGCTGACAAGCACGGCACTGGGTACTGGAGGCACTGTGTTTTCTTTGCTACATCACTGGAAGTAACCCAGCAGGCATTATCAATTCCACTTCTGGGTGGGGAAACTGAGCATAAGCATCAGAACCTTCTGTACCATGATGCCCTGTGAGTAAGGTGCAGAGGGCTGAGCGAGATCTTTCTAAAAACACCCTCGTCCATCCTCTGGACCACAAGACACACGTCCTATCGGGGGAGGCATGTTTTCGTTCAGATCCTACCCACCCGTCTTGTATGGATTTGCAGATGGATTCACAACTGCCAGTCCTGGGGAACTGAGCCGAACAGCCAGTTCCTGCGGCTGTTCTCCCGGCACCGGTGCAGGGCCGTCATCTCAGCTGCTCCCCGGCCACACCACGTGGCTGCTCTGCTAGCCGGGGTCACTCAGCTTTCCCCAGAAATGCCCCGTTCCCCAGAGCCAAGGCTCAAATAGCACTTCCAAACACATGCAGAGTGTCCGCTTGTCCACTCCCCTGCCCGCCACCCTTTGGAACACACGTTGGTAAGAGCACCCGACAAACGGGTCCTCCCTGGGGAGCCACAGCCGACTGCCGATCGCTCACACATCCCACCTCCGCCTCTGTGCCCCGCCCCACCGAGGAAAGGTTGCCCAGAGCCAAGGTTGGGGAAAGGTTGCCGGTCACTATATCTGTTTCTCATGTACTTTCGGGGACTGGGGTACAAAACTACGAAAATAATACACCAGCGGGAAGTGATTTCTGGCTGAGCTGATGGTACAATACGGGTGATGGCACTGTGGGCCAAACGCAGATCACTGAACATGGGGCTCACACACGTGTCAACTCAGACGAATTCGCCTGGTAGAGACGCAAAACCAATCCCTTCCTGAGCTCCTATTATGTACTAGGTTAATGGACTAGAGACCTTCGTGAACATTTTGCATTTAGTTCTCAAAATAATCCTATGAGGTGTAGAACATGCCCCTTTTATAGACTGGAAAACTGAGATCCAGGGCAATGGAGAAAGGACACCAGCCTCCAGTCCAGGGTGGAAGCATGTGGTCCAGGGTGGAAGTCAGTCCCGTCTGAGCAGCTGTGAAATTCAGTGAGCCAGACTGCCACTCAGCACTCTACAAGTTCAAAAGTCCAGGTCAAGTTCAACAAGTTCCCAAATTGCAAGTTATGCTTTGGCACTAATGTCCTCTCTTTCGTTTTTCTCTCCTTTCATGGAAGTTTCTTAAACACCCATTATGTTCTTCACACTCTTTTTCTCAGCCTCTCCAGTCTCTCGGGCAAATGCGCATTCACACATTTTCACGGTGCATTGTTCTGTCCACTAAATATGCATGAAGTCCAAGATGCTGTCATTGGACGCAGCATGGCAGGCCTGCGGGAGTGTCGGCCTCATTCTCTGAGCCCGACTGGCCAGCACTTCTTGACCATGCTAAGAGCTTGGGCGGGGCCTTTCATATGTCTCTTTTGAGCTTGTGCTAGGAGATTTGTTTCTCAAACTGCCAACCCTGAAAAGACCAGAAGTTGCAGTCAAGGAGAAAGTGTGCAGAGCATATACTATATAGGCATGGATGTGCTGACCATCATCGGAGCCCCGTGTCGTGAAATCAAACCCGAGAATTCTTAGAGGGAAACAAGCAGAATATTAAGGCGGAAAACTGTCCCAACTGACATGTGGACACTGAAGGGAAGGGGACTCTTTAGAAAGGGCTGGACTGATTCTAACACAATTTCAGTCATACTTAGGACAACAGTTCCCTGGGACCCAAAAAAGAGATACTGTATTGTTGCAGGGCGATCTTAAAATGCCACTGCTTCTCATATTTGGCCCGAGTGAGTTAAAGTCACTCCGCAAAGCTCTGCCCCTCACGGAGCCGTGATGCCAGTGATTCGGCAGCTACTCTTATCTCTTGAACCGTAAAGCCACTCCAACTGCAGGTCCCACGGGGCGGGAAATAACAGGTTGCTAGTCACTTCAGAGAAGAGGAAAGCCAGAGAGAAGAAATGTAAAGTGCTGTGCTCAAAGAGTTCATTCACGCAGAGGGAGGGGCACCACGCCATTCTGCATCGCCTCTGTCCAAAGGGGGAGCACAGACGACACAGGCAGAAAATAAAAACGACGATGCCGGCACGGCTGGGCTCCAAGAGCCAGAGTGGTGGTCTGCTATCCTCGCAGCAGGCCCTGAGGTGCTGCTGTAGGCCTCAGTTCACAGAGGAGGACATGCGGCCAGAGAGGGAAATGACCTGCCTGTGGTCACACAGCTGAGATGTATGATTCTTACTGATTGATTGACTGATTGAGAGAGAGAGAGAGAAAAACAGGGATTTGTTGTCCCACATGTTTATGCATTCATTGGTTGATTCTTGCATGCTTCCTGACCGGGGATCGAACTCCCAACCTTGGCGTATCAGGACAATGCTCTAACCAACTAAGCTACCCAGCCAGGGCCACAGTTGAGATTGAAACTCAATCCAGGCATTTGTGCCCTTACCTTCCACTGATTTGGCCTTTCCTATTTTAAGGCACACCCATCCTCGGAAAAAGACAGGCACACGGGACTTCAGGAAGAAGGTCAACTCAACATAGTTTTCCCAATTGAGCCCTGATTTTAAACTCTGATTCTCTCCCTCTAGTCTGTAATGGTTTTCTGTAAAGAGCCAAATGGAAAATATTTTAGGCTCTGTGGGCCATACAGTCTGTCATGACTAACTCAACTTTGCCACTGCCGCATGAAGGCAGCCAAAGACGACATGGGAGTGGATGGCGTCCTGCTGTGTCTCAGCAAACCTTCACCTTGGGGCTTCAGGGCCTCAGCATGAGCTCCGGAGGCACAGCACCCCACACTTACGGGAGAGCAGAACTCTCCAACTAGTGAAGCGATGGGCAGATGTGGAGAACAATGTACGATAACTACTCGGAGCTGTTGCAAATGGTTTTTGTCTTGGGAAAAAAAAGGGGGAAAAGATTAATTTTGCCCATGTTTTCTGTTATTTCTATTAAAATGGAGTAGAATAAAACAGCTCAATAAACAACCTATCGGGCTAATTTTTACTGATAGAAATTGTGAGTACTGTCTACAGCGTGCGGGCATGTGTGGTGCATGTATTTATATTTAATACTCAGTCTCCTCTATATAAATCCGCATAGTGTGGCAGGCTTGGAATCTCTGTCTAGTCAATTTAAGGAAGAAAAGGAAAAGAGGAAACAGAAACAGAAAACTGGTCGCAGGACTGTCAAGAAACATAATCAGCAGCTGACCAATCTATTATCTCCTTAATCTTGAAAGTCAATAATTTTTAATCCTCTTCCTTGGGCCTCGGTGCTGATGACCATGATGGGACAGCACAGCTTAAGCCCAGGCACTCATTTTTAGTAATTAGTTCAAGAACTGATAACCCGTTTCAAAGCCCGTCGACGAGAACATGCCGGGTCAAGTCCTTCTAGGAATACAGATTTCTAAAAAAACTCCAAACAAATAAAGCTCCACAACTCTAATTCTCTGTTTCCAAATTATTTAGGATGCATGCTTTTCAGGACAGAAAAGTTTAAACTCTTCTGGTTTTCTTTAAGAGAAATTTTATTCATTGAAACAAATTAAGAATAATTTCTGCTTGGCAAAACCACAACCAACCTCATCACCTGAACAATAAAACAAAGACAAACAACACCCTATGCTCCTAGTGTATGTACTGTTCTACATCAGAAAAAAAAAAAAATCCAAAATACTGTCATTATGTGTTGTGGTCATGTTCTACAGCAACTAACAGATGTTTCCTTCACGAGAAAAAAAAAAAAAGACAAACGCAAACCTCTGCGTGTTCCACACAGACGTTATTTCTTGCATTATTAGCAAAATTAAAACGTGTGCTCTAACCTGTTCCCAGTCTCTCCAGGGGATTCTGCCTGAGAAGCAAGGTAATCAGGTCCTGGGCATCGGGGGGTGGGGCCTCGTCCTTCTCCGGCCAGTTGATCTCATCTACAAGGAAGAAAAGTTATTTCAACGTTGTTGCTGAAATGGTGGTCCACCTCCCCACGGTGCAGACATCCCCTGGGACTCTGTTAGAGACGCAGACTTTCAGCCCCCACCCCGACCTACTGAATCAGAAAATGCATTTGACAGGATCTCCAGTTGATCCCTAGGCTCGGGCACGTCGGGGACGCGTCGTTTGACAAGACGAGAAGAGCACAGCTGTCAAGAAGGCAGGGAGAGACCTTTTCTACAGGTGGTATCTTTCACTGGCTGTTTGACTCACTTTTCTTTGGTGGAATGGCTCACAACAAATTGTTCTTTCTAGTTATTAAAAGGACTTAATAGAGTAGAAACTCTAAACACCTGCATTTCAGGTGGTCACCCACCCGGGGATCATCTGAGCACGACTTTCTCTCCTACCACCGTCACCCACAGAGTTCTGCAACTCCAAGAAGCAAAAGGCAATTTCGTAAAAATAAGTATTTCCAGAGACAAAGGAAAGGTCAAAATGCTAATACTGAAGAAGAAGAAGAAAAAAATCCAAAGTAGTCACAGTAATGGAAGTATTTAAAATCTGTCATACGTATTAGACTATGTTCTACATTCTAAAGGCGTTTGCCTGAAGAGAGGTTGCATGCTTGTGTGTATAGAAATGCAATAAAAACATGAGTTATTTCTGTGTGTGCCTGCCTCTAGCTTCCTCTGCTGCAGTTTAAATCTGATTTGGAAAATAAAACATGAATATGCATCTGAGCCGTAAGGCATAGAGAACAAAGCCAGCATTTGCTGCTTGTGTTAATTAAACAGTTGATTCCTCTTGCCATTCAGGCCTTGGTATATCAGAAAATAGCCTAGTTATAAATCCATAAACAGCTCAGATATTGTATAAAAGGGTTATTCACTGCAGGCAACTCACAAATCTACTTTGTTAAAGTTTACAAATACGCCTGCCTTGCCAAGTCAATGACAGAAAATCATGCTATGGCTAAAGCGTTCCAAAATGAATTTCCCCCTATATCCACTGCGCATCCTCTAAGCACGGTCCAGGATGGACTAGAGGTAGGTGATGGAGATGTCAGTAATGAATGACAAACTTTGAGAAAGAGAGCCCTTTTTGATCTATGCTTAGGGAAAATTTATAAAAACAGCAGGTAGGGTAGTAATAGGGCCTATATAATTATCATTTAGTTTTGCCACACGCCGCATAATAATAGTTGGGGTCAGCTTGCAGGTTAAGATCTAAAGGTTATTGAATTTTAAATGAAAGATGAACAGCTGTTACAGAAATAACATTACACCATAACAACTACCAATGAAATCATTAACAATCTGTGGATTAAATTTGCTTCCTTCCCATTCTCATTATTTATTATTTGGTAGACATTTGTTTTAGGATTTATTACACTTTTGTTAATTTCTTCATTGTGCTTTTAGCCACTTTTCCCATTTATGTAAATGTTACCCACATTAACCTTCTCTTCCCTGGTGCAACTTTGCTATTATGGAGAGGAAGACTGGATGGCAATGAACTCATTTGCAAGTCCCACACCAATTTCTTTTGCAGAAAATGCTCACCATAAAAATCAGTTACATTGCCAGTACATGTCCAAATTCCATGTTAACAGAACTTCCTTGGATCAATTTTCAACCCAAATTGCTCTCTTGATATTGTGAAACCCAGTTATGTGAAAGAATGAGTGAGTTCTTTTAATCTGTTGGCTAAACCGTTTGACACAGGTTAACATTGTTGTAGTAAATTCGGAGATATTTCATAACATTACATTAAATAGCTGCTTCCCCACGGCAGCGTAAAGATAACGCCTGATGATATTTACCACTGATGACTTGTCCAAACAGCTCTTCTGGAGTGTCCCCGAAGAATGGCACACATCCAACCAGAAATTCATAGAGGATAATCCCCATGGCCCACCAGTCCACAGGCTTCCCATAGCCCTGCCTCAGAATCACCTCTGGTGCAATGTACTCAGGTGTGCCGCAGACCTGAAAGAGGATTGCAGTATTAGAATAATTTGAATACTGGACATAAATTGAAATGAACAAGAGGGCTAAACATCAATTATTTTGCCCAGAGTGCACCTGCTCAGCCACATGGAACCACATGGACAAAGCACTTATCGACAGCAATTATCAGTCAGTATCCCTAATACCAAAGGCAATAAATCATTTAAGTACCAAAGAAGAGAAGTTTAAAATTCTACTCTAATGTCAAACTATTTGTAATGTGTGGTTTCAAATCAATCATGTGACCCTGTTTGGTAGTTTTACCTATTTTACAATATTAAAAACATTTGTAATCCTTACATTTTAAATCATGTCTTTTTTTTTTTTTTTAAATCTGTCACTCTTGGAGATAGTTTTAGCATATATATGGCCAAAATATATTCACATCCCGGTTACTTTATAAAACCATGACAGTTGAGATGTGTTTACCGTAAGTAACTTCACAATGAACAGATTGTGGGCACATGGTAATGAGGCATGCTTAAAGGGAAATGGGCCATGGCTCGGATTTTAGCACCCGTGATTGTACAATGCATCATGAGTTTCACGAGTGCTCTACTGAGACTCCTGAATTCCTTACAAAAACAGTTTTCCATTTGTCTCTCTCACACTCTCACTTGTGTACAATTAGGTCGTTCGTCTTGCTAATAGACCATAATGTTGGGGGAGGAATGTGGAGGAACGGACAGTTCAAAGAGGCTCAGGGAGAAAAATGGAGGCAATTTGCACTTGATTAAATGTGAGGCTTATACAGACATCGAAACCCCAGCACTGATGTTGATTCCGAAATTCACTGGCAATGGAGTCCTTTGTATTTCTCTATAGAACTGAACAGAATACAAACTTACCTGTTTGTCTAGGAACTCTCGAGCATCCTTCTCAATATGACCCTCATAAAGATTGGTAGTCATGCTCATCAGTCCCACCTTGGATAATCCGAAATCTGTCAGTTTTATGTGCCCCATGGAGGTGACCAGCAAACTATGAAGCAGAAGGACATATATTATTACAACACTCACTTTGAAGCTCTTTTTTTTTTTCAGTGCTCTCTCTCCTCTTGTGAACTGTAAGACTATTTAGTATATACGTGTCAACCTTATTAAAAACCCAGCCTGGGAAGAGATCAAGTCACCGAAGATGTCAAATACTTGTGCCTGGCAGCTGAGTGTAATTCACAAGGGAGGGCCAGAGAGTAGGCCCAGCGAGTCTTTGTTGGGGCAGCCACATCTATTATTATCTACAACCTGATATGCTTAGAAAGCTTAAGTCAGAACCCTGACATCTATTTGCAGAAAAAGAAAACAGAAGAGAAAGGGGTACCCATAATATGCCATGTCACACATCAGGAACTAAGATAAGCAACCCATCTGTGACTCAAGTGAGATGTAAGATAAGGAACGTGGACAGGAAAATGTATTATTGTTTCAGATTTCAACTTCTGGCTTGAATTTAAATTTATACTCATTAAGCACAAAACCTACATTTCTTATACACGCAATACTCATATGACAGCTTTATGAGTTTACATATATATTTTTTTAAAATATGTTTTTATTGACTTTTTTTTTTCAAGAGAGAGAAGAAGGGACAGAGAGATAGAAACATCAATGTGAGAGAGATACATGGATTGGCTGTCTCCTGCACGCCCCCTACTGGGGATCAGGCTCAAAACGCAGGCATGTGCTCTGACCAGGAATCGAACTGGGACCTCTCAGTTCATGGGAAGATGCTCAATCCACTGAGCCACACTAGCTAGGCAATATATTTAAATATTTTTTCATTTTAGGAGATTGAAAAAAATCAACATTTTAATAATTGAAAATTAAAGGAATAGTGGAGTTGGGGGTAAAAAACTACTGAAAGGAAATATGCTAAAATTCTATTAGTTGTTTTTGCTCAGTAATGTTGTACATTACCAAAAATATTTAAAGAAAAATGTTTTTCTCCATGTTTTTATGCACTTTCCAAATTTTCTGGAATGAGCATGAATTAAATTTATCATATGATATTCTGCACGCATAAAAGCTATACATATTAACATATAACACATTTAGAGGCTTTTTAAAGTAGTGGAAAAGCATGAAACATTTAACAAATGATGTCAAGATGAATAACTAGTCATTTGGAGAAAAACAGTCTATCTGTATCTCAAATCAGATACCATAATAAACTCTAGATAGATTTTTTAAATTTTAAATTAAATTATGAATAAAATAGAATATAATATCAAGTGTATCATCTTTCAGTAGAAAAGGGTTACCTAATATGGTACCAAATGCAGAAACCATCCAGAAAACTAGTAGCAGTCTGTGTAGCTATTCAAAAGTTTATAGAATAAAGCTGCTGAAAAAAATTAACTAACCTTGGCTTTAAAAGCATCTTTTTCATCTGTTTCCTATAAGCTATAATTATAAGCCTCACAGCCTTTAAAGGATTACCATATACATTGTTAACTCATTCAGACATATTATGGGAGGATTTTTAAATGTGCAAAACAGTGTTAAAAGAAAATAGTTTTATAGACCTAAGAACATTTTTATATTGTGTAACAACAACCAAACAAAAAAACATGTTTCATCAGTGTACATACTTATCTGGTTTCAAATCCCTGTGGACAATTCCATAATTATGCAGATATTCCAAGGCCAGGACTGTCTCAGCAAAGTACATCCTGGCCATATCAACAGGGAGAGGGCCCATGTTCTTCATTAAGGTAGCACAGTCGCCCCCTGTGAAACACAAGGGACAGCCTGAGCAGGCACACTACCAGCAGGTAATCCACCAGGACTGAAGAGCAGCAGTTTGGACCGCAGAGTGGCCCTTACCCACAGACTCAGCCATTTCACTCAGAAGTGGAGACTGTGTGTTAAGTAATCGTGCTTCTAATGAAGATGTGGTGTGGAGAAAATATAGATTTTTATTCAGGAAGCAGTACTCAGAAGAGAGTAGGTTTGGCTCTGATGTGGAATTGCGATTTGAAAAACTGCTAGCATAATTTTAGGAGCACGGTGACCATTTAAACTACGCCGGTGTAAAACATGGATTCGGGAATCAGGCTGCCCGAGTTCCAGCCCCAGCCTCTGACGGGTAAGGCTGGTGAGATCCTCGGGAAAGTCACCGAGGTTCTCTCATCAGCAGGATCAGCAGAGTCACAGTGTCACTCCTCTGAGGGTTACTGTGAAGGTTAAATGAGGCAATCTACGTAAGGGTTTGAGGATACTGCTAACACACATTAAACACATGATAAATGTGAGTCGTTAAAACAACCACAACAAAGGTTAATAAAGCAAAGTACTGGTGTGGTGAAAAGAACAATGGGTGGAAATCAGGCAAGCTATGTGTTTGTCTCGTATCCACCACGAAATATCTAGTAAGTCTCCCCCCGCTTCTGGGGTTTGAGTTCACTCATCTACAAAATAAAAAGGTTGAACTAAACGAAATTTAATGTTTTTTCCAGCTTTATAGTTTTGGGATTCTGTTCAAACAATTACGAGAGCTTAAATTAGATGCTTTCAAACTTGCTTTGGCCCTTGCTGATCAATTCATTTTATTAACTGTTTATGTCAACAAGTCACAGCCTCTCATTCAGAAATTTCATGTAAAATTGATGAAAATACGATTCCTTGGAGCACTTAAGAGGTCGACCGCAACCTAAAAAAGAGCTAGATTTTCTTGAATGGATCTCCTTTCCCTAACTCATTTTTAATTTCCTAGCATAGACCAGAAAGGATATACTTCTTTTTTTATATATTTTACAAGTACGTTTATTAAAGCTAGGGACAGTAAGATAAGGAAGAGCCTAGGGCTGAAGAAGCAACAGGAGAGCGCCTCGCGGGGCTGGGCTCCCTGGGAAATAAGGCACAGTGACAAGTGAGCCAAGGAGGGCTGCTGTCAGCCCACTGGAGAGTCAGAGAAAAAGGGGTCTCGGGGACAGGTCAGGGGGTCAGCCTGGGACAAGCTGCAGCTGCCCACAGCTCCCCTGGGTGCAAGTCTCATGGGGTCCCTTCAGTTTAGGAGATGCACGCCTGTGGGGGAAGGAGAGGGAGAGTGCGAAAGGACATACTTCCTTTGAATTTATTCTGTAAGAGACCAATGGTTACGAATGTTTTATGATATGTGATGAACATAAGTAGAAAAAAAATCCCATCACCTGTATTATAACTTTATGACCAACTGAAAGGAGATAGGATTAACAGCTATTTAAAAAGAAAAACAACCTTTCTCCAAAGAGCACTAATTTTCCCTTTCTTATAGCAGAGCTGGCTCCTTACAAGTAATTATCACAAGATAACGACTGGGAATACAGCCATCTCACTGCCTGGCTTCGGCTCCGAGGTGGACACAACCATCATGTTGCCCAAATACGGAGTGCTTCAGCCCACACACGAGGAAGGGTTCCTGGGGCGGGGCGTCCTGCTCTCTGCGCCCGACGGACTTACCTTCCACATACTCCATGACCATGCACAGGTGGCGCCTGGTTTCGAAGGAGCAATACATGCTGACCACAAAGGGGTTCTCCGCAAACGTCAGGATGTCCCGCTCCACGAAGGCCTGCTGGATCTGGTTCCGGAGGATGAGGTTCTGTTTGTTAATCTTCTTCATGGCAAACCTCTGCCGGGACTCCTTATGCCGCACGAAGTAGACTGCCCTGAAAAGGAGCACAGGAGTTGGGGTTCACAGCAAGAGAGGGTGCTTCTGAGCACAGTAAACCATGTGATCACCAATCCACTTCTAGTTCACACGCCGGCGGAATTCGATTCGCACAAGCCACGCTGGCAGCTATGAACACCCCGTTCCAGGCCAAGAGCCTATGGCTGGATTGATTTTTTTTTTTTTAAATTCTTCCAATAAAGATCATAGGTCATACATAAGACATCAAATCCATCTGCACTGCCGCAGAAAGGAAATGGGCAGTCTCCAGAGTGGACTGTTTTCCAGCAGCTACCTGATGTTTTCAGCTGTTCCACAAACGAAACAAAATCCAATATATGTCAGAACGGGAAAGAATTAACTAAAGCACACACAGAGCGAGATCCCTCCTAACATTGGATGTGTTGGCATGTTTCTACTGCACTGACTAAAGCAAATATTTCCTGTATGATACCCTTGGAATCTGCACAAGGACCACCGCTTCTTAGAGTAGCTGGCTTCCTACGTGAGAGTAACTCACTTCCCATGAAGTTTGCAGATAATGAGAAGTGTGTAACAGGTCACACAAGGCTGTCCCACAACAAAGAATAATGTATTTCCTCACTACAGGCCTTGGCATGAGTAACATGTGTGCCTGATTCAACAGGAAATGCATTTCCCAACACAAAAGCGGGCTGAGAATACATTGACTTCTGCCCCACCCGACCCATGGCCAAGGTGTCGGGCAACTGACGGTAAAGGAGTAGGTTGTGCTGAATCTGCCGAAAGCGTTAGCCAGCACTCCACAGAAGGGCCTGATTCACCTTCCACGTAGTCCACGACCTTGCACTGAACTCCCTGAAGCTTCTAATGATGTGGAGAAAAGGAATAATCAGGAGGAGGAGTCTTTATGTATGTATGTATGTATGTATTTATCCTCACCCATTTTTTGTTCAGACAGAGTGGGAGGGAGGGAGAGGAAGAGAGAGAGAGAGAGAAAGAAACATCGACGTGAAAGGGACACATCGAGTGGCTGCCACCCGCACAACCCAACCAGGGCCGGGGACAAACTGCAACCATGATACGTGCCCTTAGCAGGAACCGAACCCGGGTCTCTCTGGACCGCAGGTCGACGCTCTAACCGCTGAGCCAAACCGGCCAGGACAGGAGGAGGAGTCTTAAAACCCTACCTGGAAATGACAAGCAACAAGGAGAATGCCTTGGACTAGCTCTTTTTCTCATTTGTTAGTCCTCACTTGTCATTATTGTGGGAGAACAGGGGTGAACTCTCAGGTTAGGCAATGCTCAGGTAAGCAATAATTTACCAAAAGAGCCATCAGTCATCGGAACTGTGTAATAGGTTACATGAGGCTGCCCTGCAACAAATGCAATGATCAAATAAGTAGTAATTTACCTCGAAGCAATCGATCACAGTAAGGTATATCCAATGGTCTGCCTCCTAAAACAAGGGGTTATCTGGTCTGAGATGTGTTTTCCACTACTGTACTTATTTTCCGTGTCCTTGAAATGAATATATGGGTACTAAGACACCCTAAATTCCTGCTGAACCACTACATCAGCGTGGTCCACTTATATTAAGCTTAAGTATATTTAATCTCAGTTTAATCAATATTCACATTTTTCCCTTAAGTGTTCAATTTTTTCTTTGTTTTGCTTTACGCCTTTTTGTCCACTCTCGTCATTTCTTTGATCTTCTTCTTCTTCCTTTGCATCATATGAAAAAGTTCTCTTAACCATTCTCTACATAACCAAGTCAAGGAATAGCCTGGTAATGTTATTCACACAGCAGGACAGACTAACACGCCCTGGCCAGCTGGGTGCTCACACTCTCTGCACGGGCAACGGCCCCTTCAGAATGCCCCCAACCCTGGGCTCCCACCAGCTGAGCTTATTTCCATACCTGCTTTTCTGGCTAGGCTTGAGATCATGATTAATTAATGTATACAACTATTTAAGCTGATGAAACATGAGGGTGAAAAGAAAAAGCATCACTGTTTATAAGAAAACAAAATAGAATGCTTTAGAAAGTGAGTTACTAAGTACAATTCCTATTGCTTTAGTATGGGTGAAGAGATTTCCAAAAGTGAAGAAGACAATAAAAATCCAGATTCCTATGTTCAGATTGCTCCAAGGTCTTCACCTTGAAAGAAGCTAAAATTGGAGAACAGAAACAATGGATTATAAGTACGGTTCATAGTGGTTGTCTTTAAAAGGCCTTACATCAAAAGACTAGCAAATTCCTATCTATTTAGGTTAAATAAGTGTTTAAAGTACATATCATTTTTTAATGATTTCCAACTTTAAAAGAAAGATAGTAACCTTACATTATCACTTGCCAATTCTGGAGAGTACCTGGAATAGAGCTTACTTTCCATCTCTCCTTTCAATATTTAATATTGAGCAAGTTTCGGGGGTGGGCCCAGTCATATGATATCACTAATTCACTGTTAGACTCTCAGAGTGTTGCCATTCTGATTTTCCATCAAGCATGACCATTTTTTATATAAATGACTGACTGTTCGGCAACATGTGTCAGAGTAGCAGGGAATAGAAGAAAAAGAATGGAGTTGTACACAATTTTTTATGAAAGAACAAAAAAGAAAGCCACCCCAGGCCTAATTTGACCGGGTTTCGGTGGCACTATGAAAAAATGTGCTGCAATCTTTATTCTCATATTTCGGGTTCTTAAAGTCTGACTTGACTTTCGCTTTGCCCTTGCTATGATGTACTTAAAATAATCAGTTAATCCTTAGGGAAATTTACCTAAACCAAGTGAAATTAATCCTATAGGAAGCTTGAGATACCTCTGCCTCAGGACACACCTATCTTGATCAAGTTGCACAAGTCAACTGGACTTCTTCATTAGAATTTGCTGTAGCTGGATTTTCATTTGTGTATTTCTTTTGTCTTATGTTCTTAACTTTTACATTTTTGTACTGCTTTAAGAATAGTATTCCTAGTGCTGACATGTGTTTATTTAGTAATAATTATTGTCTTTCACCTACCCTTTCCTCCTTAACCAATGTTTCAAATCTACTTCAAGTCAGCAGAGGGAGAGACAGAGAGAGGAGAGGGAGAGATTGAAAAAGAGAAACAAAGGGAGGCAGATACACAGCACCGAACCCCGTTAAGCAGACCTGTAAACCTCCCAGGATGATCAAACTGGAGTGAACTGATTCAGCCCCACATCTCTGCTTTCTGGCCCCCAGGGTTGTTTTCTTTGAAAAGGCTGCTCTGTGTCTCTTTTCCTACACTGACCTCCCTGTGAAATAGGAAAATTCAAGGGTGGAAGGTGATGCAGGGAGCAAGGCAGCCGGGGGGCCCTGGTTCTCTGAGCCAAGCTTCCCCCCACCCAAGCAGAACCGAGCTGAGTGTGCCAGGGTGGGGAGGGCGGGGGAGCAGACGCCGACAAGATCTGGAGCAGAATGAATCGGTCCTATCGGGAGTGTGAATTCTAATGCGTATACAATTATGCATGAATCCGAGAGCCCGATACATGGATCTGTGCAAGCAAATCTGCATGTGGGAATGGGAGAGCGTGTGTCAGAGGAAAGCTGAGAGGAGAGGCTACAGGGAGAGAAGGCGCAGCAATGGGGGGGGGGGGGCGACACCCCATCACCCAGCCCATCTCCTGTCCTTCCAGGGGTAAAAGAGAACAGTGCACGTAAAGGCCAGAAAGTGAATCAAAGTGGGGGAGAGTTGTGCCTTTCAGGGTTAGATTTTTAGATTTTAAAATTTTTAGTCAATTTTATGCTTTCACTTTAAAAACATTCAAAGTTGTAATTTGGAAATCTAAGTGGAAGTGCTCAACCGAAGACCTTGACATCCCAATTAAGACGGCCAGAAGCTATGGCCAATGTCAGAAAAGCTCTGCTTGGACCTCCGAGCCCCTCTCCCTGCTGCTCAGGGGATGTGAGGGTAACCGCAGCACCCGCCCCTCGTGGAGGAGGACAGAGACAGGGACTGGACAGAGCCCGGCACAGAGTGTTAGCTTTCTACAAAGTGCTACACCGGCAAGAAGGAGCGTTTCCCTCCCAGTCAGGCATCTGAAACACGTTAAACAGGAAAGGAAATCAGATGCTTATCAAATTAGCAAGTTGGCTTTATAGCACGAATCGTCACTAAGTAGGATGTTGAGAAAACCACGACATGCGTTAGCGTAGCAGGTAGAAAGCTCTTCCTAATGAGAGGGTTAGTTCCCAGCATAACCAGTTTTCAAGATCAGTGTCACTGTGAGTCACAGACGTGGACGCTACACGGTCACAGAGGTGCCTGAGAGCCCCCAACAGTCCAGCGCATCTCCCACAGAGGGACCATTCGTCCAGGGCCACAGAGGCCTGCACCCAGCACCTTGACTGGGTGGACCAATGGTGTTGCGCCATTCAAATTCAAATGAGAAGTAATTAATACGTAAAGGAAATCTGTCAAAAACGTAATGAGAGATTAAATCTGAGACGAGCCAAAGAGAAAACACAGTTTTAGTTGATTGGCAGAGGCTTCTGCAGGCAGCTTGTGGGCCCATTAGTGACTTGGCCTGCGTCCTGGGTGTTCACTGATTCATAGCTTGTTTGACTTCTTGTATATTCCCAGCCATTCCCCAAAGTGTGATATACTTCATCCACTATACAGTGCTTTAATCGCACTACAAATGAGTTTACTCAACCAATTAGAACACCAAATACTGCTAAGATCTCTGTCCACGTTTTAAAAATATGGTGCTTCACAGATAATCTTATTCCAGAATGCCACTGCCCATTAAACCGAGTAGTGCTCACATCCATAGACCCATTAAATCTAAGTCCAGTCTTCTCCCTAATGAAGAAAGAAATCCTCAAAGGGTCTCCAAAATGAAAAAAGAACTGAAAACAAATAATAAACAAAACCCATATAGAAGTGCAATCTAAAACAATTTTCTTAAGTAGAAAAGTTTCAATGAGATTCTTGAAGGACATAAAATATCACAAGAAAAACAAACAAAAAAACCCCGTCAGAGAGCATGTATAAGCCACATCAGGTAATATGCCATCTGACATAATCCTGAGAGCAAATCAGTGAAGCATAGGAAGCACTCACCAACATTTAAGTTCCTCACTAAGTTAATGGTGTGGAAAATATCAGAGGTATAAAAAATCATAACGCGAAGCATCCCTTGTGGCACAACAAAAATCACTTTTATCTCATCTGCTCGCTTGTGTGATAAATGGCAATAAATGTCTAGGACATTGTTTATTGCTTTCCATATACAGATGGAACTGGGATTAATACTTAATTAAACTAGAGTTCTTGGGCCTTCTGAAATGGATCAGGACAGAGTTTGTATATTAATTACCCTTTTAAACTATGTATTAGTAACTCAGCAGGATGTCACTATTGACTCTTTGCCATGAGAATGAAGTCACGTGTCTATAAAGATGGATTAAGGAAAAGGGACCACTAATGTCATCAGATTATAACACAAAGTTCAACTGAAAAACAATCTTGGTGTAATATAAAGACTAAAAAATTGTATTGCTCTTCATTTTCAACCAGCCTCCCTATTCAAATACTTCTTCACTAGGCTGACTGCTGATCACACAGGAAGCACTGGCTAACACTCAGGCAGCGATGCTATGTATGAATTTATACATATTCAGACATATATATTTTTAATGAGATGCTAATATATATATTCAGATAAATATATATCTAGGTGTGTATGTGTATATGTATCAAAACATATATTCATACATATACATATATCTATATCAACCAAGAGACAGTTACTTTGTTATTTCTGAACCCAAAAGGGCAGAAATAAGAAGGCAGAGCAGGCATCTATAAAAATTTTTCATTACTTGATACATTTTTACTTTTAAAGTCATCCTCTCTGATACTCTACAATGATGGCCAGGCCATCTGATATGTCTTCTGATGAAGGATCCAGTGAAAAATGGTTTGGGCTGCACGTTATACCCATCAGTGAAGAAGCAGTGATCTGAAGTTCCTATACAACACCTAATTGGCATAAGATAAATGTGAAGAATACAGTACTCAAGTGTGTTAAAATACAATCGAGTTTTCTTGACTTACTCACCCATAGGCTCCATTGCTAATCAATTTAATCGTTTCAAAATCACTTTCCCGAGGTTTCCTTCGAAGTTTCAGGGACGTGTTAGAGCTCTTGGAAACAAAACGTGGAAGTTAAGACACAGCTGAGAATTCAAGAACATACCTTTAACAGCCAACTGAATGATATCCGAGTTACATGCTCTGTTGGGGGGCATGCTGAAGTGCCATTCTAGCAAAGGAAGCTGGGGGGCAGCTTTCAAGATCAATTTCCAGAGCAGGGTCTAAGTTTCACCTAGGTGAACCCGCTCTCCCAGGACATGAAGGCACCACGCCTTTGGAAATTCCTGACTTTAATTTACCTCTGTTCACTCAGGTGAGCCACATCCTAGTCTTAAAGTCTGATATTTAAGTTCAGAATGCCAAACCTTCCTTCTGGCTTCAGCTGGCCAGGAAAAAATGGGCTGGAGCGGCTGTCCATGAGCTGGTGGGTGCTGCGGCTCCCTGTTCCTGGCCAGAGCACGTCTGTTTATCTCCTGTGGCAGCCTCTCTTCCTTGGTAGTCAGCAACGAATGGGACACCCAAATACAGAATGTCTCCCTTTCTTTAATTCTATACTGTATGTCTTGCTATGGTTAAGATATGAATGCTCAAACAGAGAGCTCTTTAAAAAGTTTAGTTCAAAGGACAAAAACAAATAAAGTGCTTAAAATTTTTTTTTCTCATACCCCAGTATTTTTAGCATTGAGAGGGTGTTACCAGCCTCTTTGCTCCTTCTGCAGAGCCTAGAATTCCCTTCCTATAGTTTTGAAAGAAACCCCACCCTCCCCCATTCGGAGCTGTCCTCCGCTGACCCTGGCACCCACTCACCTTTGGGAGACTTGGTACCCAGCTTCCGCCTTTCTTCCTGCCCACATTCTCTCAGCATCTGAGTGACTCAGTGTCTACACGGATAACCCTACATCCTGCCTCTGAGCCACTTGACTTCCTCAACTCAAGCAACTAACTCTGCCCTCTATCTCCCCGTGGCCTCTGGCCACAGGACCTGGATCTAGCCATCACCTGCCAATGTTCCATCTCCAACAATATAATTTAAGAGTAGGACCAACTTGTCTCATGAACTCCCCCCTACCCTACAATGACTTCAGTCATGCCGGTGGATGACTCTAAGTCATTCAGAACTCCACCTAAAACGCCTCTTCCAAGTGCCGGAAGAGTCCACACCCTATTCACAGCTGCTGGTTTGATGGCTCTTCTTGGATGTCTCAAAGGAACTTCAGTCTCAACACATTCACAATTATGACAGTTATAATACAATAAACAAAAAAAGCTACCATTTATGTAGCACTGACTATGTGGTGCTGTCCTAACCATTTTACACAAACTACCTCATTTCATCTTTTATTATTCTGCAGGTAAAGAAACTGAGGCACAGAGAGATCCCATAGGTGGTAGGTAAGAGGTGGAGCGATCTGACTCCAGCTGCCCCTCTTTCCTGACACCCCAACCCGCTCCATCCTGATCCCTCTCTGGCGTTCACACCTAGGGAGAATGGCAGCAGCACCTGGACTTCCCACCTGTGCCGCTGCATCAGCCTCTTCTCGGGCTCCCCCAGGGTCACCCCTGCTGGCTCCCCTTGCAATCAGTGAAATTTTCTTCAACCTGTAACTCAGATTGGGTCATCTTCCTGCACACTCCCCCTTCTCCCCACATACCTATATAGTTCCTCCAAAGCTCAATAACTTCCCATTGTTCTTTGCAAGAAAAAAATTGACAAAAATGATTGAGGACCTCTGTGTCCAGTTTTCAACCAAGCTTTCCAGTCGGTACAGTGCCCCTTGCTCTTAGTCCTCAGATGCACACTGCTCCCCGTGTCACGATCTTTGCCCATGATGTCCCCTTGGCCTGCAATCTTCCCTCTGCCCTTTCTTGTCCTAGTATGATCTCACATCTCAAGCTCAAGTGTCATTTCTTTGGGAGATCTTTTGAGACTGGCAAGACTAAGGTAAATCTCTTCATGGTGTTCTAGTAGTACATGGCCCTTTTTCTTCATAGATCTTATTCTAGATTATCCTTTTAATTGCTTTTGCATGATTTTTTTTGTATTTTATTGTCTCCCCATGATGCCTCACTTCACAGGAAGCAAAGATTCTTTCTCTCTGAAGGGAGGGGCTCAAATTGTATGCCTAGTGCCCTGCACATGGAATTTAATAAATATTTGTTGAACAAATAAAGTAATTAACACAGCCAAAATCGCCAGATGCCATAAACAGAAAAACCAACACCATATTTCATCAAGAAAGATACTTACGCTCACTGATTCATCTGTTTCTGGTGTTTCTGCTGTCCCGCTATTATAGTTTCCCAGCTGAGCCATTTCTAGGTTTAAACATGAATGAATGAATGAATGAATGAATGAATGAATGAATGAATGAATGAATACAGCAAAGTTTAAGAAAAATAGGGCAATTGCAATTAGGCAATTGCTGAAACAATAAAAAAATAATTTTTCCAATATATAAAAAAAAAGAAAAATTTACTCTATGTTCCAGTGAACCCATGGGAAAATCTTAAATTCAAACTGGCAAGAACCACCAACTGACATTTGGAAATTGTTCATTACAAGTCCTTCCCTGGAATCTCATTCTTTCTTTCTCCCTTTTATCCTTCCTTCCTTCTTCATCTATATATCGTATTGTGTGTTTACCACCCCAAGTCCAGTCACCTTCTAGCATCATTTGTCTTTCTTTTACCCTCTTCGACCTCTCCCTACCCTCCATTCCCTCTGGTAATCACCAACTATTGTCTATCTAGGAGTTTTTCTTATTTTTCGCTTAATCCCATCACCTTTTTCGCCCAGTCCCCCAAACCTCCCACCTCTGATTAGCTGTCAGTCTGTTCTCTATATCTATGGATCTGTTTCTATTTTGTTTGTTTGTTTATTTTGTTCATTAAATTCCAAATATGTGTGAAATCATATGGTATTTATCTTTCTCTGATTGGCTTATTTCATGTAGCATAACGCTTTCCAGTTCCATCCACACTGTTGCAAAGGGTAAGTTTTTCTTTTGTTACAGCCCAGTAGTATTCCATTGTGTACCACAGGTTTTTTTTACCCACTTATGTACTGATGGGTACTTGGGCTTCTTCCAAATCCTGGCTATTTTAAATAATACTTGAGTCCTGGCTAGTTTGGTTCAGCAGTTGGAGCGCCGGCCCGAGAACCAAAGAGTTTCAGGTTTGATTCTGGTCAAGAGCACAAGTCTTAGTTGCAATTTGATCTCTGGCTCTGGTTGGGGTCGTGCGGAAGGCAACCAATCAATGTGTCTCTCTTACGTCGATGTTTCTTTCTCTCTCCCTCCCTCCCACTCTATCTGAAAATCAATGGAAAAATATCCTCAAGTGAGGATTAAAATAATAATCATGATAATAATAATAATAATACTTCAATAAACATAGGGGTGCATATATCCTTTTGAATCAGTGTTATGGGTTTCTTCAGGTATATTTCCAGAAGTGGAAACACTGGGTCATAAGGCAATTTCATTTTTAATTTTCTGAGGAAATTCCATGCTGTTTTCACAGTGGCTACACCAATCTGCATTCCCACCAGCAGCACATGAGGGTTCCCTTTTCTCTACATTCTTTTCAACACTTGTTGTTGATTGATTTATTGATGATAGCCATTCTGACAGGTTTGAGGTGATATCTCATCGTGGTTTTAATTTGTATCTCTGATGATTAGTGACGTTGAGCATCTCTTCATATGTCTTTTGGCCATCTGTATGTCCTCCTTGGTGAAGTATCCATTCAGGCCCTTTGCCTCTATTTTAATTGGATTGTTTGGGGTTTTTTTGGTGTTGAGCTTTATATCTTCTTTATAAATTTTGGATATTAACCCCTTACCAGATGTATCATAGGCGAATATGTTCTCCCACTCAGTGGGTTGTCTTTCCTTTTGTTGACAGTTTCCTTTGCTGTGCAAAACCTTCTTGGCTTGATGCAGTCCCATGGAACTTCATTTCTTGTGAACAGCCAGACACAGGTATTTAGAGCTGAGCCTCTGCTCTAGCTAGCAGGACTCACTGGCTAACAAAATCACCACAGCTTGCCACCAGTCTGGAGGTCAGCAGTTGTGCTTATAATCAGATACCCAAGGGAGGCAGGTCTTCCCAGTCTCTGACAGCTGTACTCTCTGAGTACAGCTCAGAGGATTCGCAAGAAATCGGATCCTTTCTCCGATTTCATCATGTCCACTAAGACAGAGTCCACCTACTACACTAAGAACGTGCAGCTTGTCAAAGAGGAAAGAGTAGTGGTTGAGAGGGGGCTGGAGATAGAAAGACGTGGGTTACCACCACGATCAGGACTGACTTGGGATCTTTTTTATTTTTCCATTGCCTTTTTTTTTTTTTTTAATCCTCACCCAAGGACAGTTTTCCATCCTTTTGTTCAAACAAAGTGAGAGGGAGAGAGAGGAAGAGAGGGAGAGAGAGGAAGAGAGAGAGAGAGAGAAACCTCGACGTGAAAGGGACACATCGAGTGGCTGCCACCTGCACGACCCAACCAGGGCCGGGGACAAACTGCAACCGAGGTGTGCGTCCTTAGCGGGAACCGAACCTGGGTCTCTCTGGACCGCAGGCCGATGCTCTAACTGCTGAGTCAAACTGGCCAGGGCTCCAATAACATTTTGACAGAGTGGAAGAGAGGGAGAAAGAGAGAGAGAGAGAGAGAAACATTGACGTGAGAGAGACACATCGATTGGTTGTCTCCCACACAACCCTGACCAGGCAGGAGATAGAAGCCGCAACCCAGGTATGCCCTTGACCAGGAATCGAACGCACAACCATTCAGTCAGCAGGCTGATGCTCTAACGACTGAACCAAACCTGCCAGGGTTACTTGTGACCTTTTAACCTCAGGCTCTTACCCTGTAAGATGACAACAATACAACAAATCTTTTCGAGCTTTTTATGAGCATTATTTATAATAAGACACATGAAGCTCTTAGCATATTGACTAACAAAAATTAAGTGCTCGTTGAATGTTGATGGTTATTTAATATTATTGACTATGTCATGTAGTCAGTCCTGGGCGGGATGCCACATGCTTGACACCAGCTTAAGTATTACCCTGTGTCCAGTTAAAAGAGACAAAGGTATCCAATCATTCAGCCCACACTGGAATGCATCCTTGAAGACTCAAATCTAATTCATCTTACCGTCCACTTTGATTTTTATACTGAAAAAACATGTTTTATTAAAGAAAAAAAACATAAAAGAATTTTCTCCAAAACTTTGGTAGGAGCTCTCTCTGAGTGGTGGGGTTACAAGTAATTTGTATTTTCTAATATTTTTGAACTTGAACATGTATAATAAAAAGTTACAATTTTTAGTTACATATTTTTGTATGCATCTGAAATTATTTCTTAGGCTCTTATTTCATGTATTCATGTTCTTATAATTACCCTTTTGGGAGGAGAAATTACACATAAAAATATGAAGCAAAACAGTCCTGGAGTGTTGTCTTTGGATAAAAATAAACTCCAGATCTGACCATAACTGGAGACTGACACTCACTTTCCCTGTAGGAAGGATCCAAGAGTTCAAATGAGCTCGGTACAAAGTGCATGCTTCTGTGGTGTCCTTCAAATGCCGTCAACTCCTATGTGACCAGCTCTTCAGCTTTATGAACAAGGAGGTGAACTAAAACGTATTTAGTTGCAGGGACTTTTCAGAAAGGGGGCGATTTTAATATTGTTTAAATATAATGGTAACAGCAGCTCAAATTTATGAAGCATTACTACTTGGGTACAGAGATGAATTCATATAACCCTGAAAGCAACCCCTGGAGCAGGTAGGACTATTACCCCATTTACATGGAAAGAACACTGAGTCACAAACAGGCTCCTCAACAGCATGGTCAAGGTCACGCAGCCTGCAATGCTGGCCACCAGGGTGCAGGCCTGGGCAGTCCCACTCCAGACCCTCCTCCTCACCCTCAAAGGTCAGGCCTTTGGTATACTGGTGTAGACAGAGACAAGAAGGGGAAGCAAAATGTGGATCAGAGTTTGTAACAATCACATTTTAAGTGATAATAGATTTAAAACGATCCTCAGAAAGGAATCAAGAAAATTGTGTCAAGAGTTAAAATACAACTCCTAGTGATCAATTTGTATTACTGACCTAAAAGCTTGGCAACGATCACTATTCATTTTTTCAGAGTCCACGAAGGTGCACAAGTGGGCTCAGATTATGGACCCACCGAAGTTCAGCCTACAGTGATATTTGCTGCAGGTAAGAAGACTCAGAAGAGCTCACTCCGTCCACAAATCAAAGGCTGACGCAGCCTTAACTATCCCAGCGTGAAGCGTCACCGTAATACACTTTGACAGCCTCCCCCACTCCAATTATTTTCATAAAAACAAATTAAAAAATGGTTCTGTTTTAAATAGCATTTCTGCTAAATAACTATTATCTGGGAAATACATATTATTTGTAAGCAGTGGGTAGTAATGGGATGGAACCGAGAGTCAGCTTTTGAAGCAGGAACCTGAGGCATCATTTTGTAATGCCTGAAGAGATGTTTAAAACTCATCTAAATACCATTAAACATCTGCCCTTTTTATTTCATTGATTTAAACCATTTCTGAAGACTCATGATTCAAAAAGGTAAAGATGGTAATTTAAAAGCCATGGGGGAAAATCTCTCCCCAGGGAACTCTTCAGAAAAGCAGCTACCAGTCTCTGATAAGTGGTGAATCTGTTGTGGTATTGCTTTCAGGACAGGATGAATTTCTCTGGCATTATCTCCCAGGAATGCATGCAGCATTTCCCTGGAAGCAAAGATCCGAACAAAGCAGGGCGAGCCCGAGAGCAGGGCAGAGAGCAGCAGGCCCCGCTGCAGGCGGGAAGTCTGTGCTAACAGTTACCATTATTGCAAACAATTTAGCAAGACAAACACTGTTTGCAAATCCCGTGGAATGAACCCGGAAGACAACTTTGAATGAAGGAGTCCATGATTCTTTCTGGGTCTTTTTAGGCAGTACATATTCTACATGTGCTTAAATGATAATCCCAAACAAGAATGAGCAAAAAAGGTAGGGTAGGAGTGATTTCCCAGTCTTCGATTTTAAAAAAATCACAAAGACGGTGCTTCCTCTTCTTTGTATTTTTTTTTCCATTTTAATCAACCATAAATCCTTATACAAGCTTCAAGAAATACCTCCCCTCCCCCCCGGCTCTCTTCTATATTGTTATTAATCAGGCCTTTTTGGGACAAGTAAGCAAAACCATATCTACCAGCACTGTACCAGATTTGAAGTAACCTATCATCAATGACCTTACTCCCAAATTACTTTAAATTTAAACGGTGCTTTTATAGTAATTATAATTAATTTATTTAGCAACATTTTCAAAATTAAAAGTACCCTTGAGAAGAACTCAACTGAGCTTTGCAAGAGAAAACAATACTTAGAGAAGACTGCAATCTAGAGCTTCTGGGACAGGAGCACAGTGGAGCTGATGGGCCCTAAGGCTTAAGGTGGTCCCCTGCTCCCAGTAAACACGAAGGGGGGCCTGTCCACTTGCTCCCCAGGGCTCAACTTGTACCTCTTTCCTTCAAATCGCAATGGTCCCCAAAATTTGTATTTTTCAATTGACAGAGCCAAAACTTGAGGAAAAAAATAAAGATTTTTCACTACGTTCTTCTACGAGGTCACAGTGCAAAAGCAAGTGAAAGGCCAGCCCAACCATGGTACTCACCTTCCAAAGGATCCTTATTGAGCCCCAGCTGGCTAATGATGTACCTGGGAATGTCCGTTTTAATACCCTGTCCTTCTTTTGCATGGCCCTCTGCCGCTTCCAATAGGTAGTAGAATTCTTCAGGATCAAATTCCTAGCAGAAGACAAACACAGACAGACACTTCTTTGAGCCCAACTGTTTAAGGTGTTCTTACGAAGTCCCACTCACAATCAACTGCTGGACATACATGGTTGCGGGTTGTTTATGCGGAAAGGGGAGACATGGCTTTCACAAGTCTATAATTCTCCCTTCATATTCAAAGCCTATTCATTTTTCTAAGACAACACATTTATGTACTTGGTGACCCAAATGAAATAATCATTTCTAATTTCCTCATAGTGCAACTTTGAAGGTACTATCTGCACTTACGATATCTATCTCACTGAAAATAAACAGGTCTGAATTTTTAATTGTGTCTCTTTAGCAAAGTTTTAAAATCTGGGAATCTCATCCAGAAGGTTTAGTTTCTCTCTCCACATACATAGCCACACACAAAAGAAGTAATGTTGGAACACATTTTGTCAAAGGTTTTGCAGGGAATGCCCCTAGTACAGAAGTATCCAAAAAATTATTAGAAAGAAAACGCTCAAAATTATCATTTTTATCAGTAAACTCTAAAATTAAATCATTACCATTCATATAATGTGAAGGTTAAGAGAGAAAAGTGCAAAATTAGTGCTTCCAATTACCTCTATTTTTACACATCGGTAGCACATTTCTCCCATGTATTTTTTACTTTCATTGGCTCTGTTGAGTCTAGCACGTAGTAGAAAGCTTTAGGATCACATCACTCTAGATGGATGCTGTGGATTTATGTGTTGTAAACAATTATGCTCACAGATTTAAAGCACAGTTGCTATTTTCAGTGGTAGGCCCTGGATCTGTTTTCCCCACAGAATTTTTCCTATTTTGATTAATGTCCCAAGGAGCCAACTTTGGAATCTCAGGATTTCACTTGACAATTCCTTAAAGAGTTCCTAAAGGCCATAGAAAACAGCTTGCTGCAAAGAGAGTAAAGCCAAACCACTGTGTGCTCTCGGGGCCCTCGGACCTCCATCGACAGACAAGACCATTGGAGGGAGACGAGACCCCTAAGACTCAGAAACTCCAGTCTCGGGGGGTTTGAAACAGTTCTGAAAGCAGCCACATTTTCAAACCTGCCTCTGAGTTCACTTGTTTCTGTCTGAGAGGCTACGCTTTCACTCTTTCTCTTCTGATTAGGAGTAATTACAGTGGAAGATTCACTTCCTCTTTTATGGCAAGATCTCCTCTGAGCCGATCTGCGGCTGTCCGGAGGAAAAAAGTTATGGTGCTAAATGGTATTTTCCCCCAAATCTAATCACTGCAGGAAGTACATGCGTGTGGCACATAACTCAGAGAGTCCACTAGGACAGCGAATAGTCTTTCTTCTGCCCGCATTCGCCATCGGCACAATTCCCCTCCTCTCCCGAGGCATCAGAGTATGTTTTCCCTTTATCCTTCCAGAGATACTCAGTGCCAAGCGGTCCTTTGATTCTGTGGCTCGACGGTGCCGTTGAGGGGAAGCCCTACTCCACCACGGCCTACCTTTCTCCTCAAGGTTTCTCCTCTGCCCCGTCTCACTATGTATTTGTATATATTTATGGGGCTGTGAACATGCCACTAATATAGAACAACTATGCATGTTAATTAAAAGAAGGGCAGAACTATAGCAATGCAGCCATAAATGTATATGTGTGTATGTATAATTCTGAACGGTTGTATTGTATACAGAGTTATAAAATATTTTAATGGCTAATGCAACTTAAAAGTGAGTTTTGGTAGTAGGCTTAGCCCTTTTAAAATGATTCTTATGTTCAAAGCTTCATATTTGTTCACAGTGTTAAATGAAATCTCAATGAGAATTACACAAAATAAAACAGAAATTTTAAAACAGAAAAATGATCATTGATCAAAAACTATATATAACTGATAAAATGAACTAATCTCTAAAGGTCTTATTTCTTTAGGTCTGGATGAGGCCGTGTGTATTCTCCCAAATGGGCTGCTGACTAGAACGTATTTCTAACATGCCGCATTTAAAAAACCAAATAATAATCACAACCCCGGGTCACGGTATACCACACCTCTCGCTTTCCTCTCTCTGTATCTTGGCAACAACCAAAAAGTGAGGCTTGGCAAGCGTTTTAAATCAGCCGTAACAGAGTAATCACACTGGAATAAGGTGAAGCACTGGTCTCATGATCTTCTGTTCAGTTTGATCAGAATGTGATAGGACTATCACTTAATACAGCACAAGTCCTAGAATTCTTACTTAAAACCAGGAAACAAAAACCACTCATGGATGTCATCGTAAACATTCACAATTGCAGTTTCCGTCGGCTCTTTCTGTGGCGCTCTGGTCTTTGAAGCCAGATGGACCCGGAGCGGTCTGAGGGTCATGGCTTTCTCACAGGTGACAATAAACGATGGAGACACCTCTAGGGGCAACTTACCAGGCACTCTAGTAACCGGGCAGGGCGGGCAATGACAATGAGGATCTTTCGGACTAGCTGTTTAATGAATGCCAGTTCGCCACTTTCTGACCGATCATGAGCCTGTGAGAGCAATGAAAAGAAGGATGAGGCGGAGTTGCTCCATTACACAGAAAAGAAAATCAGTAAAGCATGCTAATTAGATAATTGCAATATGCAAACATTAAGTGATTTAGAAAAACTACTCTGAAAAGATTGATAAGCAGACATTATCTCTACATAAATGGACACTATTAAACTTCTATATCTACAAAATGGCTCTATTAGCTAAATTTTAATTGCAAAACTTTGATTTATTCTCTGCGTTAAAAATCAAATGTTAGGGCTCATAATGTGAACCGTGAATGAAGGAAACATTAAAAGTTTATGACACGTTAAGTACGTGGGACCAGTCGAGTGGGCAGCTGTGAGGAACCTTGACTTTCCAGATGTAGCACCTCAGGTGTACAAAGTGGCTCACAGAGAACGAGGACTGCTTCCGTCCCAGAAGATGGGTATTTAACACCTTCATGGGAGACATTTTACATATACAATAAGTTTAGCCTATAAATTAGTTATTTTGTAACATGTAAAAAGTGTGCATTCCTTTTTTTCAAATTAGGGGGGTAATGTTTAAACTTGGATATGCACATACAATTTCAATTTCACATACTGAATAAATAATACCTACGCATGTAACTCAATAAAATTTAACCGACTTATCTTTTAAAATTTTATTTTGCATGTCGCCTACATGTGATATCTAAGCATAACAAATAGCCTGAGAACAACTCAATTTATTAAGAGCCATTTTAATTTTCAATGATATTTTCTTGAAGAAATTTGGCAAATCTGTATCAAAGCAGACCTAAAATCAAAGATTTAAAAGTTTAAATGTAAACTTCTGTGTATGCTTACTTTTAGGCCTTTTCAATTTTTAAAATGGTGTGATTTACTTTCCTCTAAAGATTAAAAAAAGTCAAGGTGATGCTGGTACAACAGAATACAATTGCACAGATACAGTGATAAACATTTACAAGCGTTCTTGAAGATGCTTTGTTCTGACAAGAATCAGCCTTCCCATAAAAATAGGTTATATTTGAAAAATTGTTATAGTTAGCAGTAATATGACTACTAAATTTAAGCTACCTAATAAAAGCATAAAAAAGTATAAAAATTACATACCAACAAAAGCAAAACAGCTAACATTTAAAAGAAAAAGAAAAAAAAGGAAAAACGACCATTGGTGAATGTTAGAATCTGTTCAAAGCAAATCAACTAGTAACTATAACTATAGGTCCTGGTAACTGGTAAGAAAGTCAGGATGGCCCTGGCTGGTTTGGCTCAGCAGTTAGAGCGTCGGCCTGCAGTCCAGGGAGACCCGGGTTTGGTTCCCGCTAAGGGCACGTACCCCAGGTGCAGTTTGTCCCTGGCCCTGGATAGGTCGTGCGGGTGGCAGCCACTCCATGTGTCCCTTTCATGTTGATATTTCTCTCTCTCTCTCTCTTCCTCTCTCTCCCTCCCACTCTATCTGAACAAAAAATGGAAAAATGTCCTTGGGTGAGGATTAAAAAAAAGAATGTCAGGATGTACATAAGGAGATATATGTAATATTTCAACTTTTCTTTCCAATTTTCATTTTACAATAAAAAGATTTTGGAAGATCCAATGAATGCCAAGAAATATGATTATATGTCTTCTTTATAGTTTATCCTTAATCAAAACTAAACAAAAAACCTTAAAGATGAAACAAAACATCTCCACCTAACTTCTTAGTTGACAATTTGGGCTAGATAATGAATTTTCTCTTAATATAATAATTACTTCGTTATAAAATTCAGAAGTGTTTTTTAAAAAAATCTAAAAAGCCTGCATATGTTTTGGTGGTCTCTTAAAAGGGAACTAAGTGCTCTGTATCTTTAAAAATGTTTTTAAATACTCAGTTTAAATTATACAAATTCCATTTTAAAACCTGTAATAATAATCCATTCATTCTTTTTTTTTCTTTCTAAGAATTATCAGCCATAAATAAGGCCAAAAACATATTAGTCAGAGAATATGTGACCCCCTAACAGTGTCGGGGAGGGGGAGCCATGTCAAAAGAACTGCAAACAAAACCACACACAGTGTGAGAAGAGAACTTTCCTGGCGGCCGGCATCAAGCTCCAGCGCTCGCTGACACCCTGTGTTTGTATTTTAAGTGTTGGCCACGATAAAAAATACCGAGACCCAGATTTGAGGGTAGGTTGTAGCTTCCTATGAATTTTTTTCTTTGGCTAAATACACCTAAGTGAAAAAAAAGAATGGAGATACACAAGCCTCCACTGGGAACTGACCCAGACGTCAGCAGTCGGAAAGGTATCAGTTAAGTCAGGCTATCCGCACCTCAGGGAGACCCCGCCTGGTACCCAAGGCCTGGCGAGGGGGAGCGCTGGGAGCCAGCCAGGCCGGCACAATGTCACAGCCGCAGCGGACAGAGTCCATCGTGGGGAAGGCAAAGCAAGTTCCCACCATTCCGCGCTCCCCAACAGGGGTACATTCCCCTGTGACCGGTTAGCTTCAGACTCTGAAAGGACATTGTGAATGTGATTCTGAAGATAGTTTTGATTTTCACAAAAAGACTGAAGACAATGTTTCTCTGGAAGATAAATAAGAAAACATTCTTATTCCTACCCAACGGGGCCCTGCGTGCCACCAGCACACAAGCTTCTTCTGTCCCCCAAAAGATATTTCTCTAAAAATCAACAATTTTTATTTATTACATCATCCATTCCAATGATTTTTGAAACCTAAAGATTCATTTTTAGTTGCTATGAAACAATGTGTCAGGTCCCTCACACAGAAACAAGCGGAAGTGGGAGATTTCAGTGCGAGCGGCCTCGGACACAGCCTGCGCCCTCCTCGGGGAACGCCCTGAAGGAAGGAGAGCCACCCTGGGCATCCTAGGCACCGCGGCCTCGGACACAGCCTGCGCCCTCCTCGGGGAATGCCCTGAAGGAAGGAGAGCCACCCTGGGCATCCTGGGCACCGCGGCCTCGGACACAGCCTGCGCCCTCCTCGGGGCACGCCCTGAAGGAAGGGGAGCCACCCTGGGCATCCTGGGCACGGCGGCCTCGGACACAGCCTGCGCCCTCCTCGGGGCACGCCCTGAAGGAAGGAGAGCCACCCTGGGCATCCTGGGCACCGCGGCCTCGGACACAGCCTGCGCCCTCCTCGGGGAACGCCCTGAAGGAAGGGGAGCCACCCTGGGCATCCTGGGCACGGCGGCCTCGGACACAGCCTGCGCCCTCCTCGGGGCACGCCCTGAAGGAAGGACAGCCACCCTGGGCATCCTGGGCACCGCGGCCTCGGACACAGCCTGCGCCCTCCTCGGGGCACGCCCCTGAAGGAAGGGGAGCCACCCTGGGCATCCTGGGCACGGCGGCCTCGGACACAGCCTGCGCCCTCCTCGGGGCACGCCCCTGAAGGAAGGAGAGCCACCCTGGGCATCCTAGGCACCGCGGCCTCGGACACAGCCTGCGCCCTCCTCGGGGAACGCCCCTAAAGGAAGGAGAGCCACCCTGGGCATCGTGGGCACCGCGGCCTCAGACACAGCCTGCGCCCTCCTCGGGGAACGCCCTGAAGGAAGGAGAGCCACCCTGGGCATCCTGGGCACCGCGGCCTCGGACACAGCCTGCGCCCTCCTCGGGGCACGCCCTGAAGGAAGGAGAGCCACCCTGGGCATCCTGGGCACCGCGGCCTCGGACACAGCCTGCGCCCTCCTCGGGGCACGCCCCTGAAGGAAGGGGAGCCACCCTGGGCATCCTGGGCACGGCGGCCTCGGACACAGCCTGCGCCCTCCTCGGGGCACCCCCCTGAAGGAAGGAGAGCCACCCTGGGCATCCTAGGCACCGCGGCCTCGGACACAGCCTGCGCCCTCCTCGGGGAACGCCCCTAAAGGAAGGAGAGCCACCCTGGGCATCGTGGGCACCGCGGCCTCGGACACAGCCTGCGCCCTCCTCGGGGAACGCCCTGAAGGAAGGAGAGCCACCCTGGGCATCCTGGGCACCGCGGCCTCGGACACAGCCTGCGCCCTCCTCGGGGAACGCCCTGAAGGAAGGAGAGCCACCCTGGGCATCCTGGGCACCTCCTGGGACCGAGCATGGGACACGGGAGGAGTAGCTCACAGAGGCTGACTAGCTTCTCTCTCATCTGCCCCTTTTGTTTAAACATGCTCCACTCAACAAATATCATTTTCAAGGTATTGTCGTAAAAGTAACATGCAGTGTTTCCTGCATTTTCCAGAAGTTGCCTTAAGTGAAAGGCACAGCAGAATTAGGTTACTTGACAACAACTCATATACACATGTGTCTTCCTCCTCCCACCCTGCCCCCTCCTGGGGACCGAGGAGCCAGATAAACACCAGGCATGGAGTGACGTGCAAGGAGTTAGAGATGATTTGGGGGAGATCACTGTCCTTCAAAGAGGCCACTGTATGCTGGGAGGGATACAGTGTGAAGGGAGGCTCCAAAGCAGATCATCCCAGGGCACCGTGGTTAAATGTACTGGGATGAAGAGCATGTCCACAGGCCACAAGTTATGGTTTTTACTTGTAGGCAGATGGAGCCACTAAAGGACATTAGATAGATGCTCTTGAAGCTGCACAGAAGTACGGCTTTGAGGGCTGAGACGGGAGGAAGGCAGACCCAGGAGGATGGGGGCCTGAGCCTGGCTATAGAATAGGAGGGAAGAGTTGAACTCACATCAGTGAATTGAGTGAGAGGGGGTCAGAAGCCATTTACTCAACACATGTGGATTGAGCCCTTGCTTGCATCGCACCTTATCCTAGGTGACTATAACAGACTATCTCTGCCTGCACGGACATTCTGTTCCAGGGCAGTGCTGCTCAGAGAGGGGCCCGAAGGCTGGAACCAGTCCCTGAGCCAGTGTCAGTGTGTGTGAGATGACAATTACTGAGTAAGCATTCAGCGAATCTCCCAGCAAGTCTATACTGCTGGAACACCCAAATGCATTCCTGTAAATTAATTTTCACTTTAATTTATAGGAGAATTGGTCCATATCAAATTGGAAATTAACAACAACAAAATAAAACAACGTGTCCATCCCCAAAGGCAGTCTGAGAAACACTGCCATGGTGGCTGCAATACGCTGCAAGTGAGCAATGGGAACAGAGGCTAGAAAATTCCGCGGGGAGGTGTAGATGGGAAAGGAAGAGAGGGATCTTCTCATCTGCCACAACTAAATTTGGTAGGGGCAGGGACAGATGAATTTCTAGATAATGAGAATGCTAATTTTTTCCTTCAGCGCCATGCAATTATTCATATATTCATGCTCAGAGAAAACCACCCTCGATAATGTTTACATGGGCATAATTTATTCCCTATAGATACAGAAATACAATATACCCCAATATAGAGGCTAAATAGGTTTTACTTGTAGGCTGTGGCTTATCAATTTCAATCAGAATAGCGACAGCATGCACGAATTCCATATACACACTCCCTTCCTGTCCTGGGCATTATCAGGAGCTAAGCATGCGAGAGTTAGACCCAGGCAAAACCTGTGTTTACCTGCCATTTCAGAAATGGGATGTTTTGTTAGAAGAAGAACTGACACTAATGAAAATATAAGTCGCCATTTACCACCCAATACCACATGCAGGTTAATTAATAGGACACAGCGGCCTGGAAGGAGCCAGCATTTTCTATTTAGCTTTTCCAGATATTAGAACTAGATAGCATCATCGAGTAATACACATACTCTCAAGCAATTTATCACTTTATGGCTAAGCAGGGGCAGAAATCACTGCTTCGAAATCTTTCACAACCCACTTATCCTAGAGCCATGGGTTAAAGGTTATACATTAACTTTTTATAACTATAAATGACGACCAGAATCAATTTATAGCAAGTAGCAATCAGGCAATCAGTTTTTTTTTCCCTTTCTTCTTTGCTTCCCTGGAATATGAACTCCATCTCACGGTTAAAACTCGTGAAGCACATGCTCTCGTAAGATTTTTCTTTCTTTTCGGGGAAAAACCAAACAAGTCAGAAAACTTTCTATGCTGCAGGGTCCTTACCTCCTGTAGCAACTTATCTAATTTGTGCTGTAATTCAAGGAAGTATCGTGAGGTGATGAGACCCTGGTGGGATTTATCCAAGCAATCTCGAGCCAGTTCAATAATCTGATGGTGAGTGAAACTGAGCACTCCATCTGCGAGGGGGAGGACGTGGTCGGGAGAGTAGCTGGTGATAATGTCCTTTAGACGGTCTTCCATCTGAGCTGTAGCCTGTGTAGAGAAGATGTACACACACAGATGGAATACAAGGAAACACACATCTGCAGGATTCAATCAGCATACTTATCTTGCATTTTCAGAGACTTCTGCAAGTTATTAAATATAATTTTAGAAATTAAATTTAAAGGAAGCCTCACTTCTGAATGATACTCTCCTGGTGCATACATGTCATTACATATCCCTCGAGCCCAGGGAATGTACAGCACCAAGGGAGAACCTAATGTAAAGTATGGACCTCGGGTGATAACTATGTGTCGATGCAGGGTTCACTGACTGTAACAAATGGACCACTGTGGCGGGGGATGTTGATGGGAGGGAGTCGTACGTGTGCGGGGTCAGGGAGTATTTGGGAACTCTGTACTTTCTGCTCAATTTTGCTGAGTTGAAAACTTGTCTGAAAAATAAAGTCTATTTGGGGAAAAATTTAAAAAAAGATGTCCCACCACATGGAAGAAAGATTTGAGGTACATAAAGAACACTGAATATCCCAAGGTGATAATTACTTTTTTTCCTGTTCCCTATTGCCTGTAAAATGGTCCATGTAACTTTCTTCAGATAACTTACTATCAGCGAAATGTTATGCTTTCATTTCAGGTCTTCAGCTCTTTTAAACAGATTGTCAAAAGTAGCAAATGGCCCTGTTTCTACCTATTCAAGGGCTGTGGCTAGAGTTCCACAGGGCTGGCTGTTTTACATGTGCCAGGAGCAAGCATCTCACACCACCTCGATCCTTTCTCAGAAAGCTACACCACAGGTGCAAAAGGCCAAGGGGATTCCCCTGGTGACATAAATCTAAAATTTCCTCTCCAACTTTCATTTCCTTCCGTGATCCCCTATTGCTTCGTCAATACTCCTCCTTCCGTCAGCTGCATAGCCAGGAAGGTTCCCTGTGCCTCCTGCTCCCCTCCGAAGTCCTAACCAGTGGTAGCTGGTGCCGTCAGGACCCGTTTCCCTGGTGAACAAGTGACATGTGATAAATAGCTGAACTGGCTTTAATCAATGACATCAATGCTGGGTTCATTACAAATAATAAGTACTCTACTCCTGATTTATGAAACCAAAGATTTCCTTTTGTTCTTTTGCGGAGGGCTATCGGGCGGGGGATGGAGAAGCTGTCTTCTCCCACAGGTGTAGGAACACTTGGCAGCAAAGCTGGGGAAGGCGGCGGCGGGCCTATCTGACAGCAGCAACTTGCAGCCAGGGCGCCTGTCCTCTCGGGCTCATTCACATTCCTTCTGCCGTCTAACAGGGAACGTGGCCCCTGCTCCTTCCCTTCTAAGGCAATAAGGCTAGGCACATAATGCTAAAGACATAGAAAGACATACAAAAGAAAAACTCGATTCAAAAACAAAAGATTTTCATGACCTATCAGGCTTCTGAGGAAGAAAAAGGGTCTCTGCTGGAAAAGACAGCTGCGAGCCCAGAACGTGGGCACCAGGGGCACCAGGTCGAGCCCCCCAAAGGGGCTGCAGCAGCGAGATTCACGTTGGGGCCAGAGAGTGTGGCTAGCTCTCGGCGGTTTTTAAAAATGGTTAGTGATTTTATCTTTCTAAGGAGGCTGTGCTGTTGTATGCCAGTCGTTTCTAGCCTGAACCATTACATCCCCTACAACCACCTTCCAGACACCAAGCCTACGGTGCCTGTTTGTTCCAGTGCCAGGAACTTTCAATTCAACTCATTACCTTCGGGAACCTTTCTTTGTAGACATGGTTCATCATAATTATTTCATGGTCACAGCAGGCGGGAGAACGTCCAGGGCTGCAAGCAAAGCAAATTACCCTTTTAAACTTGCCACAGCGTGAAATGAAAATAAGCCTTTTATTTATAAACAATTGGTTGCATCAAAAGTACTATGCAACCTTTGTAAAAATAAAACAAAAAACTATTAGGTAGTGAACTACAGAATCAGTCATTAGCACACACATACCTACCCACAAATACAGAGATACCCTCGAGAGGATTCAAAAAGAAAGAGAAGGGGAATACCACAAATTAATTTCAGCTACACTATGTAACTAGTGCAGAAAACAGTCTGGAATCGAGCTTAGACTCGTAGGCAGCGTGCACCTGGGCACTAGTCCTGGAGACCAGCTAACGAACCGCTCTGTGGGGGCAAACCGGCGGCCACAGGAGCAGCACCACGCGCATGTTGCAGGGTGTCATTTCACACTTCCAACAGACAGCTGCTCCGCCATGGCCGGCTGGCAAGGGTGAGGAGCTTCCATGGCACAGGTGCCACCACCGAAATCCATTTTCTAGCCTAGCAAATATTTATTTGGGATGCTGAGGCAGGCAGTGTGTACAATAGGAAACAGAGGCATACAAGTGTGGTGTGTTTTTCTTTAATTCGGTGGTAGGGTTGTGTTCCTTCTCGGTAGTACATAGTTGTGCAACTTCAGTGTGAGTATTTGTATTCCTGGGAGGAGAGAGTTTGCACTAGATACCCTAGCAACTCCTTTCATAAAAACTAAAGGGCACCTGTGCAGTAAAATGCGATGTCATTAAATGAATGCGTAAAATTGGTCTTTTATTCCATATCTCATTATAATCTAACATATCCCTCAATTGCCAAGTGTGGCTATATTTACTATCCGTTTATGATACTAAATAAGAAGGACACAGATGGAAAAACCCTTCTCAGTAAACTTTAATATTCAACTACACTCCTGGCAAACTATTTTTCATAATAAAACCTAAATATATCAAATTGCACTGATTCTATACCATTGGGACCTTGTACTGTGGTGGACCTGGAGACAGACTGCCCCAGGCCCCTGCAGAAAAGGACATGTCCCAGTTGCTGGGACTACAGAAGCCTTCAGCTGTCTGTCCCTTCAGAGATGGCCTCAGCAGCAGTCACCTCACCCAAGGTCACGTCCTTCCGATGACTGAGGTGTAGATATAAAGGAAGGGCCATTTGACCTGGAGGCGTAACTTGGCTGGGTCATGCCAGCCCAGAGCTCCCTGTGGGGCCGGCTACAGCTACACTTCTCCCTCTGCCCAGTGCCGCCTCTCCCCTCCCTTCCACAGGGGTCGATCCTGAGCACCTGAGCCTTCATAAACATCTTTTTTTTTTAATCCTCACCCAAGGATATTTTTCCATTGATTTTCAGATAGAGTGGGAGGGAGGGAGAGAGAGAGAAAGAGAGAGAAACATCGATGTGAGAGAGACACATCCATTGGTTCCCTCCCGCATGACCCAACCAGGGTCAGGATTAAACCACAACTGAGGTACATGCCCTTGACCAGAATCGAACCCACAACTCTTTGGTCAGAGTGCCGATGCTCTAAGCACCGAGCAAAACCAGCCAGGGGCCCTCATAAACATCTTGATCTCTGTTTTAGAATTTGCTCCCTGAAGAACCTAACTGGGATATATATGACTGAAACACAGTCAGAACAGAACGGGCTCTAGTCAATGTCAAATGAACTACCTTTGGCACCCACAAAATTCACTGCTAACAGTTTGCTCATGGAGAAAGTAAGACTTGTGATGGGAAAAAATAATGAAAGCCCGGGAGGACCTTTATAATGTGGAATCTGAATTCCGCATGCGAATCTAAATGCATTGTCTTCCCTTTTGGCCAAACTCCTCCCTCTTAAAACATTAACTCCTTTTGCACCATAATTAGGTTATCTTGAAATTTTCAATGGCCAGACATTTTTATGGGTGGTCCCTTTAGTCCACCATGATTACTGTTACTACAGCAACTTGCAGATTGTAAGAATTTAAAAGAAAAATAAGATATCTTAACAACATCCTGCATAGTAGATGGGAAAATCACACTATATTTATAGTAGTTTACAAATCAATGAACAACTACATGGATTAGAGAACCAAAAGTCTCCCCTGGAAATGGCTGAAAGAGGCCATCCAATGAAGTGACATTCCAGCCCGGTCTACACACCTCAGACTCCGGGAACGGGGGCGCATGGAGGTGTTCCTGCATCTCTCTGTGGCGATGCTTTCGGTAGTACAAAAATGTTTCGACAAGAAGTGTAATTCATCTGGCGTTGGTTGGTATGGTAGCTGATGCAGCTTCTCCTGGGAGGAACAGGATGACTAAAACAAACCAAAGCGAGATTATATGACTATCTCAAACATATTTTTCTGGGGGGATAAATGGTGATGGAAAGAGACATGACTTGGGTGATGAACACACAAATACAAAATACAGTATAATAGAATTGCACCCTTTAAGCTTATATAATTTTATTAACCAGTATAACCCCAATTAATTCCATTTAAAACATTCTTCAAATGTACATGAGATCAAAGCCTAAAACTTGATACACCACCATTTTAGATGGTTTCCTTTTCTTGTTATTATTACGGTTACTAGTGCCCACATGATAATCTTTAATACTTTCTCTGGGAGGTCAAAATGGCTTCTGTATCTCATCTAATTTGTCTATAAGTCAATTTCCCCCTCAAGATATTTCCTCTCTGGAGAAAACTCAGGCTCTGAAATGGATAGGACCCAATCAAACCCAAAGCAAGAAAGTAACAATTGGAGGGAGAATTTGGGGGGCATTAAGTGACAGATTAGTTCTCCACTGAGGACAGTACACTTATTGCTATTGCCACTCATAATCAAACATTGTGATCTTTAGGTAAGTAACGTGAAATGGATTGCATGATGTGCGATCATAAATAAGGTAATGAGATCTCTCTTTACAAAGCATGCTTCCTCGGATGCAATTATATCAATATGTGCCCTGGATTAAAAAAAAAAAAAAGGAATAAAGGGAGATACTTTACTTCATAATGTATTTGTTTTAAAAATTGGAACTTTTTTCTCTTTTTTCTTTGGCTAAGACTATCATTTTTTTAAAAACGGCTTTTGTGGTGGTAAGTTTTTAATTCATTGAATTTAGATTTACTTTTTGAAAAATGTTCACTTAATACTTGGAGCAAGGTAAGGTAGAAAAGGTAAATGTCTAAATCGCACTGCTTTGAATCAATCTGAGAATTAAAACTATATAGCAGAGACTATTGTCCTTGTTTCTGTTGGGTGGTGAACTCTGTAAGCAATTCTAACACAAGAGATTGAGAAATTTTTGAATAGTAGAAACATGGTTAGAATAGACACATTTGGAAAGATACCATTCATTTAAAAATTCAGGTATATTAGGCTTTTTTTTTTTTAAATTTAAAAAAAGGCATTAGGCTAAGAGCACACTTCATAAACACTGACACTGCAAGGCAGCAACACTAGAAATTAATGACTAGAGCTCAAACACGTCTTGATACCTTGAAATCATAGACCACTGTTCCAAGTCCATACAGAGACAATGAGAGATACTTATAATGCAATGAGATTATTTTATAAATCATAAAAATGAGGACACTACTAGGAAGACTTATGAGATAAACCAAAACTCCATTCAAAAGGACAGGCACAGTCTTTAAATCCTTCACTATAAAAAAAGAAATAAAACACATAAACGAAGTCAACTCAAGAAATCAGCAAATCAACACAAGCAGGAAAGAAGCAGCTGGGATGAAAACAAAAATAAGGAAATTAACAAACAGAAAAAAACCAAACCAAACAACCAGAATTAAGAATCTGCACAAATAAATGTCTCAAAGGTAAATCCAAGACCATAATTCTGTATCTAAGATTTCAAAACCCTGAAACCCAGAAGTTGATTCCTAAGTTTACAGTAATCCTTTTTGATGGCAAAGCATCAACCGAAATGATGGCAAGCTACTTGAAATATGTATTCAATCCACTTAGTGTGAATGTTGATTCAGGTTGCTTTAGAAATTGAATCTATTTGATTACAAGCTGCTGGCCATTGCTGCTGGGCTGTTGTGTACAGTACAGGGATAATGTTACCTTTCTATAATGTGAAAATTAATTCCAAAACATACTGGCTGCAGAGGTTCATGTAAGGTATTTGGCCCCACACTTGCGTGGGAATGAGACCAGGAGATTTCAAAAGGGTGGCTCCCTCTGTGGAGGGAGGGAGGAGAAAGGGGGGAGCTGGTGGGAGGGGCTTTAGTAGTGTAGTTAACATTTTATTTATTAAACAAAATTAAAATTTAGTTTAAAAAGTAGGTGCAGCCAATGTAACAAAATGTTAACATGGGCTAACTCTAAGGGAATGTGGTTATGCTGTACGGCCATGTAACTGAACGCCACAGGACTGTGTCCCGCGTTTATTGCTGGGAATATGTAAACCAGCGATGCAGGTTGTATGGACTGGAACCTTCAGCATTGAACAAGCGTGGAGGCAAGGAGCTCCTCTAAGGAGGCAGCCTCTTTCACCTGAGTTAGAACAAGCAGGCTGTACATGGGAACGAGGTGACACCAGGGTGAGCCCACAGCCCTGGGAACAACGGTAGGCCCCCCAAATGTCCTGGGGATTCAAAAAAAGGCATTAGGCTAAGAGCGCATTTCACAAACACTGACACTGCAAGGCAGCAACACTAGAAATTAATGACTAGAGCTCAAAAGGTACCATGTGGGCCCCAAAAGTGAGTCGATGTGGAACAACAGAGAAATGCAAAGCTCAGTTTCAGCAGCCGGCAGGGACTCAAAGGAGATCCTACACAGCTAGTGAGGAGAGACAACAGAGGGGCAGGGACTGTCCCCGAGACCTCACACCCTACTGGAAAGACACCTTCACCAGTCAAAACATCCTTGGAATACCTCCTTACCAAGAGTTTCAAGAATTAGTTTAGGGCATTCTCAATAAACTGAGTCTCACTACTTTATAGTTCTAGCCTGTTCTCTAAGTGTGGTGCCCATGATTCTCATCACCTGACTACTTTGCCCATGACCTTTGACTGCATCATAAGTCAAATCCACTTTCAAAGAGTGAAGATTTACCCCAAAACTGTGCTGCTAGTTCTCAAGACAATAAGAAGAGTTCTCCCACAATGTTCTGAGTAATGATATCATTCAAATAAGCATTTAGTCTTTCAAGATAACCACTTTGCAAAGAACAGTATTCATATGCATGTATAATTTTCTACTTGTTATTTATTTAAAGTCGTATCACTTTAGAATTGTATCTCATATTATAGGTACATTCCTATTTCCTCTTACCCTCAGAAAATCATTTATTTGGTAAGAAGTATAATGTCCTCCTACTGCTTCAATTCCTATTATTTTAAAATGAAAAGTTATGACTATAATCTGAATATAATCTTGAAAAGTTCCACAAATGAATTTTAACTGCAAAATTGGAAGTTAAAATAAGTTGCAACACAAAATATTCTCTGGAAGGACTGATTAATTCCGTATGGTCAAATCTTTCCAATTTAGGAATATAGCATTTTTTAACACTTGCTAATTTTGCAGTGTCCATAATATCCAAAGGATAAAGACAGGATGTTTACATTTCAGCATGAGAGTTCTGGAATTCAGCTAACAACACAATTGTCTGTAAAACTTAATATATGCTCAATGTGTTTGTGATTTTATTTGTATATATTCTGTATTTTTATTTCAAAAATAATTGAAATGTATTTCTGACTGACTAAATGACTAATAGTTAACCCAGAAATTGAGACTCTAAGAGCAATTCAGTTTAGATTTAGGAGAGAAAAAAATGAATCTTTCAAGCAATTTTGTACCACTTTTGCCCTAGTATTTAAAGACAAGAACACAGAGAACCCAAGGGAAAGAAGAAGGGGCTCTTCGCATTTTTACTCATGACTTTTAGCAACAACCAGCAGGGAGAAATGATGGTGGGACTTCTGAGAGACAGCACCCACGCCCCTCAGAGGGAACAGTTCCTCGTGTCTTTCGGCAAAGAGAGTAATTCTGAGAGCTAAAATCAGTCTGAAGGACAAAACAGGAGTGTGAGATCCACTTTCTTCAATAAAATAAACACTTGAGAGAAAGGCTGTCTTACCTCTGGTCAGAAGCTGTTGGAAACAAGGAATGTGTGTGTGTGACTACAAACTGTCCCAGGAGGCCCCTGGGCACACGTGAAGTCACGGGCTCCATCATGACAGGTGGCTAGGTCAGGTCTATTCATTACAAGGTTTGTTTTAAGAAACACCATGAAAATTCCTTGAAAAGAGTCAAGAGCCCGGAGTCTAGCTGATTTCCTGTCTTTGTATTGATAAAACAAGGGGGTTGGGGAACAGCCCCTCAGGGCCTTCTCTGTGCCTCACATTTTTGATCCATAAAATGAAGGAAAAAACAGGAATTACGTTATAGAGTATGTGCTAGGATTAAATCAGCAAATGCATTATAAATAATTAGACTAGTGCAGAGCACATAAGTATTTATTTAAAACTTGTTTTTTAGAATTATTTCTACCAGAGTCTGATTCTGTCGCTCATTTTTTTGGATAGATACACTTTTAGAAGTGATGTATAATTTACTACCTGGAGATTAAAAAAAAGAAAGATCCTGCACTTTCCTCTATTTTTCTTGCAAAAGAGAACTTTTTACATCTCAACTATAGTAAGATTTGACCGAAGGGCAAAACAAGGTGATATAGTTGAAATAAAACAGAATTTGGAGTTAAGAGACATGATATCAATCTGGGAAATATTAAATGAGAACAGTACGGGAAAGCCACGAACAAAGAACCAAGTCTTCTGTTTATTGGTGGCTGGGTTCTAATCGGAGATGCCCAAGGGTCTAGGGAAGAACAACACTTAAAATGTAGAAAATTACTTTGTTCTTCTTGGTCAATCAACTTTGGCATTTATTTTCACACTGTGGGTGTCCATGTTTTCAACATCTACAATATGGATCAATAACCAATGATGGTTACTGACACAATAATCAAGAGTGACTTGACTGTTAGTGACATTTTTATCCACTGAAGCCATTCAGGAGTTTCAAGCATCCATTTCTGACGTGAGAATGATGTGCCATTGAAACTACTCAAGGTTGTCAGGATGTTTCACAAAAATGATCCAAATGGTCCGGCCAGTGTGGCTCAGTGGTTGAGCGTTGACCCATGCACCACGAGGTTGCTGGTTTGATTCCTGGCCAGGACACATGCCTGGGTTGTGGGCCCGATCCCCAGTGGGGGTCATGCAGGAGGTGGCCAATTGATGTTCTCTCATCAATGTTTTCTCTCTCTCTCTTCCTTTCACTTCCTCTCTCTCTAAAATCAATAAAGGAAAAAAAAAATATCCAAATGGACAATATACTCACATACCACAACTAAATGGAATAATGGATAGGAAAATAAATTACCCTCCTCACTAAAATAAAATACTGAAAGAAGATGGTAAAAATAATCCAACAGATTTAATAAGTCAGTTTTAAAGGTGCTTCAAAAACCCACATTATTTTGCATCTGGATTTTGGAAACGATGATGATACCAGTTAAAGTTTATAAATTTAATTGTAGTTTCTTTTCTACTTAAGTGTTATTAAGTGGCTAACTATATGCTTAGCACAGTGCTTGGGTCTGTTAGGAAAAAAAAAAAAAAAAATAGATGGCTAACCCTCTGGAGTAAAGCACAGATTCTGACAAAATGGAGATGGAAATGAATCAACGGGCATTCTCAAATCATCCGGTGCACATTCCTGGCTGGCACAAAAGCATCTGGACCACTCCTCGAGGTTATTTATTGAACACCTACAATATCCTGAGTCTGTAAACGACCACCAACTTCTGAGGTTCTGCAGAGACAGATGTCCCACCGTATCACTCATCTGAGCTGAGAAAGCATATATCTAACCCACTGAATCATTTCCAGTAATTAGGGCTCTTGTTGAAATGCTATAGCTTGGAGCATCTATTCTATTTTCATGGTTTCATCTTGTCTCTTTATCTTAACTTACTACTAAAGTTCTTTTCATCTCTCCTTAAAAGGACGTTCTCACCCAGAAGGCACAGACAATTTTAAGGCTTGCCATTTCTTTTTATTTGAAGAAGAAAAACAAACACACCAAATAAATAAATGAACCTCCAAACAAACATACAAATACCCTGCATCTAAGCCCCACAAGAAAAAAAGACCCAGGCTGTCCAAGTTTAATGGCATGTTCAGTACTAATATCACTGGTGTGGAACCAAAGCAATAAAACCAGATTGTGTTTTCCACCCCCAAACTACACCAAATGGTATTGAAACGAAATCTCCTGGTCTTCAAACTTGTGATCCTGGGACTTACTCATTTGGTGCGCCACAGCTTAAAAGCTTGCAGCCAAAAGGATGTCCTTTTTTATGTTTGTTAGCTCATCGTTTGATGTGTAACCTACTCAGAGTGGCAGACACACAGCATTTATCTTCTGCTCCCCACCAGGGAACACCCGGTGAAAACACGACCTGCCTGAGAGAGCCAGGTAGTGAGGGAGAGGGGAAACGTCGGCACTTACCGAAACGGTGGAGCTGGGCGTGTTTGTCCCATAGCCAGAGGAGGGGAGAGAAGCCAAGGACCAGCGGCGTCCATCAGTCCTGGTGAGAAGGAGATTAGTTTAGGCAAACACTGGAGTGCTGTGACACGGGAATCCCAGGGAAACCAAGTACTTTAAGTCAAACAAATGCCACAAACACAGTCACTGAGGATGTAGAAATGTTCAGCAAGGGCCAGAATAAACAAACATTATACAGCAGGTTGACTTTTATTTACACTGAATCAATATGCCCAAACAAGGAGAAAGTGAATGGGTTGATCCATATTATTGATCGCTCACTAATACACTTTGACAAAATGAATACCAGGGATAATTACAATGGTCAGACTCAGCAGATTCAGATGAATAAAAACAGAAAGGGAGGAGGAAAAACACTCTTATCTGGAAACTGATAACTGGGGCCATGATCTCTGGAAGGGCCTGACTCCAGCATGCTGCAAGAGCCTGTGGGGACTTCCATTACATCCTAAAGATGTTTGCTTGTTATTTCCAAGGGAACAGTCCTCTTCCTCGTGCCCGGGGAAGAAAGGATCAGCAGGCTCATGGCTGGCTCAAGTCTTAAGTGGCAAATAACTTTAGCACTAAGAAAGTGGCTGACCTTATGCTCAGAATCTCTTAAGAGTTATTACATTCTGACATGACCTGGCTTTAAAAAGTATTTCAGCAAAAGCCTCTTGCAGAGTTTGTGAGTAGGCAGAAGGAAAATGTTGCGCGAGGGACAGAACTTAATGCAAAGAGTAGAGATGTCTGCCCCGGTCACACAGCCAGAGCTGTCGGGAGTCTTAGAGAGAGTAGCAGTTTTTATCTCCAAGTGGTGATAGAATGGGTAGCTTTCTGGGTTGGACTCTGGTTATGCATTAGGGTCATTACAAGGGTCTCAGAGGAGTTAATGAAGTAGCAGAGACAATGATGTTGTTATGGCAAGGGGCCACCAGAAAGCAAATTTTCAGAAATCTCTGGCATTCCAGAGTCATTACTTTATTAGCAATTTTGAGTAAGACTTCAACGTCATGTAACACTGTGAAAGTCACATGCACTCCTGCCAAGGAGAAGCAGAAAAGACACACTATCAAGAGCTACAATGCGTCCTCCAAAGGAGTCTCACATACAGACTTTACGTAGTTCATGATTATATTAATTTACCACACGACCAGACACATTCACCACAAGTTGAAGTCAGGGAATTCAACAGCATTAAACTTGAATTTGAGATATGTCACAATTAGATGTTCATGTAAAAAACTGACAGTTCAGCCTAAATTACATTCAAGGGAAAATATAATCACAGTCTATCACGGATGTTGCCTCCAAGAAATGCAAATGGTCCACAGACGAAATGAAGATGTTTAAGTGACAAATCACAGGAGGAGGACAATGTTAAGATTTTCGTAAAATTTACCTGTCATTTCTGTGACCATGATTGGAGTACAATTGAATCAAGAATGTTTTAAAAGAAAGAAGCAAAATAAAATGTTTGTAAATATATCGGAGAGAAGAAATGGGGAGAATTAAGTCAAATGTTCCTTAAAAACATTTTTAAGCCATTGAAAATGTTCAAGAAAACAATGATAATAAATACTTCTAAAGATATTCAACTATCAATTAAATGGACACAGGGTGCTCCTACTTTATTTGGCTACTTACTAAAGACTTAAAAACCAATGCCTGTAGTTTATATTTTAAACACCTCCAATTTTTAAAAGAAATAAAAAGATATGATTTTAAAAGAATTACTCAGTCCATTTAATAGCAATTATCAGAAACGAGTCTCTGGAAAGAGTGAGGGACACAATTTCCCCCACCATGATTTTGTTTTGTGATTCATTAACTCTCCTTTCCCTCAGGTATCAATGAACTTATTTCAGATGAATGAACAATTCCAAGAGGAGTCATGTTCTTATTAGTTCTGAAGCATAAATTACATTTGCTTACTCTAGAAAATACACAACTAGAAAGATGTTTAAACAAGAATATGCTCAGGACCTTGTGCAACCACAGACCAGAAATAATTTATGTCTCATAAAGTTCCCTAAGTTGTCCGTGTCTATTTACTCAAATGGAACACAAAGGACCACTGCATTTTTATTACCATGACAACTGCACATCAGAAGTGACTATCTATGCTATGTACAGTACTTAAGAGAGAATGCCCCCCCTTTTTTTTTCAAGAAAGCTATCACAAAAGTGCAATTTGGATTCCACTAACAATGTCTTTTCTTTGCAGTAGTTACCAATAAAATATTATCTGAAGATGAGACTATATTCTTGCCAAAACAATAAGCCTTTTTGGAAAGAAGTGTATTCTTTGTGGGTGGAAATCATAGTGTTCCACTAAATTAAAAAGTAAGAAGGGAACACAGAATACTAAGAGATTGGAGAAAAAATAACACAACTCACAAAAATTTAGATTAATATGGAGTACAACAAAGAACGAATGAAAAGTTCCCATATCAACCTGGCTGTTATAACTGTATGAAAAGGAAGCAGATGTCTTTATTTGTTAGTTGTTATCACCTGGGCGATACATTTTCCATTCTAGTTGCAGTTGGACTAAGCTAATACAATGTAACCACCTGAAGTTCACTGGAGAAAGAATTCTGAAAGTAGCCAGCAGGTTGCTCTGACCACCAGCACTTGCCTTTTGACCTGAACTCAGCAGGCAAGTCTGTTCTAGAAATTTGCTTGTGGAAGTATATTCCGGTATTTAATCTGGTAAACAACAACAAGGCAACCTGAAGACACACCTGGCATTTATTCAGGGCTCATGTGCACAATGAGAATGAAAGCAATTTATAATGCATACATCTCCACAACTCTGGGAGAGGCAGAAAAATATTATTATGTAAAGGAAAAAAACAATTAAGTAACCCCATAATCAGATGGATTGCAAATCAGTACTGTAGTGAGCAAAGTAAAATTGTGTTTCCTTGCTCAGGCAAAATCAACTATATACTACAAAAACTCATTTTCATTCTTTTGTTTTAACTCGATATTAGAAAATTACTTAGATAAGTTTACTCTCAAATACGTACTGGATAATATAGAAAGCAAGTGTGTCCATCGTATTTTCAGTCTAAAATTAAACTCAACATTAGAGAGGATGTCTACTGGGGGAGTATTATCTATCACATGGTATAAGATCAGAAAAGATTAATAATCTAATCTTTATCTCTTCACCCAAGAATCATTTTAAAGCAGGGCAATCTCTCCTCTGTTGGACCAAGCACACAAAATAATAAAATGTGCACGTCTCAAAAGGACATTTCTCCTTAGGCTCAGAAATTTATATCAAATGGAGCGAATGGAGAACATGAGTGGAATTTCCACGTTTCCTAAATGAAAATGAGCTTTAAAATGGAAGAGAAAGATCCTCGATGATTAAAAATATGCCAATTTGAGTTTTCATAGCAAACACAAGGTTCTATTTACTTGAATAAAAGTTTAAAATGATCACTCATGTCCTAATAGAAATTAATGCTTTCTGAAGAGTGTGGAGCGAGTTCCATCTGGAAATTCACGTGAAATGAACTAGAGGTCTCCGGTGATCATCTTCTGTCACGGTTTATGGTTTATTTGTCAAAAATTAACATGCCTGGGGGTTTGTGTACTTTTTTTTAATAGCAAAGAAACCAGAATCATCTGTCTTCCAGTCACCCACTTAATTATTAGATCCTCTTCATTTTCATAAATCTGGCAGGATTAAGAGGCTATGATTCTGTCATGTTTAAATGCATGCTGTAATGAGATTGTATTTTTCTTATTACTTAAAATAATTAAACGCAGTCCCTTTTTTATTTTTATTTTTTATTTATTTATTTTTTTTATCCTCACTCGAGGACATTTTTCCATTTTTTATTCAGATAGAGCGGGAGGGAGAGAGAGGAAGAGAGAGAGAGAGAGAGAGAGAGAGAGGGAAACATCGATGTGAAAGGGACACATCGAGTGGCTGCCACCCGCACGACCAACCAGGGCCGGGGACAAACTGCAACTGAGGTACATGCCCTTAGCGGGAACTGAACCCGGGTCTCTCTGTACCGCAGGCCGACGCTCCAACCGCTGAGCCAAACCGGCCAGGGCCGCAGTCCCTTTTTTAAAAGAGATGTGCTTTAAAGACTATGGTGGGTTCTTGCCCGTCCATTTTTATAAGGTTTTTTCCACTTAGCAGAGTAGCACCACCATGAATGAATATTCTCTGGGCAAGTGAAGGCTTCGTGAGACCACTTCTTCCCCCGTTTTCTTTACGGTGCTTACAATAAGGAACTAAGAGAATAAAAGTTGAAACTAGAGGAAGTCAGGGCAGAGGGGTCTCAAGAAGTTCTCTGGAGATCATGTCTTCATCACTCTGTGTCCTCCTCACGGTGGAGGGTAGGCACCCCCCACACAGACATTTAAACATACAGTGTGGGGGGGTGATGTCTGCAAGGGCTTCTTGATTACAGAGAAGTCTGAGAACACTGCAGACAGACCCCCTTCTCTGGACTCAGGAGTATGAAGTGCATTACATGCCGACAAACAGCCCTGAGGACACTGTAGGTTTCCCTGGTCAGTAACGTGTGTTTAAAACAAATCTTTTTTTTTTTTTTTAACCTATCTGTGTGTCTTTATTAAGTGCTACTTTTATCCACTTCAAAGTATAGTTAGGTCTCTGAGAACAATTCAGCAAAGTATCTAGGACATTCAGACCACAGGCTGAATTTGTCCTGAATATTCAGAGACGGCTCAAAAGGCATTTGGTTGCCTGTGTGTTTTTCCTGGACAAAGGACAGGGTACGTATGTGAGAGGGGTGGTGGGGCCCAGGAAGATGATGGTTTGACTGTGACAGGGTGAAGTACACTAAGTCTGTACAGAGAGCACGGACCAGGTGGCTGGGGAGACCCCTCTAACAGGGCAGAATCATATGGAAGACCTGGAACTGGAGAGGTTCGATATGAGATCTTACGCCCACTGTCCTTGGAGCGACAGCACTTCCTCTTGACTCAATGACCCAGACAAGAGACAGGTATCTTTCACCTTTGGTGCCCAATTCTAACTACAACAGGAAAACACAACACCTCCAATGGCTCAGGCATGGCTTTATCTCAGAGGATCAATAAATTGCTGGCTTGATGATCTCAAGTAAAGGGGCATCTCAGAGTTTATACCTTGTGATCCTTAAAAAGTGATTTTTATTTTTTAAAAAGCACATTTCAACAACAACAATAAAATATTACACCAGTGCACATAAATGAATCAAGACCTTACTCTACAAGCTCAAAAAATGCCGTAAAATCTGTTGAGCGTCAGCATGTATAAGGCACTGTGCCAGGCGTGGGAGAAAAGATGGAAATGGTCACTTCCTGCCCTTGCTGGGAGCCCGCCGTCTAGTAAAGGACCGAGAGGGGTAGAGATAACTCCAACACGGGGCAGAAACCTGTAGTGGCCAAGGCCCCCCTTGGCCAGAGCTTCAGAGAAGGCCTTATGTGGTACAAGGAGGACCTCACAAGGCAGAAGGCAAGGGTGCAGGGGGGCTTGGGGGAAAACTGGGGGCATCACATTTTATTATTCAACTCACAAGAAGTTCTTACCTCCGTGCAAATGAAAAATGGGCTGAGGCACTGGGGGAGAAATTTCTCGGGCTATCTTGAGGGCTATTGCCTGTAGAGAGAAAGAAGGAAAATGTTTACAACATGATTTTGTTTTGGTATCATTATCCATATACAGAATCTTCTTCTCTTCAGTAGTAAGTCTCTGTATACTTTTGTAAAATGTCTGTCCCCCTGACAATGTTTTAGTTTCACCTGGAGGAACCTGGGGGGGGAGGGAGTCCCAGCACGGTGTTCCGAGTGCGCAAGCTGGATGAAGAAACCACTCCCCTCTACCACCAGCCAGCAGTCCTCCACATATTTAATGATCTATAAATATTGCAGTCTCATAGAATAATGGATACACAAGTGTTTGATGTTCACCCTTCTAGATGTGCTAGCATTTCAAACAGCAGGACGGATGGCGAAGCGTATGCGCCAAGCGGGCAGGGTGGTGGGCTTTCTATTTTAGAGAGGTAGCCTTGGTATTTTTTAGTTACAGTAAATGGAATAAAAGTCTGAGTTCTTGAAAACAAATCTTCATATCCCTAGTACATATGTTAGAGCTAGTCATAAAAACTGCAGTTCAGACCTGTTTCTCAAATAACCAGGATCTATCTCAGGCATGACCAAAGTGGCCTATTAGGATTCGTCCTTATCAATAGTTTCCTCAACAGATCCCTCTGCCCCTAGGCAGCTGGGCCGTGACTCACCAGGCAGCCTCTAAACACCAGTCACACAAATGCTGACAGAGGGGGTCCGCCCCAAGCCATTTGAGGCGAAGAGAGCGTGGCTTGCTCACTGTGAGGACAGCTCTGTGGGGGCTTGTTAGAGCACTCAACGGGCTGCTGAGCATTGAGAAAGCCTGGCAGGCAGCTGGCGTGGGGAAGTCGAGGACACTCCAGACCACCGTGTTTCCCTCGGCATGTTTAATTAGATCGGCATAATTATCTGAGGACCTGATGGGACGGTAGCTGGTTTCAATAAGTAGGTGAGGAAGAGCTACAAACTAATCCTGTATGTTCTTGAAAGACGGGGGAAAAAATCAGGAAGATATTTTTAATCTTTAACAGCAAGCCAGTTGCCACATTACTGATTTTGTAATAGAAGTGATCACTGTAATTAGGTGTAAGGAATACAAGATTGCACATTAAAGTCAGTACCTAGCTGTAGAGGTAAACAATGTATTACCTTTGTACAAAAAGAATAGACCAACACATCAAAGAGGGTAAGTTTAGTGTTACCTTAAGGACTTATGGATTGGCTATACCCCTGCTGAAATGTTTCAGTTAACTTAAGGCTGCAAATTTTACAGTGATGCCTTCAACAGATGCCATGAACTTTATGACAGATAGCACAATTAAAGCCATTTAACGGGGAAGCACTGAACAGCCATTTCTTTGTGGCTAGAGAATCAAGAAGCATTTTTCCCCCTGCTGCAATCAAATTTATCATGCCTTTGCATCTGTTGTTCCTTGGGCCCCTGGAGAAACTATTCTGCTTTTGTCATCCAGTAATCCAAAACTACTTTGGTCCATTTATCTACACAGCTAAATTAAGTGCTTTCCACGTCTCTCAACAGTCTTTATTCACCTCGCCCCCTCCCCAACTTAGCTTGTACATCACTCTTCATATTCCTTAAAAGGTCGCAATAATTTCAGGATGGCTAAAAATTTTGTTTTTAAAAGAGAAACAAATCTACTGCCAGAAATCTTCATGCAAGTTTTGTTTTTTATTTGGAAAAAATGTTCACTTTGCTTACCTCCCATATAGAGCAAAGTGCCAGTAGATTATCAGGGAAAACAGAAGGACCGTTTGAAGCCAAGGTGTTTTCAGAACAACCCCTGCTACCCTATTCACTTGGAATAAATAATAAGGTCAATGAAAGTCATCGCCATTTCTTAGCCCTGTGTTCTTTGTAAAGAAAGCGCTCTATATGGAGATTATATGAGATCAACTAGAATAACTAGAGAGTGCTTATTGAATATATTTAAAAGTATAAAGGAGGGAAAAACAGGGAATTAGCTTAAAACCCTTTTCACTTCTAGAGATTTTAATGAATGGTCCCCAGGAAGCCATGTAACATCTTATAATACACGGTGACCCGTCACTTTGAGAATGAATGGGCAGAGACAGAGACACAGAGGTAGGTTAATTTAACTCTGCTTTATTTTTTTTCTTCTTCTTTATTGATTTTAGAGAGAGAGGAAGGGAGAGGGAGAGAGAAATATGGAAACATAGATGAGAGAGAACATCAATTGGCCACCTCCTGCATGCCCCTCACTGGGGATTTGGCCCACAACCTGAGCATGTGCCCTGATCAGGAATCAAACCAGCAACCTCTTGGAATACAGGTCGATACTCAACCACTGAGCCACACCAGCTGGGCTAGCTCTGTTTTAAAAAAAAAAATCAAGGCTACCAACTATTTTTAATTTTCAGGTTCTGCTTTTCCACCTTGTGTTGACTTTCCAGGCCCCTTCACTAAAAATGTTCCTCGCCCAGCCGGTGTGACTCAGTGGCTGAGCATCAACCTGTGCACCAAGAGGTCGCCAGTTCCATTCCCGGTCAGGGCACATGCCCAGGTTGTGGGACGAATCCTCAGTGGGGGGCATGCAGCAGGTGGCCAATTGATGTTCTCCCTCATCGATGCTTCTATCTCTCTCTTCCTCTCTATCTAAAAATAAACAAAGAAAAAAAATTTTTTTTTAAAGAAAATGTTCCTCATTTTATTCTCCTGAACTCCTATGCTGCCGTGTATAAACCCGAACCCAAATACCCACATCTTCAACATCAAGACTGCAGAGCCACCGGCATTTTCTTACTAACCACACATCTTTCCTCTTGTTTCATGTCAGACTGAAAAGCTGAATCGAAAGTCACCCACACACCACATTATCTTCAAAGGCTCTTAGGTGTGGTGGGCTCTTAGAGAAAATGAGGGTGCTGAACTAGAATACCTGGTAATTCCTTAAGGACAAGGGACTTCAGCTTAATGTGAGGGCAGCTCAACAAGCTCGAGGTAAGAGAAGAAACAGAAGGGTTCCAGGAAAGAACAGAAACAACCCAAAGAGCAGGGCAATGCAGGCGAGACAGGCTCCCGGGAGCAGGGAGTGCAGAGGGGTAAAACCAGTGAGCTGTCAGCTACATTCATTGGTACTAGCGAGCGGGGGGCCTGAAGAGCTGCTTGGAGGCGAGAGACAGATGCTAGAGATTTTAACCGGGCATGAGTGTGCTGGGGGTGGACCAGGGAAGGGCCGAGGAGGAGCTAGGCTAAGACATGGAAGGCCCATGCAAAAATCACTTGATGAGCAAACCGAGTATAATTGGTGAGGAACTGGAAATAAGTGACAAAAATGGTCACAGATGACAAATGACCCTTGTCTCCAGTGTGGTAGAATGAGAATGGCTGCCCCCTGACAGAATTTTGAGAGAAGTGGGGGTGGGGTTGATCATAGAGGAGAAGGGTAGGTGAGTGTTATGCAGATTTTTGTGTCATTTATTGTTACAAAAAATTCCTCAGTTTTCCTTTGGGAGAAATTACAAGGTTAGCAGATTAGGTAGTGAGAAGTCAATCTTTGAAGTCTTTTGTTCTTATTTAAAATAAAAATCGACTTCTATGTTATCGACTCAGTCTTTGAAGACATGGGGACACTATTTAGTTATATAGTGATCAAAATAACCGCTCATTTAGAAGAGGTCAAATTATAGAGCATGCCGTCTATGTTCTTAACTCAGAGCTGAAGACCAGACCGCTGTGGACAAGCAGAGCTTCCCCAGGATGAGAGAGCAGGAGGGATTGAAACCGGAGTCCTACGCGTGACCTTCACTCGGCAGCACTGCTCTCTGAATCCCTCCCCCATCTGCAGAGCAATACCTGCGAGACTTTCAAATGAAAACTGGTGCCAGTGAATTCTCTGCCCATATGTGCTGCACTTGCTTATAACTCAAATCCTGCTGCTCCCAGGGATTTGCTGGCCCGTGGATGTTTGAGGGCTAGGACACTGCATAGCCTGCTGGTGCTCCTGCTGACAGTTCTGACCTCGTAAGGAACACCTGAGTAGTGGTCAGGTGGCGGGGTAGGTAATTAACTCCATGATCCCCGGGGGGAACCAGCAAGGCTAATAAACAAGCAGCACATCACAATGGTACTTTACCTAATGGCGCTGCACAGGGTGCCTCATTGCAGAGGCAGTTATTGTTAAGAAAGTGATTTCCAGATTAATTAAATTGTTTGATTGCTTTGTAATTAGGTTGGAGAAGTCCTGTGTCTTCACCACAGAGAAACAGGCTGCAAATCTTTTTAAAAGGCATATGCTATACCCACTATAGATTATTAATGTGCTTTTAATAGCTGTCTGTTCACAAAATGATAGTTTCTGGTTGCTCTGATTTTCTATCAGGACTGAGGGAATCCAAGAATTAATGATAATTGCCATTTGAAACTCCTAGTGGATCAAAGAGTGAGCCCCCATCTGAATCCTTACTGTTATTATTGGATCATCCGCCTAAATGGCTTGTGATGTTTTAAACCATAACAATGAGTGTTGCATTTCTCATTGCTCCGTAGAAGATTCTCAGCAATGAATTGACACTGGTTAAAACATGGAACCTAACATCACACAACCTGCCCTAGGATAAGATGAGTGCCAGTTATGCATGAACCTCAGGCTGAGTGAACTTTGAAAAATAACAGTTCAAATCACCTGAGAAGTTTGCCTCCCAGACCTGGCTGATACGAGAGTTAGAAATCGTCCTTTCACTTAGACAGCTGTCTCCGAAGCTGGCTCCTCTCCAGACACTATTGCAGAATATTAATTAAACCTGGACAGCTGTTTGGAATCTAAGTGGACACAGAAAAACCTTGATTGGCCTTCAGCAGAACTGTCTATGATAAGCTGTGAAGTGTTCCCAGCAGGCCAATGAATAGAAGTGAGCTTATAGGCCTGGGTTTTCAAGTAAGAGAGAGGATTATACACTAAGAACCAAAGCTTCCTTAAACTCTGGGCTCTCGGAACCGCTCCTGGTTTTCCCCATCCCCTTATTGTCTATGGATCCTTCTGGAGCCCGCAC